CTGGGTCTTCCTGTTGATATTTTACCCTAAACCTGGCAGGGCCATTTGTAGCAGCTTTGGCCTGCATTAACCAGCTACCATGGACTTGCTCCCAGTATGTGTGGTTTTCATGATTTTACCAGTCAGTCCAAATCTTGATTTTGGTTATACCCAGAGTCTGGGCTATAGCAACAAAAACAGATTTCTTCTCTTCTACAACTGTGCCTGCAAACTGCTAGCCAGCCACCAGATCTTACTCATACTGTGTAATCTAAGGTGACTAGGTGCGGTCTGAGGACAGGACTCTTTCTGAATCTTTAACAGGTGTACAGAAGAGGGTACCTGGGGCGTATAGTTGGTGCTTGTTAACCAATGGGGATGGGAGGGGAGAGAAATGTGCTGGACAGCAGCTTTTCTGCAGAAGTTAACACACAAAGCTTTTTCACAGCATGGAGAAGGAGCATTCGCCAACATCTGGCAATCAAGCTGTTGTTAAAAGGCACAGGAGCCAGCTGCTGGGGACTGGTTTTAAAGGTTGGCAGGCTTATTTGGCAGGTGCAACTTGCCATGTAAGGGTTAAAAACACAAACACACACACAACCTGATCTTCCATAATCGGCTTATCAGGTGCAAACAGGAAAACTGCCCTGCCACTTTAGCAGTGTGTGATAGAGAACAAAGGAAGGAAGGACTCAGGAACATAGCTGTCAACTTACAGATTTGAAAATAAGGGACCAGCAGCCTCAAAAATAAGGGATCAGCAGCCAAAATAAGGGATTTTGCTATTGTAAAGAGTTACATACATTGGCAGGATTGACAGATGCTGTCAATCCAGCATGAGGCAGTTGCGGCACCGCGGCAGCCGCTGAAGCGCCTGTCAGCATCGCCCTTGAGCCAGTGCCACCAACTGGACTCATCCACTTCAGCCCCGACTGGGCTAGGCGAGCTGGGTAGCACTTCCAGAGACCACCTTCTGCACAGGAACAGGTCAAAGTGCTGTGGACTCACAGCTTAGAGTTGTGAGCACCGGATTCACTCCCACAAGAAGACAGTCGTCGCACAGCAGAGTACAGCAGACTCTAGCAGAGTATATAAACAACTCGGAGAGCAGCTCTGTAGAATATCTTCTTTATTCTGTCTACAACTATACAAACTATATACAGAGCTTAATAGGTCTAAGCATAAATAAATGCTGCACTGCACTGAGTGTCTGCAGCTGCTCTTAGCAGCAACCTTAACTATACACACAATCTCTAACACTCAGTCTCTCTCTCTCTCTCCCCCCCCCCCACACTGACTGAATAAGTAGAGAGCAGAACATGCCTCCTCCTCTCTGGAGAATCAGCAGACTCCTCAGGAGATTCTTGGATATGGGAGGGGTGAAATCTCCTCAGCGCCGCCCTTCTGCGTCCCTCCCCATCCCCTCCTCTTCCTCCTCCCTCAGGCTGCCTCCTCAGCTGCCACCACCGCTGCTGCCTCCGGGCTCATGGGCGGCGTGGGCAAGAGTCTCTCTCCCTCCCCCCTCTCTCTCGGGCAGGGAAGGGCCGATGGAACTCCTCGCGCCAGGACAATGGCGCCAGCGCGCTCTCTCGCATGCGGCGGAGGATCCCGAGCCACTGCTTCCCTCCTGAGCCGGGCGGGAAATTTAAGGGACATCATCAATAAGGGACAGCAGCGAGACACTGCGATAAGGGAGTTTCCCGTCAAATAAGGGACTGTTGACAGCTATGCTCAGGAATCCAGTACCTCAAGAACCATCTCTTTCCATGTGAACCTACCCGGACCCTGAGATCATCTTCTGAGGCCCTCCTTTGTGTGCCTCCTCCTTGAAAGGTGCGGAGGGTGGCAACATGAGAAAGGGCCTTCTCTGCAGTGGCTCCCTGTCTGTGAAATACTCTCCCCAAGGAAGTTCACCTGGCGCCTTCATTATACTCCTTTAAGTCCCCAGGCAAAAACGTTCCTTTTTAACCAGGCCTTTGGTTGATCTGATTTACATCCTATGCCCTTTTAAAATGTGTTTTTTTTTGGGGGGGGGCTATTGGGTTGTTGTTTTTATTATTGTATTTTGTGATTTTAAATCTTGATTTTATTCTGTGAACTGCCCTGTGACCCCCGGGTATAGGGCGGTATATAAATCCAATAAATAAATGAATAAAACAATAAATAAAGTGGTGTTTCAGCTGGATCTGCTCTTCACCTGATCCCCTTGCCTACCCCCCAGCCAGTCTCCAGAGAAGTACAAGAATCCTGTCTGCTCCAGAAGGGAGAAATTGAAAAGAGCTGGGGGAAGGAGAAAGCACAGGTTAAGAACATAAGAAGAGGCTGCTAGATCAGACCATGCGCCCATCTGGTCTTGCATCCTGTTCTCCCAGTGGCTGGCCTGTGGGAAACCAGTGAGGAGAACATGAACACAATAATAATAATAATAATTTATTATTTATACCCTGCCCATCTGGCTGGGTTTCTCCAGCCACTCTGGGCAGCTTCCAACAAAGTATTAAAATACAGTGGTCTGTTAAACATTAAAAGCTTCCCTAAACAGGGCTGCCTTCAGATGTCTTCTAAAAGTCTGGTCATTGTTTTTCTCTTTGACATCTGGTGGGAGGGCGTTCCACAGGGCGGGTGCCAATACGGAGAAGGCCCTCTGCCTGGTTCCCTGTAACTTGGCTTCTCGCAGTGAGGGAACCGCCAGAAGGTCCTCAGCGCTGGACCTCAGTGTCCGGGCAGAACGATGGGGGTGGAGACGTTCCTTCAAGTATACTGGACTGAGGCCATTTAGGGCTTTAAAGGTCAGCACCAACACTTTGAATTGTGCTCAGAAACGTACTGGGAGCCCTCTCCCCTTCTGTGGTTTCCAGCAACTTGTGTTTGACAGCATTGCTGTTTTCAGCTGTGCATGTAGAGCATAACCATCATAGTACAACAATGGCACATAAAGTACCAGGACCCACAGACAGAACACAGCATCTTTGGCTGTGTGACATTTATTCATTCATTCATTCATATCCAACCTGAAAGCATGCAAGGAGCTTTTTAAAACAGTATTCCTTCCTCCAGGCTTCAGAGGTCCTTTGTCCAGCTTTTCTGGCCTTCTACAGGGTCTTCTTGTGGCTCAGACATAGCGTTACTGACATTGCCTGCAGTGGAGGAGTTGTGCACATTCCAGCTGGGATTAATCCTAGGTCTAGCGCACACACATACACACAGAGTTCTCCTGGCCTCATAAAGCCTGGCATTGTGTGAAGGGCATCGCTGCCTCCACCGAAATATCACTCCCATGCAGTCATCGCTGTCGCCAAAGCACAATGGAAGGCCTGCCATGCGCTGCCTCGTCAGCTGCAGAATTCCAGGCGGCCGGCTGCTTCTCCCACATTCACCCACCCGTCACAGCAGCTTCTCTGGGCTTTGCCACCAGCAACACACAGAATCCAGCTTACAGCTAAGGGGTGGGGAGAACATCAGCACTATGATTAGCGTTTATTATATTATTATCTTTTTAAATACCTAAAGGTATCCCAAGCAATTTGTTCATTCATAAAATTATTTGTTTATTTAAAAAATGTTTTTCCTCGACTGAAGCACTCCTGGGTACAAATACATTGAGAAGTGAAAAGGAAGAGGAGTCAGAGATACTTCCCGATGGATTTGTATTGTTGGGGGACACTGTTTTTATGTGGATCACTCTTGTTCCTCTTCTTCTTCTTCTTCTTCTTCTTCTTCTTCTTCTTCTTCTTCTTCTTTATTCAATTTGTATACTACCCTTCATCCCCCTTCATCTGGATAGCACAGGGTGATTCACAACAGAAAAAAACAAAATGAGAATACTAAGTGCATAATAAAACAAAAACCAATAACTCCCCACAAGCACATTTAAAAATGCTACTACAGTCATACCTTGGTTTTCGAACAGCTTAGTTCTCAAACGTTTTGGCTCCTGAACGCCGCAAACCCAGAAGTGACTGTTCCGGTTTGCGAACTACTTTTGGAAGCTGAACGTCCGATGGGGCTTCCAACTGGCTGCAGGGGCTTCCAGCAGCCAATCAGAAGCTGCACTTTGGTTTCCGAACATTTTGGAAGTCGAATGGGGTTCCAGAATGGATTCCGTTCGACTTCCAAGGTACGACTGTACTGCGGCCCATGTTTCGTTAGCCCAAAATTTGAAAACGAGCGAGGTCCCAACCAAAGAACAACAACAACTTAAATTGACAGACTATGCACAACTCACAGACTTAACATATAGATTAAGAGAACAAGAAGAACATACGTTTAGAGAAGATTGGAAAACGTTTATTGAATATATGGGAAATAACTGTGTACAGCTGAAAACGCTGGCAGCAGCGTTAAGATAAATTCAACAGTGTAAATAAGTTTTGATGGATGTAATAATGGAATACTGAATGGTTTAATTTCTGTAAAATATGCAGGGATTTATGATATGTAAAATGAACCATGGAAAGAGAAGAAGGGAAGTCATGGATATCTTAAAGATGTAAAAATGAGTATTTTAAATTGTAAAACAGAAATGTTAATAAAAATTATATAAAAAATAAAATAAAAAGCTATTGAATGTTAATCAGCCTGGTTGAAGAGAAACGTTTTCGCCTGATGCCTAAAGATATATATTGAAGGCACCAAGTGAGCCTTTCATCAACATCATCCATGGGCGTATTCAGGATTTCTGTTGGGAGGGCAGAACCTCAGTTAATTAAGTATTTTTATTGATTTACTTGATTTAGGAGGGGCGCCCCTCTTTGGCTACGCCTAAGCCGTCGTCATCATTATGGTTACTGTTTAGTATTTATTAAATTTGTTGCTCCCTTTATCTTGCCCAGGGCAACCCAAAGAGAACTTACAACCCAACCAAACTAAACCCAACTCATCATCCGGATTCAATGGGGAAACCGAGAGGAGAATTAAGAACGGGGCGTTCCTCCGCTTCCCAGCCTCTCTTCACACGGGATCGGGATCTCGGCTGGGATCCTATGGGGCTACTCGCTTGCGCGCGTGCACACGTCTGTCCGGCCCCTCGCTCGAGAGAGAGACTGCGACGTCTGTCCTCCCACTTCCTTTCTGTCGGAGGACTTCTATCCCACACCCTCCTGCTGCTGCTGCCTCCGCCTCCTCTCCTTTAAGGCAGCCGAGCTCACCTGTAGGCGCAGCGCCCTCACCTAGCCCAGGTGGCTGCCGAGAGCGAGCGAAGAAGGAGAGGAGGAGGAAGTGGGCGCAGCAGGAGCAGCATGTCCGCCTCGGCAGTTTTTATCCTTGACCTGAAAGGCAAGGTGAGTGTGACCCCCAGATCTTCCTCTCAGGTGGGGCAGAGCAGCCTCCACCCTCCAGGCGAAGTTTCCCAAATAACTCCCCCTTCTCTCTTACGCCCTCCAGTATTTCCGCTCGCCAGATCCAAGCTTCTGGGTGTTACCTGGTGCAGACTTCCATTCAAACTGTGTACCCTTATCCCCCTCTTCACTTTTCAGCCTGGAGAAGAGGAACTTAAAGCCTCTTGAGACCAGGTGGGGAGCTGAGTAGCGCCCAGGTGGCCTGGCTGTGCCTTCTAACTGCTAGGCCACCTTTGCCTCTGGGCACAAGAAGAGAGATGGGTGCTCCTGGCCCTGGTGCCAAGGTTTCTTCCTGCGGCTCCCACCTTCCGGGAGATGGGGCCCACCTGTGCTGCGTCTGGCTGGCATCCCCTATCCCAGAGCTGGGGCTTGTTGGTGCTCCATTGCAGGCTATTTTGTGTACAGCGGGTGTGAAGGAGATTCTTTTTGGCCCTCCTTTTCTAGGCTGAAGAGTGGTCTGAAAATTGTGGCCGCTTAGTGAACGGAGGCAGCCTGGGAATGTTGCTTCCGGAGCGTGTGGACCTGCTTGCTGCCACCCTGCTGGCTCTGGTTGCATCAGGGAGCCTGTTCGACCAGCTAGGTTGCTTCAAATGGGTGAAAGAGCAGGGCCAGAGCTGTAGCAGCAAAGCAGAATGAGCCCTGAGCCCATCACTTTAAGGAACAGAAACTGGAAAAAAACATTTGCTTTCTCGGTGATAAGCTGTGCACACTGGAACTGCCTGCTGCTACCCGTTCAAAACAACAACAACAAGAACAGTTGATGGCAGGGTTCAGAACAGTAGTAGGCCAATTTGTGGAAGAGAGGAACAGCATCAGAGCTAGCGCAAGGTAGCAGTTAAGAACCTGAGCGGAAAAGTCAACATCTGAACACAAGATCGAGGAGATTGGTGACAAACAGATTTATTTGCTAGACTGCTCGGTTTGTTCAATACTGGAATGAAAAGCATGCTAATACTGTTCAGATATTTACTCCCTGCCCCCCGCTCTTATAGAATCCCCACCAAAGCAATTTTATTAACAATTACAATTACAGTGGTACCTCGGGTTGAGAACTTAATTCGTTCTGGAGGTCTGTTCTTAACCTGAAACTGTTCTTAACCGGAGGCACCACTTTAGCTAATGGGGCCTCCTGTTGCCGCTGCACAATTTCTGTTCTCATCCTGAAGCAAAGTTCTTAACCCGAGGTACTGTTTCTGGGTTAGCGGAGTCTGTAACCTGAAGCATCTGTAACCCGAGGTACCACTGTACTGTGTAATAATGCAAGTCTCAGCGCAGCTATAGCTTTACTACATGTTGTTAGGCAAACGACAGTCTACATCAGGCATAGGCAAACTTGGCCCTCCAGATGTTTTGGGACTACAACTCCCATCGTCCCTGACCTCTGGTCCTGTTAGGTAGGGATACTAGTTTGTCTGCATCACTGCCCCCTCCCCTTCTGTAATAGGATGGTAATAAATATACATAAGGGGCTGTTATACTCTGATTAAGCATTTTTAAACAATCAAAAAATTCATCTACATGCATATTATTAATAATAATAACAACGACTATTAAGGCTGCATTGCTATACCTACCTTCATGGAAGTAAGCCCAACTGAACTCAATGGGACATACTTTTGGAGTAGTTAGCTTATAGGAGTTTGCTGTAAGTGAAGTACTTGGGGAACCTTCTGATGATGGGTGCCCCCTATCTTACACAAAGCTGAGTTTATGCACTGAATAGGATCTTGTGCGGGAAAGATCATGGAGGTACAGTATCACATTTTTTAAAATAAGTGTGGCATGAAAGGGAAGCCTGGTCCATGACAGAGATAGCTCTGGGGGTGGCGAATATTATGGCACAGCTGCATTTTCCTTTTCCTCCCACCACATCTCTAAAATAACAACTTCGTTGAAGGACGAAAAAGACCAGGGGTGGAACAAGACAATTTGCTGCCTGAAGCAAAGGACGATATTGCCTCCCTCCCTGTTCCACGTAGAGAAGCTGGCCAGATTGACAGTTGAATCTTACTTCAGCTGTGCCAGGGGGACGGTTTCCTCCATCGCAGCTGACAGTAGCTGGCAAATTTAGAGGGTACGTGAGAGGCTTGTGGTGCACATCTCTGTTCTCCCACAGAGGCGAATGCTATGTGGGACTGTGACTGCTGTCACCTGAAGCGATTGCTTCTTTTACCTAATAACAGAGCCGGCTCTGAAAAGCACAAAGGAGAGAACTAAAGGCCCGTTAGGTAGAGAAGATCTATTGTTTATTTGACCGGGATGTGCTTTTGGAGCACTCGTGTATGTGGCCAGGGAATATAGGGTGAGAATGCAACCTGGAAGACTTGCATCTAACAGCAGAATTCACTCGGATGTCTGTCCTATTAAATTCTATGGGTCTTACTCCCAGGTAAGTGGGTAAAGGGTCCCAGTCTAAACCTCCTCCCTGGAAAATGGTGTGTGGGTGAATGACATACATGATGCTACTTAGAGGAAGCATCAGCGATAACGTGAGCAACGCACTGTGGGTGTCTCAGTGTCAGCCATGCAAGGCTAGCGTGACTTAAGCTTCTTTCCCATCCTCCAGCCGCTCATCAGCCGCAACTACAAAGGAGATGTGAGCATGTCAGAGATTGACTACTTCATGCCGCTCTTGATGCAGAAGGAGGAAGAAAGTGCCTTGACGCCACTCCTGTCCCGCGGGAAAGTGCATTTCCTTTGGATCAAGCACAGCAACATTTACTGTATCCTTTTAATTCCGGGGAGAGGGGTGGGATGCTGCAGCCCCTGTGAGGGGCAAAACCCAAGTCCAACTGGATTCAGAAACACTACTGCCTCCAACTGTGGCGCATAGCCAGCAAGGCTGGTAATCTTCGATAGCTTTTTCCTCCATGAGTTTGTCTTCTAAAGTCATCCAAGTTAGGGGACCATTACTGCCTTCTCTGGGAGGGAGCACCACAGTCTATGTGCTGCGTGAACGGCACACAATATTCTAAATGCAGTTGCACCATAGATTTGTATAACAGCAATATAATGTTGGCAGTTTATTTTCAGTTAGCCTTGCCCTGTGCTCCCAAGTTTCAGCGAAGTGGAGATTGCAGGCCCTGCGTTTCTGAACTTCTTTGGAATGATGGAGAAAGGGCAATAATGGGGTAGGCAACCTAAGGCCCAGGGGCTGGATGCAGCCCAATCGCCTTCTAAATCCAGCCCGCAAATAGTCTAGGAATCAGCGTGTTTTTACATGAGTAGAATGCGTCCTTTTATTTAAAATGCATCTCTGGGTTATTTGTGGGTCCTGCTTGGTGTTTTTACTTGAGTAGAATGTGTGCTTTTATTTATAATGCATCTCTGGGTTATTTGTGGGGCATAGGAATTCATTCATATATATTTTTTCAAAATATAGTCCGGCCCACCACATGGTCTGAGGGACGGTGGACCAGCCCACGGCTGAAAAATGTTGCTGACCCCTGGGCAAGAATGAAGCATGTGCAGAATCCTTTTGATTAGACAGAAGCCTCGTTTTAGGAGATGAGTTGTCAGATGAGAGCTGAAAGGCTGGTCCCAAAAAGGGAAAACTGCAAACTGGTGCAAGATCCAGTCCAAGGAAACAACCACTGAAGAATCCACATGTGGTTTCTGTGCATCCCAGTGTTCATCTACTGCCTGGCATTGGTGGCTATGTCCTCTATTTAGGCTAGAGTCCCCCAAAGCCAATACTCCTTCCCGACCATTCCCAAGTCTCTAGTCCATCAGTTCAGAAATCTCTTTCTTTACCCTTAACCTTTTGTGCAGTGGTGGCCTTAACCATGAAGAATGCCAATGCCTCACTAGTGTATTCTTTTCTCTATAAAGTGGTAGAGGTAAGTCAAGGAGCCATTTTTAGATGTACAAAGAAGAACAGGGGACCAAGATAGGAAAGGCTGATGCTATCTTTGAGTTCCCCATTGTGTTATTCTGTTGGCTTGGAGTAGCATGCAGACAACACACACCCTCCCCCATAGGAACCAACTCCTAGGGGCTGAGATCCCTTCACCCCCCCAATAAAATATTTGATGGGGCCTGCGTGCCCCAAAGCTCATGGGCATTGCCATTCAAATGCTGTGTGTCAACTGCATCATGTGATCGATTGTGTGGGGCAGGGCATACCTGGGGTCCCCCAATATTTTTGTCAGGTTGGCACCCCTGCCCTCCCCGCAAATGATCTTGAGGCTTTTGGTTTCATCTTGGCACTACAAACCCTGATAGTATCTTTTTGGGGCCAGGGATGAAAGGCCAGTTTGCCCTTTGTAGCATAAAAACTGGCTTCTTCTACCCCATTGATTCCAGCCTTTGAAAACTGAACTTGTATGCTGTCTTTTAGTGTATTCACTCTCAAGTTTTGTTAAAAGGTAATAATAACTTCAAGGCACAGTTTTATAAAATTTACAGCGGGGCTGAAGAATTTGTGCCCTCCAGAAGCTCCCACCAGCCTGAGCCAGCATGGCAAATAGACAAGGATGATGGAAATTGTAGCTTGCAACATCTGGAGAGTCATAGGTTCCCCATCTCTGATTTACAACAATTAAAATAACAGAGCAATTAAAAAACCCCAACATTTTAGCACCAATGGAAACCAGTTTAAAACAGCACTCTTACACTTAAGAACTTTAAATGTAAATCCAATTTACTTTGGATTTACCTCCCATTTTAATTCAGAATAAAAGTGTGCTGCTTATCAGATGTTTGGGAAAAACTGAAGTAGAAGTCGCCATCTGGCAAGGCTGCAATGGGGGTATAGCAACCCATATGAAACCAACTCTCTGCCCCTTATGCATACCAGAAGGGCCCATCTGTCTTCCTTTCCCAATGACTAATGCATCCCACACTGGGAATTCTGCAAGAAAGATACGCTTGAGCCAAATGTAGATGGATCAAAGTTCTGGAATTTGGAATTTGGGTATTGGGGCTGCGGAATTCTAGGCTCTTCACCCCTGGACTGGGGGGGGGTCACCTCTTCTGTATAAAATCCAGTAGGGTGAAACCTTTCATTCTCTCATTGTCAGGTCTTTTCTGAATATTTCAAAGAGCTGGAAGAAGAGAGCATCCGCGACAATTTTGTCATTGTGTATGAACTGCTGGATGAGCTTATGGATTTTGGGTTTCCCCAGACAACAGATAGTAAAATTTTGCAGGAGTGAGTCATTTGGTCTGCTCCCCCTCTCCTAACCTTTTTTTCCCTGCTTTCCTGCTACCTCTTTCTGACATTGTGCAAATAAATGACCTAACAGGATTTGAAAACTATATGTGCTGAGGATAGGTGTATAGGAGTTCAAGTAGAACAAAATGTTTCCCATGTGTAAAATCTCAAGTGTTGAATTCAGATGTTAATCATTCTGCTTGGGCCAAACTTTATTTCTGAGGGGGCCTCAGTTTGGGGGAAATGAGATCTGAAGAGATACTTAAATTTCAGTGTTGGGGGGCTCAGAAGCAAATGTCAAAATCTGAACTATCAATGCTTCAAACATTCCTTTTATTCTGAATTGGCATTTCAGATCAGGCAATGTGAAGTTTTGCTGAGATTCTGCTTCTGCTTTAGATAGCAGAAGGTGCTCTTTACAGTCTTCCGCAATCCTTTGAAAAGGTGTGCTTGCTGGGAGGTGGAATGACTGCATCTCATGAGGGCAGTTCTGGATCTTGATCACACCCCCTCTTCACCCTGATGTAGGTACATCACTCAGCAGGGCAACAAGCTCGACACGGGCAAATCCCGCGTTCCACCCACCGTCACCAATGCAGTCTCCTGGAGGTCGGAGGGCATCAAATATAAGAAGAATGAAGTCTTCATTGATGTCATTGAATCTGTCAATCTGCTGGTGAGTTATTGCAGGAATGTGGGTCCGTCTGGCTCACCTAGGTACGTAGATATCCAGGCAACATTGCGAGGAGCCGAAAAAGTTGGCATGGCCTTTTGTCTTGCGGCGCCTGCCCCATTGGAATTCCCTTCCATTAAGTATTACATGGGCATCAACTCTGGTGGCATGAAGTTGCTGGGTGCTTGGCCTTTCTCAGCAGAGTGCAGGAGGAAAGCTGTGTCGCTGGCAGCTGCTCAGAGGAGGCCGTGTGTGTCTCCCTTGAGATAAATTCTGGTTTCCAATGGTGACGGTGGTGCTCCCACAGGGATGGCGGTGATCTGCCCTGAACCAGTATTTTCTCCTCTTAGAGCATCAGCTTCGACAGCAAACGAGCTCGGAAGAGATGATGATAAGATGAGAAAAGGAAAGTGGGCAAAAGGTAGCTCGGGATCTAATGGAGATCCCTGGGCGATTTCTGGGTTTCTCAATAGCAACAGAAGCTGCTCCACACCCCTTTCTGCCGAAATGAAGGGCAGGAATAGATTTCTCTCTCTTTGTGATTAGAGAGTGTGAGCTCCTGTTGTTCGTTCCCAGCTCCTGCCAACCTAGCAGTTCGAAAGCACGTCAAAGTGCAAGTAGATAAATAGGTACCGCTCCGGTGGGAAGGTAAACGGTCTTTCCGTGCGTTGCTCTGGTTCACCAGAAGCGGCTTAGTCACGCTGGCCACATGACCCAGAAGCTGTACACCGGCTCCCTCGGCCAACAAAGCGAGATGAGCGCCACAACCCCAGAGTCATCCGCGACTGGACCTAATGGTCAGGGGTCCCTTTGCCTTTACCTTATTTATTTAGTACATTTCATAGAATCGTAGAGTTGGAAGGGAACCCGAGTGTCATCTAGTCCAACCCCCTGCAATGCAAATATCCCACCTCCCCCCCCCCCAGTACAAAGTGACTTTTATGGTTCTTCCCCTCAGTTCTAGTACTGAGATCCACTTCCTGGGCTGAGCATGTTCCTTAATTTTGTGTGTTGTTTCTCTCTCCACCCCCATTTTGCACCTAGATCCAGTTGGAGGATCTCTGGTTTCTAGTGCAAAAACAAAGCAGATCCGATATGCCTGAGTCTGCCCACTCATATATGATTTTAGTTTGCACACAGCACATCTAAGTACTGAGTAATGTTGTTTCCATGATGTTTTGTGTACTGGTGGGTGACTTCCCTGGGCTTTGAAAGTTCATTTTAAAAAGGGGCTAGTTTGAATTCCAATTTAAGGTGTCCAAAAAGGAACAAATTCCAGTTTATATTCATCCCTTTAGTTCTGTTCGTGTTCAATTCAAATACATCCAATTATTTTACCCTCAGCATTCAGAATGTTACAAGCTGCTGGGCTGAAGTATAAAACATGCTTAAGAAAACACAGTGGAATGTGAATTGTTTGGCTTGTTATTCCCAACAATTATGATCCTTAAACTTCAAAGCCCAAAGATCAGTAGAAAATGCATGTAGGAGATTGAACCTGAAGCTAAGAAAACATTTAAAAGCTCTACCTCAAAATGAACAATTTACATTCAGTTCACTCGGCAGTTGTGGGAACTACACTAATGGCCAAAGTTGTGGAAACTTTTAGGAAAAAATGCATTTCCGAGGTTTGACGGCTCATAACACGTGATTACCTCTCTAAACACTCATGCTCATTGGCTGCATTAAAACGATGTAAAGCTACTGCATAATTGAACAAACTTTGTTGCATTACATTCTTCCTTAAATTATCCTTCTCTTGATATGTAATTTTATGGTATTACTCCAAAAAAGTGGGGTTATGAGCCATCAAACCTCAGAAATACACTATTTCCAAATGGTTTCCACAATTTTATAATATAATAATTTTTATTATTATTTATACCCTGCCCATCTGGCTGGGTTTCCCCAGCCACTCTGGGCGGCTTCCAACAGAACACTAAAAACACTAGTGTACTATAAGGCATAGATCAGAGATTTTTGAACTAATTCAGCAAACTGCGTTAAACTGAACTAGCTCATTCCAAGACTGGTGCTGCAGTTTCAGCCTGGCTGTCATCAGGGACAGGAGGGAGAAGCCCCCCTTCTTCCAGGCAAAGAGAGGAGATGGGAGGAGTTGTGACCCTGAGACTCAGACCCTGCTCTGTCTTCCAGGTTAATGCCAATGGGAGTGTCCTGCTGAGTGAGATTGTGGGCTCCATCAAGCTGAAGGTCTTCCTCTCCGGCATGCCAGAGCTGCGTTTGGGCCTCAACGACAGGGTGCTCTTTGAGATCACAGGACGTAAGTCACCCAGTGCCCTGAAAGCAGGAGCACCAGCAGTTGGGTGGGCTGGGCAGAGAGAGCCTCCAGCAGCAGGAAGTGTTGGGCTGAATGACACTAGATTTGGCTGGATTTTGCTTATTGTTGCGGTTTTTCATTTTATGTAGACAAGGTGTAATTTCAGCCCAGGAGCTTATTTTTAAAAGTAGCATTCATACAGGTGCATTTTGGGGGGGGGCATCTCTCTCTTTTCACTGAAACACCAGAACAGCACCCACACATCTGGGTGTGTCTATGAAAAATGCAGTTTCTTTTGTTCATCATTAACTTTCTGGTAACTTTTAATGTGGACCTCGTGTTTTGGGAATGGACAGCCTGTGTTCTTTTCTGCCAAATACTCACATATTTCTGCTGCTTCCAGTCTTTGGGTGTTTGTGTTTTAAAGTTGAGGGCTTTAATAATGACTTTTTAAAAAAACAACCTCCTTTTCAAAGTGTTGGTGCTGACCTTTAAAGCCCTAAACGGCCTCGGTCCAGTATACCTGAAGTAGCATCTCCACCCCCATCATTCAGCCCGGACACGGAGGTCCAGCGCCGAGGGCCTTCTGGTGGTTCCCTCACTGCGAGAAGCCAAGTTACAGGGAACCAGGCAGAGGGCCTTCTTGGTAGTGGCGCCCGCCCTGTGGAACACCCTCCCACCAGATGTCAAAGAGAAGAACAACTACCAGACTTTTAGAAGACATCTGAAGGCAGCCCTGTTTAGGGAAGCTTTTAATGTTTAACAGACCACTGTATTTTAATACTTTGTTGGAAGCCACCCAGAGTGGCTGGGGAAACCCAGCCAGATGGGCGGGGTATAAATAAATTATTGTTTTATTTTATTTTTATTATTTGCAAGCATCTTCCCCACTGAATGCTTGGAGTTCTGAGTGTTGGCTATTTGCAGATTAATTGCGCTGCAGAAGGCGTGCTGGGAAGACCACACATTACAAGGAACACAAAAGTAACTTTTGCTAGGTTTTAATAACAAAAACAAAAACTCCTTTTACAGTAAATCAATAAGCATGACCCATCCACCAGGGTACTGAGAGAGCTACATACTGCTCTTTATATACCATACCCAACAGCTTAATTACCACAACTTAACAGCACCTGCTATACTGCTTCACAGCTGTAAAACTAGGTCATGTTATTTGCTCTGGCCTTTAAAGAAATACACATCTTGTGGAACAATAATGAACCTTCAAATTTAAAGAGACCATTCCACACTGAGAGGCCAAGAATCACAAGGACAGGCAGCTGTTTTTCTCTGGCTAGAGCGTAGTCTCTCCCCTGCTATCCCCTGGGCAATTGTGACAGCCAGACTTCTGACTTCTCAGGTGGAAAAAATAAGTCTGTGGAGCTGGAGGATGTCAAGTTCCATCAATGTGTGCGGCTGTCACGTTTTGACAATGACCGGACCATCTCCTTTATCCCACCTGATGGAGATTTTGAGCTCATGTCCTATCGGCTGAACACACAGGTTAGTCTGGGATTCAGACCCCCAGGAAAAAGTGATGCCATGGTGATCTCATTGGGTACACAGGCAACTCCTTTGTGCATGGTTGCACTGAGGCAGTAGCTGCCTAATTTTCCCAGATAATCTTTTTCCTAATGATTCATGCCCAGCTAGGTCATTTGCCTACTTATCTATAGGCTGATGCTGCCGGCGAGGAGAGAGTTCTTTGCAGAAGGATGGCAGGTGTTATGTACTGAAGTTCTCACCCTGGGCCAGCAGGGGGATACTGTAGATAGTTATGCAAATGAAGGATCGAAAGTGACGTTCAGTGATTGGATAGTTTGTATGCAAATGAAGGATCGAAAGTGACGTTCAGTGATTGGCTAGTTACAGAAAATGGTTACTGTTGCATTCTAGTGGAGCTCTATATAAGCAGGCTGACTGTGCTCCTCAGTTCAGTTCTGTTCCAGCTTACAAATAAAGAGCTGCTTTGGAAGAATCGCTGTGTCGTCTGATATGTTTGCCCACAACTTAACAGCAGGAATTATGCCCAGTTGACGAACTGGTTCCTTGTTGAGGAAGCCATGTGCGTTATCTTCAGATCTTGAGCCACTCACGGTTGCAGCTGGCTGACTTTGTAGTGGTGCAGATTCTCTATATATAGAGACATCTATTTTCTGCCGCTATAAAACATGTGGAACAGCAATCCTATATATGTACTATTGCACTGTTTGGATAAACCACACTAGAAATAATCCCATCATTTTGTACATTCCCACAGGCATTGCTTTCTTTCTCAGATCTCTTTCCCCCCAGCATGACAGTTAATAGAACTCATTGTTGTTAAATGGTTAAAGCTCAGAGGAAGGCCAGGGATGGTTGCTGCCAAAACTCTCCATAGCTGTCAATGTTTCCCTTTTTTTAAGGGAAATTCCCTTATTCCGAATAGGATTCCTTGCAAGAAAAGGGAAAAGTTGACAGCTATGAAACACTCTCTTCCTATCAGATGTGTCCTATTGCCCTGGCACTTGTTCAAGCAATAGGAAAAATAACTATTTGTAGTATTTATCTTGCAATCACCAAATGATGATGATAACAGTTATTTGGTGAATGCAAGATAAATACAACCTGGTTCTTAGAGTCTTTTGCCTGGCTGCTCCAAGGTGGCACAAGATTTCTCAAGTATACAGGACTGATTAAGCCGAGATGACAGGATTTGTAGGTGTTCTGAGCTTTCATCATGCCTGACACACCTTTTGCTCTTTGGCTCTAACCTGCTGGAGGCTCTGGAGCCCATGAATGAGATTCTCTCTCTCTTTGCTTGAAGGTGAAGCCCCTCATCTGGATAGAGTCTGTCATTGAGAAGTTCTCTCACAGCCGAGTGGAGATTATGGTGAAGGTGAGTTTTTTGGGGGGATACTGCTTCCTGTTACCCAAGGCTTCCATAATAAGGGCGATCGGAGGAAAACACATGATCAAGAGGACACAATATATTTGTGTATTTATTGCTATAGATTTTGTTCACTCTTAACAGCTGCTCCAAATCATCCAAAAAGCGGGATTTGTATGGGCTTTGGAGAAATGAGATCACTTCCCAGTCTTCCAAGGAGCACTACAGCAGTGATGAGCTCTGCCCCTCCTGGCTCAAAGCTTGCTTTGGCTCGCCTTCTCTCTCTTTTTAAAAAAATATATTTTATTTTCATTTTTTAGACAAAATTCATATACATTTAAATCATTTTCAATTTGTACATATCTGAGATTACTTAAATCCCTGGACTTCCCCCCACCTTCCCCTGGTTTCCAATTTTTTCTATTTCTTCTATTGCATCTAATTACATTTTTCAAATTCATTTTGTATCCCGTTTTTAAACTTAAGTCATATTACATTATAAGTGTTATAACAATCCTGCTAACGTTTTTAGATATCTGCAGTGGTCTTTAAGATACGCTATAATTTTTTTCCACTCTTGACTAAATTTTTTATTGTCTTGGTGTCTGATCTTCACGGTCATCTTTGCCGTTTCAGCATAGTCCATCATCTTGGTTATCTACTCTTCTTTGGTTGGGACTTTTTCTTCCTTCTGCTTCTGGGCAAAAAGCATTCTTGTGGCTGTTTTTGCACACATAATCAGTCTTTTTAAGTCCTTAGGTCTTTCATCTCCTATTAATCCCAATAAAAAGGCTTCTGGGTTTTGGATAAAAGTTACCTTAAACATTTTTTTCAATTCATTATATATCATTTCCCAGAATTCTTTTACTATTTTACATGTCCACCACATGTGGTAGAATGTACCTTGGCTTGCCTCCTCTTGTGGCAGAGACGTAGTCGGGAGGCATGAAACACAGACTGTTGTGAGCATCTCTCTGTCTTTCTCCCTTTTGGAAAGGCAAAGGGCCAATTCAAGAAGCAATCGGTGGCCAATGGAGTAGAGATATGTGTCCCGGTCCCGAGTGATGCCGACTCGCCCAAGTTCAAAACCAGCATTGGCAGTGCAAAATACCAGCCTGAGAAGAATGTTGTCGTCTGGAGCATCAAGTCGTTCCCGGTGAGAGAGATGCCCCCTTTCCCACAAATCTCCTCCCCCATTCTGTCCTTTGAATTTTGCAGATGATTTCAAAGATGCAGGTTTAACTCCAGGACATTTCCATTGCATTTGGGAAGGGGGCAATTCTGTTACATGGTCCAGTGCTCCTGCAAGTTTGTTGGGTGGCAATGGAAGAGGTGAGCAGTTGGTACTGGTCAAGAGCTTATACTATTAAGTGTGCTATAGCTGCTCATGAATCCCTGTCCATTAGGTGCCAGCAAACCTTGAGAAAACATGAATGCAACTGATCCAAAAATCCACCCACCCACCCTCCACTCAAACAAAAAACCAAATCTCACTACAGCCAACCAAAGACAACCAACCACGCCCTTGGCCACCCCAACCTCTCTCACCACTAGGGAAGTACAACAAGCGAATAGCAAGAGAACCCATACAAGTGACGCTGACGCAAAACCCCACACATGCACTAAGTAAAAGAATAGATGTATACCCGAAGGAGTGTCTCCATCCCCATCGTTCAGCCCTGACACTGAGGTCCAGCTCCGAGGGCCTTCTGGTGGTTCCCTCCCTGCGAGAAGCCAAGTTACAGGGAACCAGGCAGAGGGCCTTCTCAGTAGTGGCGCCTGCCCTGTGGAACGCCCTCCCATCAGATGTCAAGGAAGTAAACAACTCTCTGACTTTTTTCCAGTAGCACCTTAGAGACCAACTAAGTTAGTTATTGGTATGAGCTTTCGTGTGCATGCACACTTCTTCAGATAAATGTGTGCATGCACACGAAAGCGCATACCAATAACTTAGTTGGTCTCTAAGGTGCTACTGGAAGGAATTTTAAAAAAAAATTTATTTAATTTTATTTATTTTGTTTTGCTTTGACTACGGCAGACCAACACGGCTACCTACCTGTAACTACCGGTATCTGACTTTTAGAAGACATCTGAAGGCAGCCCTGTTTAGGGAACTTTTTAATGTTTTATATTTTGTCGTGTCTTTAGTATTCTGTTGGGAGCTGCGCAGAGTGGCTGGGGAAACCCAGCCAGATGGGCAGGGTAATAATAATAATAATAATAATAATAAAAAATTATTCTTATTCTTATTATTCTTATTGCTATTATTATTATTTATTGGCATTACCACCCCACTCCACTCACCATTCTCCCCTCCCCCTTTTCTTCCCAACCTAATACTGCATGTGATACTAATGTCTCACAACAAATGAAACTGATCCGTAGGAAACGCAGCTTGAAAAAAAGAGACAATGCACGTACTTTTGTAAACTAAGAAATCTTTAATAAAAATACATTTTAAAAACACACAAAAACACACACATGGATGTGATCTGTAAGGACTTCCAGAAATGCCATGGTGGATTTTCTTACCCCTTCCCTGTGGCCATTGATGAACTTCATTCATACTTCTTGGTTATTAGGGTCAGGTTGTTGCATTGGCTGGCCTGCATAACCATTGACTTAAAGAAGAAGACCTTCCCTTCTCTTGCATTTGGCTCTGCAGGGTGGCAAGGAGTACCTGATGAGAGCCCACTTTGGGCTGCCCAGTGTTGAGAATGAGGAGCTGGAGGGACGTCCGCCCATCTCAGTCCGTTTTGAAATCCCCTACTTCACAGTCTCTGGGATACAGGTGAGCTGGAGTTGACTGGAAGATGGAGAAGTGGGGCTCTGTACCAGGAGTCAGCAAACTTTTTCAGCAGGGGGCGGGTCCATTCTCCCTCGGACCTTGTGGGGGGCCGGACTATATAGTGGGAGGGGGCATGAACAAATTCCTATGCCCCACAAATAACTCAGAGATGCATTTTAAATAAAAGGACACATTCCACTCATGTAAAAACACGCTGATTCCCAGACTGTCCGTGGGCTGGATTTAGAAGGTGATTGGGCCGGATCCGGCCCCCGGGCCTTGTTTGCCTACCCATACTCTGTACACTTGTGAGAGCTAGCTTGGGGGGGGGGTTGACTGAGAGGCAAACTGGGTTGACTGCAGACTCCAAGCTGTGATTTAGTGCAAACGGCATGTGGTTGGTTAAAACGTTAAGAGCAAGTAGCTACCATCTGCTGATATAAAGTGGTACCTTGGTTTAAGAACAGTCCTGTTTACGAACGATTCGGTTTACGAACTCCGCAAAATCGCAGGTAGTGTCCCGGTTTGCGTGCAAATTTTACCTCAGTCTAAGAACGGAATCCAAACAGTGGAAGGGCACTGGCGGCAGGAGGCCTCATTAGGGAAAGCGCACCTCGGTTTAAGAACGGTTTTGGTTTAAGAATGGACTTCCGGAACGGATTAAGTTCGTAAACTGAGGTACCACTGTAAAATGGTTCTTGGAATTATTCAAGCTCTCTTCCCAAAGCTGCATACGAAAGGGGCATCTCGATTACACTGTAGCTGAGGATTTAAACTCCCTGGAAGTCCAATATTTGAACTTGTTCCAATGGCTCCTGCTGGTGATCGGAGGGAATATACTGCAAACGGACGAGGAGTGGAAGTATTTAGGGGAATATTTACAAAACAAGTGACCTCAAATATAAATTCCAGGTAGGGGATACCTTGTGACCAACAGTTGACAACATATAAAGGCTATGAGAATGTGGAGAAGAAGGTGAAGAAATTACCGTATTTTTCGCCCCATAGGGCACACCAGCCCATAGGACGCACCTAGTTTTTTTTGGGGGGGGGAATAAAGAAAAAAAATTATTTCCCCCCCAGAACAGGCAGCTCTCTGCAAGCCTTGGGAGACCGGCGCGACTTCCCGCCGGGCTCCCACGCATTGCGGATATCTGCCTGAAGCCCAAACCAGGTCAGGGAACAGCGGGATGGCGGCGCTCCACCTCCCCGCTGTCCCCCGAGCTTGTGGGGCTAGCGTCAGGGAAAAGTGCGCTTCTCCCCGCTGCCAGCCTCCAAACCAGGTCAGGAGACAGCGGGATGGCGGCGTTCCGCCTCCCCGCTGTCCCCCGAGCTTGTGGGGCTGGCGGCAGGGAGAAGCATGCTTCTCCCCGCCGCCAGCCTCCAAACCAGGTCGGGGAACCGAAGCCCGGGGCGCGCTGTGCAACGCACCCCAGGCTTCGAGATGCAGGCTGCTATCCGCAAGCCTAGGGAGCCCGACGGGAACTCCCGCAGGCTCCCAAGGCTTGCGGAGAGCTTCCTGAAGCCTGGAGAGCGAGAAGGGTTGGTGCACACCGACCCCTCTCACTCTCCAGGCTTCAGCGAAAGCCTGCATTCACCCCATAGGACACACACACATTTCCCCTTCATTTTTGGAGGGGGAAAAGTGCGTCCTATAGTGCGAAAAATACGGTAATGTATATGCAGCTAAGTAAGATTTATAAAGAACTGTCATGGAACGCTGGGTGGGACGTCTAAAAGAATGACTGTAAAAGAATGGAAAATACTGTAATTTTAATGTTGAAAACTGTTATTATTATTATTATTATTATTATTAGGCATCCTAGCTCTCTGCCTAGCTCTCCTAGGTAGGATAGGGACTATGCAACCCAGAATCCTAGGCTTACCTGCAACCCTCTTTTTAAAAAATAAAACAAAATAAAACAACGGGTGTGTGTGTCTGCTGCAGTCTTTCTACTCAACCCTCAACACTGAAAGTTCTCCTCTAGCAATGATAGCAGGATCACCTGCGGGTTTGACACACAATAAATCTCTATTGGGAACGTTGACTATACGAGGTGTGTGTCAAGAGACTTCCTGGATGTTCCCATCCCATTTATGCTGCTGTAAACAGGGACCCAGTCCTTTCAAGCTCATTGTAGGGGGGAAAGGTGTTGTTTCCTTCTGTTCCTTAGCTTATAGAAATGGGAATGTCTGGAGTACAGGTGGAATGGCTTGTTTTCCTTCTCCGCCCTCCTACCTGTCCCCAATTAAGCACACTTCCCAAGCCTGAACAAAGCAAATATGCAGATATAAAAGCTGACCATTTCTCTCTCTTTCCCCTCCGCTCATGTAAACCACACTTGGCTCACTAATTAGGTTATTGTTCATTTAGGAACATAAGGAGATGCCTTTTGCTCAGGCAGACCATTGCAATGGTCCCTAGAGCAGCTTGGCATTGTCTATGCTGACAGTTCTGGGTTTCACAGATGAGTTTTCCCCAGCCCTACCTGGGATTGAATCAGGAACCTTCTGCATGCAAAGGATCTGTTCTACCATGGAGCTACAACCCTTCCATTGCTTTGAGGCCAATTTAAAATGTTCATTGCAAAATAACGATCCAAGCGTTCCTTTCTCATGAACTTGAGATGGGCACAAACAAATGCCCTGGCACCTTCATTACATACATATATTTAGGCACCAGGCAGATATGTTTCTCCTCAGCCAGGTGTTTGGCTGATTAACATCCTATGGTCTTTTAAATGTGTCTGTGGAAGGGCGGTTATTGGTGTGCTTTGCTTTTGTTATGTATTTTGTGTTTTCGTTTTGTATTTTTATGTTGTGAACTGCCCTGTGATCTTTGGATGAAGGGCGGTGGTAATAATAATAATAATAATAATAATAATAAATGCAGCCAATGTTTCTTTGGGAGAAGGTGGGGCAGGGGCAATTTGCCAAGATGCTGCATAGACTCAAAGTGCCTTTCATTGTGACCAGCTGGCAATGGGTGGTTTAGAGGAGGTTGACAGATGCCCTCCTTTGATATTGTCCTCTCCTCTGCTACCCCTCTCTAACCCAGGTGCGGTACATGAAGATAATTGAGAAGAGTGGGTACCAGGCTCTACCTTGGGTCCGCTACATCACCCAGAGTGGGGGTAAGTTGTCAAGGAAGCTGAGCTGCATACAGGTTGTACAGACATTGGCTTTCCTTGGCTGAGCACTTTCCGTGTATAGTCATACCTTGGGTTACAGACGCTTCAAGTTGCGTTTTCTCGGGTTATGGACCCGCCAAAACCCGGAAGTACCGGAAAGGATTACTTCTGGGGTCGCACATGCGCAGAAGCGCCAGATCACTATTTGCGCATGCGCAGAAGTGCTGAATTGGAACCCACTCGTGCGCAGATGCGCCGCTGTGGGTTGCGAACACTGCAGGTTGTGAACGTGCATCCCGCACAGATCACATTCGCAACCCGAGCTTCCACTGTACTAAAAGCTGTATGACAAGTCTTTTCTGCTGGAGCCAGTGTGGTGTAGTGCTTAGAGTGTCAGACCATGACCGTGTCTAACAAGTCCCCCTAAAAGACTTGTCCCAAGATTCCCTGTGCAGAAGCTATGCTGATTCCCTTTCAGCAAGGCTCGTTCTTTGCCTATATGTTTCGCAATTCTAGCTGTGAATCTACCCAAGAGAGAAGCAATACAGGTTTGTAATTATTTGGATTTCTCAATCTCTGGAAATGCCCCCCCTTTTTTTAATTGACGCAGTATTGGCCACTTTCCACCATCCTATTAGCCCTGCGGGGGAGCTTGTCAGTGTTCCCATTTCACAGACGAGAAACTTTTGAGAGCTGGATAGAGCACGTTGCTAAAGCTTCCTCACTCCTTGCAGGTTCGTTCCTGCCTGTCCTGATCGCTCAACACCTCCTGCAGGCATAACAGCTGCTCTGGGAAAAGGCAGAACTTTCAAGAACCTTACTGGCCCGACCCAGGCCTAACATAGTCTCTACCTTTTTTGTTCCAGATTACCAGCTCCGGACACATTAGTCGTGATCTTGCAGAGCTGGACACCATCAAAAATGAAGAAGCCTGAATGGCCCAAGAATCCTTTGTTGGCACTCTCTGAAGCAAATTGTGTGTGTGTGTGTGTGTGTGTCTCCTCCTTCTCTCAAAATGCCACCCTGCTCCTCTGCCCAACCACAGCTCGATTTGGCAACAGTTCTTGGGCTGGTTTGCCCAATGCCTGCAGGAGGAAATGATGGTTCTGTGGTTGTTGCCTGAGATGGCACCTGCATTGCTTCCCTACCTGAGTGGCAGTGGACTTACCTGTGGCAAAACACCGACCAGCTGTGCCTTTCCAGGACTCCTGGATGGAGAGACTCTTACAGGTGCCTTGCCTTCTTTCAGAACCTCCCTCCTTTAGAAGGTTCCACAGAACCAGTGGTGATGCTTTGCTCCGAAGGTTTAGCTTGGCGTTCTCATCAGGGGGAGATGCGTTTGGCTTCACCTGCGGGCAGCATTCACCTGAGTGTAGCATTCGGCTCAGCCTGGAAGGTAAGCTGAGCTCCCCACAAGCACCTTGTTGCTCTGCGCCTTAGACTGGTGAAGAGAGAGGCAGGGAAAGCATGTCCTGCCATGGTGTGTAGAAGCTAGAACTAGGAGCTTCTGGGCACAAACTCACTGGGTGGCTGCAAGCAAGCCCCTTCCCCCCCTCAGTCTGTTCCCTAATTGTATGATGAGAATAGTGGCTACCTCATTTTTAAGATTTGTGACTCAAAACTACTTCCCATTGTCCTTTAGACCACAATGAGCTGTAAATAGAAGTTGAAATGAAATTGGGCCATTTCGACAGGGTGACCATGATGCTGTTGTGTGTCATTAGTCCTCATTTCCTTTGGTTTTCTGTTCCACCTTCTTCCTACATTCTAAGCATCCTCACTACAGCCAACAAGTGGAGCTGCTTGCAATCATACTGGCCAGTTCTTACAACAGTGGGAGTTATCATTCTGGACACCTGACAGCGAAAATACCAAATATTATTTGGAGAGGAATGCAGAATCTCAGGCCTATTTGTCCTCTTCAGAGCTCCTTTTGCCTCTCAGTCGGTTTATTTGAAACCAGATACTCCACATGCAATTTTCCCTTATTAAATCTTTCTTTGGTTTCATCTCTAAGGTCAGGAAAAGAGAATGTCCAGCTGATTAGCAATAAATCCACTTGCTATTTATTGATACTAGTCTATGCACATTTATATTGGAGTGAGCCCCATTTAATGCAGTGATGTCATGTTTGAGTAAAAACACGCAGAAATAGGATGCAAGAGTCTGATAACCTGTCTACCCATCGTCCTTTGATTTGCTCTTGTCTCAGTGATGTGGTTGCTACGGAAACAGTCTGAAGCTACTGTTGATTTGTATAGGAACCTGAACCTGAGTCAAGCCCTTTGAGAAAAGGGAATTCTAGTTTAACAACTTTCCCTTTTTAAGCCACTAAAAGCAAGCGGATAAAATAAATGTGGTTATACTGTGAAAAAATACCTCAACACAGTGCTTTTTTTTCCTGGGGGTACGCATACTCCTAAACATTTTGTGAATCTAAGTTTGGCCTCATTGAGGGGCAGTATTTCAATATGAGTAGGAAAATGAGAGTACCCCTAAACATTTTTTTTAGAAAAAAAGCACTGCCTCAGCATATAAGTGGATCCATGTACAGATCTATTTCATTAGTAATGAAGCTGCCGCAAAGTGAATGCTGTCTATTTAAGTACGGTACAGTGAGAAAAATCCCAGAAAAGGATTTGTTGGTCTGCAGCAACAAGATGGCAGAAAGTAATCGCATTAGAAAGGCCTCCAATTTAAGCCTGTCCCAGAATCTTCCACCTGTTAGGATTTTGGCACTCCCTAATATAAGGCAGTTCATGCCTGATTAAGTTCCCCTGCAGATCCAGCAGTACCAACTGCAGCTCAGAGACAAACTTGCAAGCCTCACAAACCAATTCCTGCAAAGTGGTCGGTGGCAGAGCAAATGCAAAGAATATCTTGGCACCTGGGTTCAAGCCTTTAAAATATCTGTGTGTGTCCCCCTCCCCTCAAAAAAACAAAATAGCAAAACCCCACCTTAGATCTTGCGTAAAGGAATGTGTGCAAATCAGAGAAATTAGTTCTGGGGCTGCTGGGTAATTTGTTCCAAGTCTGTACAGTCGTACCTCAGAAGTTGAATGGAATCAGAACATTCAGAAACCAAGCCACGGCTTCCAATTGGCTGCAGGAAGCTCCTGCAGCCAATCAGAAGCCCTGTCGGACGTTCAGGTTCCAAAGAACGTTCCCAAACCAGAACACTCACTTCTGGGTTTGCGGAATTTGGGAGCCAAAACGTTCAAGTCGCGAGGTGTTCAACCTCCGAGGTACGACTGTATAAGCTTCCTATCTATGTTCAAAGAGAAACCTGCTAAACACAGCAAGCAGGGGAGCCAAAGCCCTCACCAGCAGATTTTGGCAGGTGCCCACTTCACTCAGGTATATAGGATTGCGTGCTGCTCCAAGCCCCGTGCATTCCTCCCTGAGAACAGTGGTTCCCCAAAGGGTGTGGCAGGGGAGGATGGAAAACATGGCCGGAAGATTCTAGAGAAATCAATATTCTATTTTGGGAAAGATTCATGTTCTTCTGTAGCTGCATTGTTTTATAATTTCTGGATGTCCTACGATCATAATATAAAATAGTTGTGTTCTGTGTTATAAATCAAGCACTGCTAAGAGTTGTTTGTTTTTGTTTCCCAATGTATTTCTTATCAATAAAAGAATTCTGTGTGGCAGAAGCAAATTTTTATTCTGAAAGTGTGGAAAAAAGTTTGAGAACCACTGCTGGGTGGAACACGAGACTCTTAATTTCTGGGTTTGAGCCCCACGTTGAGCAAAAGATTCCTGCATTGCAGGGGGTTGGACTAGATGACCCTCAGGGTCCCTTCCAACTCTACAGTTCTATGATTCTAATGACTCTCGAGTAAACATAACTAAGATGAAGGAATTGTAGGGATGCTCATCACATTTGCAGATGACACCAAACTGAGAGGGGTAGCTAATGCTGCAGAAGACAGAATTGGGATTCAAGATGACCTTAGCAAATTGGAGAACTGGGTCCAAACTAACAAAATGAATTTCAGTAGGGACAAATGAAAGGTTCTACACTTAGGCAGGAAGAACCAGCTGCACAAATATAGAATAGAGGACACCTACCTTGACAGTAGTGCATGCGAAAAGGAGGTAGGGGTCTTAGCGGACCACAAGCTTAACGTGAGTCAACAGTGTGATGCAGCAGCAAAAAAGGCTCATGCTATTCCAGACTGAATCCACATTAGTGTCCAGTACAAGAGAAGTAATAGTACCACTCTAGGTTAAAGGTAAGGTAAATGACCCCTGGATGGTTGAGTCCAGTCAAAGGAAACTATGGGGTGTGGTGCTCATCTCGCTTTCAGGCTGAGGGAGCTGGCGTTTGTCCACAGACAGCTTTCCGGATCATGTAGCCAGCAGGACTAAACCACTTCTGGCACAATGGAACACTGGGATGGAAACCAGAGTGCACGGAAACTCCATTTACCTTCCTGCCGCAGAGGTACCTATTTATCTACTTGCACTGGTGTGCTTTCAAGCTACTAGGTTGGCAGGAGCTGGGACAGAGCAACGGGAGCTCACCCCGTCGCAGGGATTCGAACTGCCAACCCTCTGATCAGCAAGCCCTGGTCAGACTCCACCTGGAGTCCTGTCCCTAGTTCTGGGCACCACAATTTAAGGATGTTGACAAGCTGGAACATGTGCAAACAGAGGTGCCCAGGTAAGCCCCACTCTACTTAATCACAAGATGATGTGCACAAAGACCATTTGAATGGCAATGCCCATCTACCTGGGGGGTGGCCCCCTCAAATATTTAAGGGGGGGCTGAAGGGACCTCGACCTTCAGGAGTTGGCTCCTATGTGTGCTGATGAGGACGACTGATGAGATGAACCAGGGTCTGGAAACTCAGCCTTATGAGGTACTGTTGAGGGAGTTGGGTATGTTTAGCCTGGAAAATTGAGATTGAGAGGAGGCATAATAGCCATCTTCAAATATATTAAGGGCTGTCACACAGAAGATGGAGCCAGCTTGTTTTCTCCTGCTCTGGAGGGTAGGACCCGAACCCATGGCTTAAGTTGCAAGAGAGGAAATTCTAACTCAGGCATCCCCAACTTTGGCCCTCCAGATGTTTTGAGACTACAATTCCCATCATTCCTAGCTAACAGGACCAGTGGTCAGGGATGATGGGAGTTGTAGTCCCAGAACATCTGGAGGGCCGAGGTGGGGGATGCCTGTTCTAACTAAATGACAGGAAGGACTTCCCATAGTAAGAACTGTTCGATGGACTCCAATGAGAGGTGGTGGACCCTCCTTTCCTTTTGGTTTAAGTAAAGGTCGAGTGGTCATCTGCCAGGGATTTATCTAGTTGAGATTCCTGCATTGCAGGGGTCCCTTGGCGTCCCGTCTAACTCTACAATTCTACGATCTAAGCGAGCATGTGCAGAGTGCAGGGCCTGGCGCGCAGCCCTGGGAGCCGCCCGCTCCCCGGCCTCCCTCCTCCCGCCCCGCTTCCCGGGGGTCGCGACCTCTGTCGCTCGCCTGGACCCGGCGAGGGCGCGATCGGAGCCGAGGAGCCTCTTCCCGCCCGAACCGCGCGTTTGAATCGCGGAGGCCCGCCCAGCGTCCCGCCCCAGGACGGCCAATCAGGAGGCGGCAGGCGCCTTCCCTTGCCCGGAGCCGGCTTGCGATTGGCCGGCGGCAGAAAAGGGAAAGCTCGGCAAAGGTTACAATTGTATCCGAAGCCGAGAGCGCAGAATGAAATGGGGGCGGGGCGAAAGAAACAACAAGGCGCGTGGGGGCGGAGCCAGAGGAGGAGGAGGGGCGGCGGCAGATTGCGGCTCCTGTCCGGGCCAGGCTAGGCTCCAGCTCGGTAGGTGGGGCGGGGTGGGGTTAGCAGGCTGTGCCGGCTTCACCCTTTGCACCGACGGGGCGGCCCCCCCTCCCGGCTTCCCGCAGCAGAAGCAGCCGCGGCCCCGACTAGCCAGCCGAGCCCCCCGACGGCGCCGCCGCCCAGGGCTCGGCATTCCAGCGCCGCCTCGCCCTCGGGTTGCGCGAGCGAGAGGGCGATCCTGCGCCTGGAGGAGGAGGAGGAGCGGACCGCGGCGGAGACTGTGTGCGGCAGGGTCGGCCGGCCGGCCGGCTGCTGTCCGCCGGGACCGGGGTCCGTGCGGTGTGAGCAGAGGTAGGCTGCGGCGGCAGGGGGTGGGGAGAGCCGCCGGGCGGCTGGTTGACAAGCGCCGAAGGGCGCGGGGGTGCATCTGAGCTTATGCAGAGTGCTTCTCTCCCTCTTTCGGGCGGAGGTGCATCTGTGCAAATTGGACTCACTGCGGATCTCGTCGTTTCTGGGCGCAGGGCGGCCGGGCGGGCGACCTGCTGGCCCTTCTCACGCCCGAGGCCCTCCCGGCTCTCTTCCCCCGTCCAGGCGTCGTCGCGGGCATGCAGCCGGGGAGCGCCGGGGACCGGCTCAGCGGGGCTGCCGCTCGGGGAGACACCGGCGAAGTGCGGCGCCTCCTCTTCGAAGAGCTGGTGCAGCCGGACGCGCGCAACCGCTTTGGCAAGACCGCGCTACAGGTAGGCGAGGCAGACTCTGGTTTTGGTCCTGGAGATGATTTGGGAGCCCGTCTTCCTTCTCGCTTCCCTTTAGAAATTAGCCCCAATCCTTGTCTGGAACTCACCCTTCCTTTGTCTCCCGGTGGCATCTTCCCCTTTGATTTTGGACCACTGCACCCATCTCTCTTCCCTTTTATTGCCTCCTCCATCTCATCTTAGAATCATAGAATCATAGAGTTGGAAGAGACCACAAGGGCCATCGAGTCCAACCCCCTGCCAAGCAGGAAACAATCTTTCTGCTAGTCTTGGGAAGTTCCTCCAAAGCATAGATACCAACAACTGTTGTTCTGTCAACAAGAGGCAGGCATAGATTCCACAGGCTGCCCTCCTTCCTGCTGGGGCTCAGCTCAGCAGGGTCACTCGAGGGGCACAGAGCAACTGCTTGCAACCAACATGTGGGGGAAAAGGAGGCAGATCCTGCCTTGGCTGAGTAATGGATGCCAGGTGGTGTCTGAGCTGAAGTCTTTAAAGTCGCCCCATCCGGTCCCTTCTTGGTTGCGTGACAATTGTCTCCATAGCAATTTCCACAATAGATAAAATCAAAATTCCAAAATCAAAGAAGCATGGAGTTTGTGCTGCTCTGGCCACAATCCATAAATATGATTATTTCCGTCAGAATGTGCCTTGTCTGCTGATCAGAAAACAGCCTAGCCCATTTGACAGTGGGCCCATCCCTCTCTGATTCCTTCACCTTCCCCCTTAGGTAATGATGTTCGGGAACGTTTTTGTGGCGCAGGAGCTGCTGAAGCAAGGGGCCAACCCTAACGTCCGCGACGAGTCGGGCACGGCGCCCGCTCACGACGCTGCCCGCACGGGCTTCCTCGACACCCTGAAAATCCTGGTGGAATACGGCGCGGATGTCAACGTCGCGGATGCTTCCGGCTCGCTGCCCCTCCACATGGCTGTCCGGGAAGGCCATGCGGACGTGGTCCTCTTCCTGGCGCCGCAGTCCAAGTTGCAGCACCGAGACTCTGACGGGCGGACGCCGCTGGAACTCGCGCAGCACCTGGGGCTTTCGCACATCCAGGGCATCCTCGAGCAGCTCCTCTCTGCCCCAGCTTAACCCCAGGAGGGGCCACCTTGCCTGGGCCAAGAGAGCTGGATCGGCACTCTTGTGCTTTTAGGCCCCCTTCCCCAAAGACTCTCCCTTTCTTCCCAGGGCCCTGGAACAAAGGCAGCTTCACCTGCCCTACCTCAGAGTGTGTGTTTGATTCTATTTGCTGTTGTTGCTATTTATGTGTATTTTATGAGCTCTCTTATCCGCTTCTGAATTTCTCCCCGGGAGCCAGATGGCCCTTGTACCATCCTGCACTCAGCTTTGGCCAGCGTGCCTTAACTCTAACTACCATTTCCCGCTTCTTGTCTTGGGGAGGCCCTAGCCGCTGGTATGCGCATCTCCTTGCAGTATTCAGGTGGGATGGGGAGGTTCTGATGCAGAGAGCGTCCCTGAAGGCATTGCTAGGCTGGGGACCTTTGCTTCTCTCCCTTTCCCCACCCCTCAGTCTTCATGAGGAATACCAGCTTATTGGGAGAGCTCTGGGTGTGCTTTCTGAGAGCTATTCCTTCCTCGGCATTTGGCTCCTCTTCCCTGCAGAGTCAGAACTCCGCAGCATCTAACTGCACAGGATTCTGTTCCCAAAGAGATCTTTATCCGCCCTGCAATTTCTCCCTAATTTCTGTATGGTCTTCTCTGGGGGGGCCTTGTGGTCCCTTAGCCATTAACAACTGTTTCCATCTCAGCCTTGTAGTAGTTCTCTTCTGTTATCTTTGACTAAAAAAAAGTTTAAGCCTTGTTTTTGGCAGCTTGTTCCCTGTAATGAATTTGTGGATCTGAGCTGTGTATATAGTAGATTTTAAAAGGAGGGCAGATTTATTCTATTTATTGTGATTTGCAAGAGTTTGTTTTATGGGATGATTAATTTAATGATTAAAAAATATTAAATCCATTTGCGACTTAGTGACTTGTGATCCTAGGAAAACTTTTCCGGAGAGGAAGGCGTCAAGAAAGGCCTTCCCGTTGCTCTGTTTCCCTCAGAAAATGTGGATGCGAGTACGAGACTGTTGCTGAGCACCTGAACCCCAGAAAGCACATAGGGTAACATCGCTGGAACATTAGAACTCACCCTATGTAAGATTGATGGGGACACTTGTTAAGCTGCTTCCAGGATTATAATTCCTTGTAATGGGTTGCATTCCTGTGTTCATAGGGAAGTTGCTTTGCTCCTGAAAAGTGCTTAGTGACTATGGGTCCTGGCAGCAGGCAACAGAGGACCCTTAGTTTTTTCCTCTTCATATTCATATTCCCCCAAGAAGCCCAAGACAGCATTTATGGCATTATATCCTCTTTTCCCTCTTAACAAACCCTGTTAGGAAATTAGGCTGAAAGGAAGCTTTTCAGCTAAGCAGAGATTTAGAGGGTGCGAACTGTCATGTAGCAATTGATCTTGCTGTGCCTTTTTTCAACAGCGTAGTTAACAAAAAAAATTGGGTTGAAACAAGCCAATGGAATGGGCCTGGCCTTCTGCCCACTGCAGGCTGACTGGGCCCTGATGGCTGTAAGAAATATAGGGGAGCTGCAACTTTTCCTTCTAGGAATGCTGGAAACACTTAGCAGAAGGAAGGAGATGGAAGTGTGAGCTGGGATGGGGAGCCATTTGCAGTCGCACCAAATTTAGAGCAATGGTTCTTAACCTTTTTGGGCTCATAGACCCTTTGGGTATCTGATGAAAGCTGTGAATAACCCATTAACACATATATAAAATATTTTGCATGCACCTTTATTGCATTGGGGAAAGCTTTTTGTTTTTGCACCTGGTTCACGGACCCCTTAGGACTCCTTATTACCTCTGGAGCAGAACCTCAGTGAACAAGCAATTTATGGGTTCGTCATCACTTCTGAAATTTGGCTATAATTTAAACAGCCCCTCTCTGCATAAGTGACATATTCCATGCTGTTCATCTTCATCATCTACCTAGAGAAGCACACTGACCATTGCAACCCTTTGAATGATCCCCTCCTGTTCACACATTGAGCTTTCCTGGTGCTGAAGAGGTTAGTTGAGACTAGTTTCTGACCTTGCTTTTCGGCTGATTCTCCCTTTGAATATGGAGACCGGATTGAGGCCGAAGACGTTTATGTTGGGAAACAACTTCAAATCAGCCCCTAAGCACAGCGGTGACTTCTACAGGAGGAAACTACAGAAGCAAAGCTGTTAGTGTTGAGTTTACGGTGCGTCGAAGTGGAGAAATAAACGACAAGGAAGGCTTTGGGTGAATCATGCTGAGAGTTGCATTAAAGCATCTTGATTCCTATGCTCTTCAGATAGAGTACAACTGGCCTAGAAGCTTCATTCTCTCTAGGTTAGCCTCCTGAGCAAGCCTGGAAGGGGTGAGCTATGGCTCAAGTACAACCCACCTCACTGCTTACTTCTCTGATACGTATATTGGTTGCTGTGGTTCGTGGAAGCCCTTGAAGCAATTTCCTGCTTCTCTCTGATGTTTGGGTGGGAGGCAGAGGTTTCGCCCTTTCAATCTGCGGTGGAATTCTACGGAGATCATGTGTCCCAATTCTGCAGCAGTGCTGAGACACCAGAAATAGTACAGCGAGGGGCGGCTTTTGTGCCGGGGAAGGCAGACAGGCAGCAGCAAAAAACAACCTGCTGGGTTGAACTTTATCGCCCAGAATAATGTCCCAGCTGCTGGGTGTGGCACCCAGCGATATAGGGAAGGAAGGAAGCCAAGTGTTTTGTAACACCAGTTGTCTGCCTTCTTGCCAAGCGGGGGGGGGGGGGTGCGTGTACGTGCAACCCCAGACGGAGATAGCAGACGCTTTAAAAATGAAAGCACAAACAGCTGAGCCTGTTTTGCAACTTCATCAGGTTCGATTCTCTGCCAAGTACCCAGCATTTGCCAGGAAACCACTAACAGCTGAGAGTGGGGATTACCGGTAATGCATGAAAAACTACTGCTCCTTGTCTGTGAGCTGGGTGATGTTCTGCCCTTGGGAGGGCTTTGAAATTCCTGGGTTTTATATGTACCATGGTGTTTCTCCTCTCTGCACTCCTCCCAGCAGTCATTCCTCTTCTAGTGACTGCTATGGATCCAGTAGTGATGTCTGGAAGTGAGAGCTGGACCATAAAGAAAGCTGATCGCCGAAGAATTGATGCTTTTGAATTATGGTGCTGGAGGAGACTCTTGAGAGTCCCATGGACTGCAAGAAGATCAAACCTATCCATTCTTACGAAAATCAGCCCTGAGTGCTCACTGGTAGGACAGATCCTGAAGCTGAGGCTCCAATACTTTGGCCATCTTATGAGAAGAGAAGACTCCCTGGAAAAGACCCTGATGTTGGGAAAGATGGAGGGCACAAGGAGAAGGGGACGACAGAGGATGAGATGGTGGGACAGTGTTTTCGAAGCTACCAGCATGAGTTTGACCAAACTGCGGGAGGCAGTGGAAGACAGAAGTGCCTGGCGTGCTCTGGTCCATGGGGTCACAAATAGGCGGACCCGACTAAACGACAACAACATTGGATGCATGACCTGATTTGTGCGTCTCCAAGAACTGTAGTCATCTGCAACAGATTCCCAAACGTTGCCAGCCTTCGCGTCACGTTTGCAGACATCTTTGTAACACAGAGTTGGTTTGCCAACGGGCCTGGTGCCGGAAGCTAGCTCCCTGTAGACCACGTCCTTGAGGAACCTGCCATCTTTTCTTTTGTGGACCTGACCATGCCAGGGTAGAGAAGGTCCACCTTCACCAGCACATCTGCCCCAGCTGCAACAAAACATGTCTCTCCTGTATCAGTCTCTGTAACTCTCCAACGGTTTGACTTCACCCCTGAAGGTGAACTCCATTGCCTCCCGGATGCCAGCCAACCATTGAGGTGGGAGGGGCAGGGCCTGCTGATGCCAGGAGGAAAAGGTAGACTTGACCACTGCTCAGCCCAGAGGCTCTCAAGATAGGTGTGCTCACATAATACAGATTAGTTAACCTTTCTAAATATAATATTTTGCATTGTACTTGGCCCCACTGAGCACACAGTAGCTTCCCACTAAATAAATAAATATATGGGAGGCAGTGGAAGACAGAAGTGCCTGGCATGCTCTGGTCCATGGGGTCACGAAGAGTTGGACACGACTAAACGACTAAACAACAAAAGCAGCCTTGTTTGTCCATATAAACCAGGGGTCAGCAACCTTTTTGAGCCGTGGGTCGGTCCACTGTCCCTCAGACCATGTGGTGTGCATGACTATATTTTGTGGGGGGAAATGAACAAATTCCTATGCCCCACAAATAACCCAGAGATGCATTTTAAATAAATGGACACATTCTGCTCATGTAAAAACACGCTGATTCCCAGACCGTCCGCAGGCTGGATTGAGAAGGCGAATGGGCTGCATCCGGGCCCCTTAGGTTGCCTACCCCTGATATAAACGAATAATTAATAGTACGATTGTTGATATATTTTACTAGACTTAAAACTGCAGCTCCATACAGACTTAAATGGAAGCAATGTCCACTAAGCTTCCTCAGATTTACTTCTTAGTAAACACACTTGAAAATGACCTACAAGAACGGCAAAGCAGTGAACTAGCAAAAAAAGAAAGGGAATAAAAGTATTTCAATTAGATCTACAGTCTGGAAAAAAGTAGTATTCCATCATGTTTTTTCATGAGTGAGTTTTTTAGAGCATCAGACCTGCAGGTGAAGAAGGCAGAGACTGAAAAGTTTTAAGACTTTAATAGCTCTGCTTCGTTAGTCACTGCAAAACTATATAATTACATAACAGTGTGACACACACGCACACACGTACATAGTGGAATAAAATCATTATGATTTTATTTATTTACTCCACAACATTTATACTTAAAACGAGAAAGCAAAGAAAAAATCCGAAACCATATTTTTAAAACATACGAAGGTTAAAAATATTTCTGAATCGGCCGGTGTTTGCATGCGGTTTCCTCCACGCCCCAGATCCTCGGCGACGAACCGAATGTTGTTTTCCTGACTCCAGTCCACGATTCGAGACTTTTAAATCGGAATTAGCCACCCGATCTGCAGAGAGTTCTTCTCCTTCTGCTTTCCCTTTAACGGGGTGGGCGGAGCAGAACGCGCGTTTCGCAGCCGCGCGCCCTCACGTGCCGCCTTGACCCGGAAGCGCCCCGTGCCCACGTGCGGGAAGACACGGGGCGGAGGGAGCATGTCGGCGCAGCAGGAGCTGAAGATCAACGCGGCGTTCGCGGCGCGCTACGGGCGCTACCGGCGGCGAGAGGAGCTGCAGCGGCGTGAGTGGCGGGCGGGGAGGGAGGGAAGCGGACCGAGCCAGAGCAGCTAGTGTTGCCTGCACTGGCTGGCAGCGGCTCCGCGGGATTTCAAGGCAGGGGAGTCTCTCCCAGCGCAGCCTGGGCTCGAACCAGTGCCGGATTTACGTATAAGCTAAACAAGCTATCGCTTAGGGCGCCACTCTCTTGGGGGACCCCCAAAAAAATTAAAGGGGGGGAACTGGATGTACATTTTCAAAATATAAGATAAAAAACAAATAAAATAAAACCTACATACAGCAACAGTGTTTTGTGTTGTGTAGGCTCCTATTTGTTATGTGCAAATGGCTTTAGATACCTATTAGGTCCATAAATTACCATATAGCATATATTCAACACAACATCTTTCCACAGGGCCTGCAAGACAGAGCTGTTCCGCCTGGCCTTTGGTTTGGACTAAGTCTGAACCTTATGTTTCCCTCCCGTTATGATTTTGATCTATGGGCTACTATTAAAATGAGGCTGCATTTTAAGTTGTATTTTTAACCTGTATTTTAAATTGGTTTCCTCCCTCCCTTTTATGTTTTTATTGTAATTTTACTGGTGTTAGCTACCCTGAGCCCGGCTCTGGCCGGGGAGGGCGGGGTATAAATAAAATATTATTATTATTAAAAAACAGTGACAATTTGTTGTTGACAAAAGACAGCTGGACATATAAAGGGCCCCATTACCTTCAGTAGATTAGGACCTCATCAAACCTAAATCCGGCCCTGCTTCTGCCTGGGCTTGAACCCAGAACCTTCAGGGGCTGGAGGGAGGGTCGCCCTTTGCTTTTCCTCTAACATCCTGCCCGGCTCCTTCCCTCCTTCTCTCCCTTCCACCCCTGCAGTGCAGGACCGCTACGGGGATGCAGGCGAAGGCAACGGGTCGAGTTCTGAGTCTGAGACCAGTTCTGAAGATGAGGTGAGTCCTGCTTCTGTTTTCAGCCGCGGAGAAGTTTCTGTTTTCTGTTTTCAGAAGTTCTGTTTTCTCTGCTGGGAAAACTTTTGGATTTTTTGTTTTTTTAAAAATTGGTTTTTCATATTAAAAATTTAAAGAGATATTTTTCAAACATAAATCATAAAAACAAGATTCCAAGGCAAGGAATCTCCTGGACTTACATCCTCCCCTTTGTGGGTCCTATTATTAATCTAGAGGTCTGGAGGGTGGCAACATGAGAACGGGCCTTCTCTGCAGTGGCTCCCCGTTTGTGGAATGCTCGCCCCAGAGAAGTTCATCTGGTGCCTTCATATCTTTAGGTGCCAGGCAAATACGTTCCTTTTTAACCAGGCCTTTGGCTGACCAGATTGACATCCAACACCCTTTTAGAATGTGGCTTTTGGGGGGGGGGTTATTGGCTTATTGCTTTTGGTTTGATTTTATATGTTTTGGTCTTGTTGTGAACTGCCCTGAGACCTCCGGGTATAGGGCGGTGTATAAGTTGAATAAATAATAATAATTCCATCCTGCACCTTATTATGATAACCCAAATCTTTTACATCTCCATTGTGTCCAGAATTCACCCTACAAGTGATATTCCAATCCCACTAACAATTTTAACTGTTTACAATGTTTATAAATTTTCCCCGTTCCTTATTAAAATTTTGTTCTTCCTGATTTCTGGCTCTTTCAGTCATTTTAGTCATTTCAGCATAGTGATAGACTAAGCTGTAACTTGGGGTCTTCTGGTTTATTAATCAACTGTTTCTCAATAACCATTATATTTTTTAATATCTCCTCTTTGTTTCTTTCTTTTTTCCTCTTTAATATGCTATTCTGCTGCAGAAAAAAACACCCCTCATCACTGCCTTGCTGCCGTCCCAAACAATGCCAATATCAGTACCTTTATTTGTATTCAAATCAAAATATTCTGGAAGATATTTTTGAGCCCTTTCAAAAGTCTCTACATTATCTAATAAATTTTCATTTAATCTCCACCTAAAGGATGATTTATCCTTACCTTTAAAGGCAATTAGTACCAAATTATGGTCAGATAGGGTTTTTGGCAAAATCTCAGCTTTTGTAATTCTTGGACTAAGTTGATGGAAATAATTTGGGTTTTGTTCTTATTGGAGAAGGCCAGGAAGGCAGGTCCTCCTGAATATCTTTTTCAGAATACATCCAATCTTAATTGTGCTCTCTCCTGCGGCAGGAGCTGGACCCCAGATTGGATCGTGCTTTTTACAGCACGCTGGCGTTGCTGAAAACCAAAGACCCCCGGATTTATCAGAAGGATGTCACGTTCTACCGTGAGGAAGGTAATCGCTGATCCAGGTTATGATTTCTTGCCTTGGGGGCAGCTGTGGAACATTCTGGCTTGGCCCAGGGAGACTTTTTGGAGGATTTTCTGAACTAGTTTGGGTCCCGAGAGCAGCTTGTTTTCTGGAATTGTCTGTTGGATCATCTATGATTGCTTCTGTCAGCAGATTCTTCTTCGGATAGCGAAGGTGAGAAGCCGCCCCCCAGGAAGAAAGAAAAGCCCATGTTTCTGAAGGACTATGAGAGGAAGGTCATTCTGGACAAGGCAGGGTAAGGCATGAAAATCAGGGTGCCTGCCGTGTTAAACGTGTTAACCTGGGGATCTTGAGTCTCGAACTCTTATTACAGTGGTACCTTGATTCTCAAATGCCTTGGTATTCAAACAACTTGGAACCCAAACACTGCAAACCCAGAAGTAACGTGCTCTGGTTTGCAAACTTTTTTCAGAAGCTGAACGTGCTCCGTTTTGAGTGCCACGCTTCCGTTTTGAGTGTTGCGCTGAGGTCTGTCTGTTTTTGCTGTTTATTTTGCGTTTTCGTTTTTGCGGCTCTTTTTGTTTTTGTGACTGTGGAACCCAGTTCAGCTACTGATTGATTGATTGATTGATTGATTGTGTGACTGCAGTACATTGTTTATTGCTTTCATTTTATGGCTCAAGGGTCTCGTTAGATAGTAAAAATCATGTTAAATTGCTAGTTTAGGGGTTGTTTTTAAAAGTCTGGGACAGATTAACCCACTTTGCATTACTTTCTATGGCAAAGCGCGCCTTGGTTTTGGAACGCAATTCCAGAATGGATTAAGTTTGAGAACCAAGGTACCACTGTATTTGGTCACGTTACTTGGGGTGGGGAACAAATGTTAGGATGAAGCTGTCTATGTTGTTGTCCTTTAATGATGGCAATGCTTATCTCGTGGAACACATGAAAAAGTCGTTCTGACTTATGCAATCACTGGGTCACTACATATCTGCGGTCAAAAGTGGGAATGGGTAGTTCAATATGTGAAATCCAGCCTTTGTGCCACCACACTCTTCTGGCCGCCCTGCTCCAACCCAGTCAGATGGGCTGGGTAGAATAATAATAAGAGGAGTAGTAGTAGTAGTAGTAGTAATAATAATAATAATATAATAATAATAATACTTAGCCACAGCCCATAAACAATACTAGTGTAAAGACACCACTCAGGCTTGCAAATTCTTAAGAAACTGTACGAAACAATTTAAAGAGAGAGGACAAAGATGTGAGCATTAGACCTCCAGCCTGTCTTCCCAAAAAGTTGCTATGTCAAGGAAACTGCGGAGTTATCTTCCAAGATGCTTCATCAGCTGGAAGGCCAACAGCACTCTGAAAAGGGTAGCTCCATGCCAAAGTCCTTTAGGTAGTTCAAAATTTCCTTTATAAAGGGTGAAATTTATATCGTTTCCCACCTAATTCGGAAAACGTTGTTTCCGTGGGCTGAGATGTGCAGATAATATTTGATATTATGGAACATCTGTTTTGTTGGCAGGCTGTGCTTATGGAAAGCTGAACTTTCCATAAAAAGAGGAAAAGAGTACCTTCCCCTGTTTGGGGAAGGGGGCAACTGATACTTCCTAAAATTTCTACTATCGCCGTTGCCATTTGCTTGTTGTGGCAGTGGTCCTGGTTCCCCAGACTCCATGTTGTTGTTGTCTAGTTGTTTAGTCGTGTCCGACTCTTCATGACCCCATGGACCAAAGCACGCCAGGCACTCCCGCAGTTTGGTCAAACTCATGCTGGTAGCTTCGAGAACACTATCCACCCATCTCATCCTCTGTCGTCCCCTTCTCCTTGTGCCATCAATCTTTCCCAACATCAGGGTCTTTTCCAGGGAGTCTTCTCTTCTCATGAGGTGGCCAGAGTATTGGAGCCTAGGCTTCAGGATCTGTCCTTCCAGGGAGCATTCAGGGCCGATTTCCTTAAGAATGGATAGGTTTGATCTTCTTGCAGTCCATGGGACTCTCAAGAGTCTCCTCCAGCACCATAATTCAAAAGCATCAATTCTTCGGCGATCAGCCTTCTTTATGGTCCAGCTCTCACTTCCATACATCACTACTGGGAAAACCATAGCTTTAACTATATGGACCTTTGTTGGCAAGGTGATGTCTCTGCTTTTTAAGATGCTGTCTAGGTTTGTCATTGCTTTTCTCCCAAGACCAGACTCCATAGCAGACCTGAACTCTGCCTTGGAGGCAGACAACTTGAAAGACTTAGCAAAGTTACCTGACAGAACCTGGTTCCCAAACTGAACATGAGTCTGTGTAGACAGCTTCTTTATACCCATCTACCTCCCTTAGTGCTGCCACCCTTTCAGCAGGACCACAAATATCTCCTCCCCCTGGACGTGTAAGGAGGTGAAGGCCTTCTGGGAAATGATATGTAATGAAATGTAAAGAATGTTGAAATATACGTTTATTAAAAAACCCCAGAAGCCTTTGCTATTAAGTATTGTTGAGAAATACATAAACAGGATGAAACATTATTTTTATATGCAACAACTGCAGCAAGAATGTTATTAGCCCAAAGATGGAAACAATAAGATTTACCAACCAAAAGAAGAGTGGCAGATGAAATTACTGGACTATGCCAAATTGGCAAAACTGACCCGAAAATTCCGGAACCACCAGGATCTGACTTTTCTGAAAGTCTAGAATAAATTTGTGTTATATTTGAAAGACCACTGCAAACAACTAACATCACTAGTAGGGTTACAAGGCGTTTGTAAGGTTAATTTTATTACTTACTACAGTTAATTTAGTATGTAAACAAGATTATGATCTAATAGCAATAAGGTATACAAGAAAACGCAGTACATAGAGAATAGGTTTGAAAACCATCAATCGGGGAGGGGACTCATGAAACCAAATGGTTTATTCACTTTTGTACACCATGATGTTATGTAAGAAAATATATGTAAAAACCAATAAAAATTATTATAAAAAACAAAAAAAGTATCTCCTCCCTCTGTCCATCAATTCATGTCCAGCAGAGATTCAAAGATAGAGGGAACAGCATCCCTCTCCTCTGTGTGAGACTTGCTTTGGAGGGGGCGCTTGCCTCCCCGCTGACAAATTATTCTTTTGCCTGGCCTAGACATGTTTCCGACTGTCCCTTTCGCTTGATTTTTATTTTATTGGTGATGATAGCGTTTGATCTCATTTCATTCTGATGCAAGTTCCTTTCCATCGCTCCACGTTTATTTCTTAATATTGAAGGTGAAGAAGATGATGCAAACAATCTCTGCGCTTCACTCAGTCACAGCTACAGTTAGGGTCGTCCCCACCCCCTTTTCCCCTGATTTGTACATCTTACTGACTTTTTATAGCTGTCGTCTCAAAAATTAATAAAGATGCATTTAAAACACACACACGCTTCCCTGCGTTGTACAGGATGGAACGATCAACTCACTATCCCTCTTTTCCTACAGGAAATATGAAGATGAAGAAAACGATGAAGGAGAACCAGTTAAAAACAGAAAGGTGAGGCTGGGAATCTGGAGATCCCCGCCTGAGAAACAGTTTTTATCCAAATGTGATTTTGGTTTTAAATGCAGTGTAAGGTAGTCTCTGTGGGAGTATATTGTCTTTCATTATGGGGTATCAGTGTTTTTAGGGGGTTAACCAGGCTGGGATAGCAGGCTTGTTGGTTTTTGAATGTTTGATGTAGATTTTTTCAGTTTCGTTGTTCTGTATGGGACAATGACAATAAACATTATCGCATTGTATTGTATCGTGAGCTGGGGCTTGGTGCGGCAGTTGCTGTACAGTTCTTGGAAAATTGTGCTGTTTCTGGCCGAGGGAATTCCTGGCCCATTCTAGGAAAGGTGCACAGTTGTGGCACGTTGTAATAACCTTCTTCCCTCCCCCCCCCCCAATTTTTCAGAGTTATGTAGAAGAGCAGAAGCAGCTTAAGGAGAGGTGAGCTGAGAACTGTGCCGGAGAGGAGAGCCAGACTCGTCAACATAACATGCTTGCGGACATTATCTCTCCCCCCCCCCCCTTTGACATTCCTCTTTGAGTGTGCCATCATTTCCCGGTGATGAGCTGCATGAGGGATCAGGCCCCATTCCCAAATGCCGTACGTGGGGGGAGTATGCTGCCATTACATAATGCAGGGGGGGTGGGGAATCACTGCACGTGCACAGCAGCCCCTTGTTGTTGCTGTTGTTTTTAACTTTGAATTTCACTGTGCCAAGCACTGAAAACAGATTCTGAGACTGAGAATGGGCTCCTTCCCTTCTCCTGAGCTGGGCTTTTCCCATCATCCCAACTCCCATCATCTAGCTAACAGGACCAGTGGTCAGGGATAATGGGAGTTGTAGTCCCAAAACATCTGGAGGGCCGAGTTTGCCTGTGCCTGATCTATGTTGACTGTCCCTGGATCAAATGACATTTCTTCTTTAAGTTCTCAGAGCTGTTAACCATCTCAAGGTTGTCATCTGAACTAGCCAGATGTTTAACTGAGAACCAATCAGTCAGTCCATCATTTGAAAAATAAGACTCTAGATCTATCTTACCCAAAAATGGCAACTAGACATTCTGTTTTGGCAGCTGTAACCTTGGTTTAAGGAGCCTTTTGGTGCCTAGCTTATACAGTGGTACCTCATGTTGTGTAACCTCCAGGCTACAGAAGCTTCAGGTTACGGCTGCGGCAAACCCGGAAGTGTATGTTGCCGGGTTCACTGCTTGCACGTGTGCAGCAGCGCTCTGTGCACTGTGCGCACGCACAGAAGCAACAGCTCTAGTAATAGATTTTTTGGGGTGCGCATGGCACCCCAAAATGAATTAAATCTGTAACCAGCGGTACCACTGTATATCTGAGTTTTTAACACTCTAAACCTGACTTTGCCCTCCCCACCCCACTATGCAGCTTCCAAAAGTTTGTGGCCGACAGTGATGAAGATGATGATGAAGGTGGAAGCTCGACATCCTTGCTGCAGAAACGGCCCAAAAGTAAAGAGGAGAAGGTGTGTGTGTGTAAAAGAGATGCCTCAAATTGAAAGGCTAAGGGTGGCGATTCCTTCACCGTCCTGTAGCAGTAGAAGTTGCTTTCCTGGTGATGCTCCAAAATTCAAGCTTGAGCATCAGCAGGCATGCTATAAGGTGACCCTGGTGTTACCTGGCTTTTGATGGCCCTGGTGAAGACATCTTTCTTAACGGGAGCAGGAGGTAAGGGGCTGAACGATGGGTATACATATTTTAATAGCCACTAAACTTTGAAATGGGGACGCGGGTGGCGCTGTGGGTTAAACCACAGAGCCTAGGACTTGCCAATCAGAAGGTTGGCAGTTAGAATCCCCGTGACGAGGTGAGCTCCCATTGCTCAGTCCCTGCTCCTGCCAACCTAGCAGTTTGAAAGCATGTCAAAGTGCAAGTAGATAAATAGGTACCGCTCCGGCGGGAAGGTAAATGGCGTTTCCGTGCGCTGCTCTGGTTCGCCAGAAGCGGCTTAGTCATGCTGGCCACATGACCCGGAAGCTGTCTGCGGACAAACACCGGCTCCCTCGGCCAATAGAGCAAGATGAGCGCCGCAACCCGAGAGTCATCCGCGACTGGACCTGATGGTCAGGGGTACCTTTACCTTTAAACTTTGAAATGTGTTTTAATGTTCAGATAAATGTAGCTGCCTTTAGTCAAGGTCAGGGTGGTGCATTGTTGTTGTTTAGATTTATATACCGCGCTTTGTCTTAAGTTCTCAGGGTGGTTCACAGAATAAAATACAGGATAAAAATAAGCACATAATCTCACGTTGCCACCCTCTGGACTTCACGTGGAGGAGGTACACAAAGAAGGGCCTCGGGTGATAAACAGAGAATCTGGGATGATTTACCGTATTTTTCGCACTATAGGACGCACTTTTTCCCCTCCAAAAATGAAGGGGAAATGTGTGTGCGTCCTATGGTGCGAATGCAGGCTTTCACTGAAGCCTGGAGAGCGAGAGGGGTCGGTGCGCACCGACCCCTCTGGCTCTCCAGGCTTCAGGAGAGCCCCAGCGCCAGCCCCACAAGGTCGGGGGACAGAGGGAGGCGGAACGCCGCCATCCCGCTGTCTCCAGAAGTGGTTTGGAGGCTGACGGCGGGGAGACCCCGCCGCCGGCCCCGCAGCTCCGGGGACAGCTGGGAGACGCAGCGCGTCTTCCTGCTGTCCCCGGACCTGATCTGAAGGCGGGGGGCGGGGAGAAGAGCGCTTCTCCCCGCGGCCGGCCCCCACCCTCCGGGGACAGCTGGGAGACGCCGCGCGTCTTCCCGCTGTCCCCGGACTTGATATCAAGGCGGGCGGCGGGGAGAGCAGCGCTTCTCCCCGCTGCCTGCCCCCAAGCTCCGGGGACAGCTGGGAGACGCAGCGCGTCTTCCCGCTGTCCCCGGACCTGATCTTAATGCGGGCGGCGGGGAGAAGAGCGCTTCTCACCGCTGCCTGCCCCCAGCTCCGGGGACAGCAGGGAGACGCAGCGCGTCTTCCCGCTGTCCCCGGACTTGATATCAAGGCGGGCGGCGGGGAGAGCAGCGCTTCTCCCCGCTGCCTGCCCCCAAGCTCCGGGGACAGCAGGGAGACGCAGCGCGTCTTCCCGCTGTCCCCGGACCTGATGTGAAGGCGGGCGGCGGGGAGAAGAGCGCTTCTCCCGCTGCCTGCCCCCAAGCTCCGGGGACAGCAGGGAGACGCAGCGCGTCTTCCCGCTGTCCCCGGACTTGATATCAAGGCGGGCGGCGGGGAGAGCAGCGCTTCTCCCCGCTGCCTGCCCCCAAGCTCCGGGGACAGCAGGGAGACGCAGCGCGTCTTCCCGCTGTCCCCGGACCTGATGTGAAGGCGGGCGGCGGGGAGAAGAGCGCTTCTCCCCGCTGCCTGCCCCCAAGCTCCGGGGACAGCAGGGAGACGCAGCGCGTCTCCCCGCTGTCCCCGGACCTGATCTCAAGGCGGGCGGCAGGGAGAAGAGCGCTTCTCCCCGCTGCCTGCCCCCAAGCTCCGGGGACAGCTGGGAGACGCAGCGCGTCTTCCCGCTGTCCCCGGACCTGATCTGAAGGCGGGCGGCGGAGAGAAGAGCGCTTCTCCCCGCTGCCGGCCCCACAAGCGCCTGGGGGGGAAATAATTTTTTTTCCTTTATTTCCCCCCCAAAAAACTTGATGCGTCCTATGGACCGGTGCGTCCAATGGTGCGAAAAATACGGTATATGGGGAGAGGCGGACCTGTAGGTATTGGGTTCCTGAGCTGTTTAAGGCTTTATAGGTCAGAACCAGCACTTTGAATTGGGACCAGAAGCTGGTTGGCAGCCAGTGCAGTCAGGCCAGGATCGGTGTTCTATGCCCAAGCCAGTGAGCAACCTGGCCTCCAGATTCTGTACCGGGTGAAGCTTCCGAACAGTTTTCAGAGGCAGCCCTGTGTATAATCCATGACATTGTTGCCTCGGTTCTACCGTCTCTTCTGTTCTCTCAGGAGCACGAGGAGGCAGACTACATCAGTTGGTTAAAAGGTCAGGAGAAGCCACAAGCAGAGGAAGCGCTCCGGGACCTGGTATGTATAATTATTATTATTATTTAATATTTTTTTTTATTTATATGCTGACAAACAAACATAAAACAACACAAAGATGTACAATATATTATAAACAAAATACAATAATATATAAATGTAAAAATAAAAATAGAAAAAGAGCAAAAAGGGAAAAGCAAAGAACATTGTCTCAAAAATAAGATATGTATTAACCTAAATTGGACTCCGTTTTCTTTGTTGACTTCCTTTGTCCTCTACATGGGTCTAATATCAACCATAGTAATCTGCTTTCTTTAATCTTCTTCTTAACTTACTTTCTATTTTAATTGTCCTTATTCTAACCGTACATCAGTTTACAGAAGTTAATTAAAACATGTCCAAGAAGTAATATGCGGGCATTGCTTCTTCAGATAATCACTATCTTTCCCCTAGTCTTTCTGAAGTTTTTGTTTGCTGTGGCCCCTGATCGTGCCTGTCAGTCTGGCTAGTTCCATGTAACTGAATAATTTATCTTGACATTCTCGTTTGGATGGAATTGTTTCTTTTTTCCCATTTTTTTGCGATCAGGGTTCTAGCTGCCACCACAGCATACAAGAATAGATTCTAATCTTCTCTGGGTATATCTGTATCAGTTATTCCCAGCAATAAGGCTTCTGCTTCCACCAAAAAAATTAAATCTAAAGATTTTCTTCATTTCTTGAAGGACTAAGTCCCAGAAGCCCTTAACTTTTTCACATTGCCACCACATGTGTATAAGTGTGCCCTCTGATCGGTTGCACCTCCAGCATAAGTTGGATTCCGTGTATACATTTTACAGATTTTTGTAGGTGTCAAATACCACCTGGTATGCAATGGGCTTGGGGACCCGTCGCTTTGGACGACACTGGAAAATGGGCCACAATGATGGGCAGCCCCATCTGGCTCTGTATGACCACTGTCTGGTTTGTTGCTTCTTCCTAATAAATTAAGGCACTGTTTTCCTCAGACCTAGACAAGAATTTTGCAACAGGCTTCCAGAATACCTGCAACTCCCAGAAGCCCATGATTGAGGTTGCAGTGCTTCTCCCAAGAGGCTCAGTGTGCTGGTCTTGATCTTGAGAGTCTCAAGTTAGCTAGGAGAAGGGATCCGACCATTTGCTGTTTCCTTGGGCTGACATAATTTCCAGCCGCCTCAATAAAGTAACGGAATGGAAACACTTATCTTGACGCAAAAAGGATTGGGCTCCGTTAATTTCTGAATCCTGCTAAATCCGCATCTTGAGCGGTCTTCTGCTAGTCTGAGGCTAGCAGAACATTTTTCTGCATGAGCAGGCGCTTCCCCATGTTGCTCCAGGAAAGCATGTGTCTGCCCCATTGATTGATTGATTGATTGATTGAATTTATATACTGCCCTATACCCGGATGTCTCAGGGTGGTTCACAGAAAAGATTGCAGTATATAAAATAAAAATAAAAGCAATAACCCCATAACAGCCCCCCCCCAGAAAGATCCACATTTTAAAAGGGTACGGGATGTCCATCAGGTCAACCAAAGGCCTGGTTAAAAAGGACCGTTTTTGCCTGACGCCTAAAGGTGTGTAATGAAGGTGCCAGGCGAACTACCCTGGGCAGAGCATTCCACAGACAGGGAGGCCACTGCAGAGAAGGCCCCGTTCTCATGTTGCCACCCTCCGCACCTCTCGAAGAGGAGGCACACGAAAGAGGGCCTCAGAAGATTATCCCAGGGTCCGGGTAGGTTCATATCAAAAGAGGCGGTCCTTGAGGTATTGCAGTCCTGAGCCGTTCAAGGCTTTATGGGTCAAAACCAGCACTTTGAATTGGGCCCGGAAACTAATTGGTAGCCAGTGCAGTTGGACCAGGATCGGTGTAGTATACTCAAACCGTCTTGCTCCGGTGAGCAACTGAATTCTGCACTATCTGAAGTTTTTGAACCGTCTTCAGAGGCAGCCCTACTTATAATGTATATCTCACCCTTTAGGATGAAATGGTCCTTTGGGGGATTTTCTGCACTGTCCCTGTCTTCCAGAGGAGTCTTTGGGTGTGGGTTTGATGGTATGGTGAGCCTTGCTTGGGTCTTGAGGCGGGTGACTTCATTTCGGGTTTCCTCTGTTTCCCCAGGCTCCCCTTAAAGAATACTGGAACGACCCACAACTCGATGAGGGGGAGCGGTTCCTGCGAGATTATATCTTGAACAAGCGCTACAAGGAGGCAGATGATGGAGGGGAGGAAGAGGAGGAGGAGGAGGAGGATGGGTGAGTGCTGAAGGATGGATTTTTGAGTTCCTTAAGGATAGGGCATAACTTTCCCTGGTGTGTCTCCCCCTGTCCCCAATCCAGGTGAAGGTAGATGGAAAGGAAATTTAATTTGTTGAGCTACCCTCTTCCCCCATTCACTGATAGTGCACCTTCATGGGCAAGATCTAACACAATGTCACTTAATGAAGGTAGATAATCTCTGGGCATGCCTTCTATAGTGACACCAGGATAACCTTATTCTTCCCATCTTTATTGGTAGAAATAATTGTTATTTTAAAAAATAATTCCTCCATGCTCTCATGGTCCAGAGGGAGGTGTTCGTGGGTCCATGGGCTAAGTTATTTGCACAGAGTTATTTTCTCTTAAAGTTTCTGATTTTCACCAGCAATACCAGGAAAGATCATGCTTACTAGCTGCTTTGCTTCTCAATATTCTCTGGTTGGCCTCTGTTATTTTCTTCTACAAATAGAGAACTTACCTAATGACTATATACAGGCTCTTGGGTACCCCATAAGCGATAAAGAAGCAGTTTTTTTCTTATAACACTGTCCTTGCGCTATATTCCCTCTTCCTGCTCATGTGCTGCCTTCTCCACAGGCTCCCCGGAGCGCAGCTGGCTATATCGGATTCGTCGGATGAGGGCGAGCTGTTCTTAAAGAAGCAAGAGGATTTTGAGCGCAAGTACAACTTCCGCTTCGAGGAGCCTGAGGCCCAGTTGGTGAGGGGAAATATTCTCTGCCTGCATTGGGAAGTTAGGCTTTCTTCTCTTGTGTCCTGGCGCCATTATGTTATGAGTGACAAGAGGGACGTCCTCTCTCTGTGAGGAGACTGGGGTGATGAAAGGGGGGTGCTGCTGGGATCTCTGCTCATCTGAAGAATGTGAGGCTGAAGAGTTGTTCCTTTTCTCTTCTCCGATACTTGTACCGCCAGATGAAAACATATCCCCGCAACATTGCAACCTCGGTGCGCCGGAAGGATGAACGCCGTAAAGAGAAACGGCAGGAGACTCAGGAACGCAAGAAGAAAGTGAGTTCTGCACAGATACGAGCGGATGATGTTCAGCTCTATTGGGCTACCTAGGAGGGCTGAAACTTTTGTCTATTATTATTATTATTATTATTATTAGAATTTATATACCGCCCTATACCCAGAGGTCTCAGGGCAGTTCACAGAACAAAATCAAAATATAAAATCACAAAATATATAATCAAAATGAAACCAACAGCCCAATAACACGTCCCCAAACCCCCCACATTTTAAAAGGGCATAGGGCAGGGGTAGGCAACCTAAGGCCCGCGGGCCGGATGCGGCCCAATCGCCTTCTCAATCCGGCCTGTGGACAGTCTGGGAATCAGCGTGTTTTTACATGAGTAGAATGTGTCCTTTTATTTAAAATGCATCTCTGTTTATTTGTGGGGCATAGGAATTTGTTCATTTCCCCCCTCAAAATATAGTCTGGCCCACCACATGGTCTGAGGGACAGTGGACCGACCCACGGCTGAAAAAGGTTGCTGACCCCTGGTATAGGGTGTCAAATCAAATCAACCAAAGGCCTGGTTAAAACAGAACGTTTTTGCATGGTGCCTAAAGGTGTATAATTAATCATTTCATTTCTGTACCGCATTTTACAGAAAAAAGCTCAAAGCAGTTTACAAACCTACAATAAAACATCAAAAAAGTGATCCAGAATAAAACATTACTGAAGAAAGTCAAATATAAATTATACATTCCAAGCACCGTAAATAACAGGAAACTAAAATATTAAAGATTTCAAAATAAAATATTGCAAAGAAGGTAAAGTATGGAACACACGTTTAATGCAGCAAATTTAACCCAAAAAAATTATCTGAAACATTTCAAAAGAAAACATTACTAAAGGAAGTCCAGTATAAAATGCACATTTAAAACAGCATAATTAGCAAGGAAACAAAATATAACCATAAACGTAGAGCATATTTGCTGCTGTTACTGCCATTTCTATCAATGGTGGTTCATGGTGGGCGACAGCAATGGAAGCTCAGGTTCAATGACCTGGGTCTGCACTCAGACAGCCAAGATGATCTCTGGTCTCTTCAGCAACCTCAGCTTTTGTAGCTGGAGTCAGTCCAGACCCCGCCCTCCCAGGTCAGGAGGGAAAAGTCCTGCAAAGCGGGGAGCAGATCTCTCAGGACTCACAGTGAAGTATAGGTGGGTTCAGGCATGAAGGCGCCAGGAGAACTTCCCTGGGGAGAGCATTCTTCATACATGGATCTTGGTGCTGTATGGGCCAAATAACGGCCTTCTCCCGTAATACTGTGCTTTCTTCACCCTAAAAGGAGAAGGCTCAAAAACAGGAGGAGCTGAAGCAGCTGAAGAACCTGAAGCGCCGGGAGATCCTGGAACGGCTGGGGAAGCTGCGTGAGATCACCGGCAGTGCAACCAGCACCTTCCAGGAAATGGACCTCGAAGGGGACTTTGATCCCACCCAACATGACCAGCTGATGGAGGTAGGTGCATGTTGTATACCAATGCTGAGGGTTCTGGCTGGCAGCCAGAAGACACTGCCCCAGCCCCTCTCCAAAATGGTAGGGCCGTGTTACGGGTGAGTCAGCTGAACCCCGTTCTCCTGCCCCAACGAGAAATTGAGGGAAGTAGATTTGGCTTGTCGTTAGAAAATGTCTCAATGAATTGGTTTGAAACTGGGCAGTGCTTTTGCCTTCTAGGCATTAGCCAACTCTTCTTCTTTTTTAAGAAATCATTTTTATTTGATTTTACAAATATAAATATATAACATTCCAAATGCATATCCATATATAGAGATTACTCTGAATCTCGAGACTTCCCCCTCATCCCCTTCATGGGCCCTATTGTCAACATTTACAACTGCATATTTATATTCTATGCAGTCGTACCTTGGAAGTCGGAATGGAATCCGTTCCAGAAGCCCGTTCGACTTCCAAAACATTCGGAAGCCAAAGCGCAGCTTCTGATTGGCTGCAGGAGCTTCCAGCTGTTTGGGGACTACATTTCCCATCATCCCTGTCCACTGGTCCTGTTAGCCAGGGATGATGGGAGTTGTAGTCCCAAAACAGCTGGAGGGCCAAGTTGGGCCATCACTGCTTTAGGCAGTAGCCAATGCTTGAATTGATTTGTAGAGTTGGATGGGACCCTGAGGACCGTCTAGTCTAACCCTTCTCCCGGTATGCCCCACGGAGGACCTTAAGGTCCATAAATGGCAACACCCTAGCGGTCCCAGGCCCTAAGGAAGTCAGATTAGCCTCAACCAGAGCCCAGGACCTTTTCAACACTAGTTCCGGCCTGGTGGAACGCTCTGTCTCATGAGACCAGGGCCCTGCAGGATCTGATTTCTTTCCACAGGGCCTGTAAGACAGAGTTGTTCCGCCTGGCCTTTGACTTGGAATCAACTTGATTCCCTCCTCCTCTTTCTTTTCCTTTTTCCTTCTGTGATGGAACTCCTATTTGGGGGACTTCCCTGGCTTTTTCCTGGCCCACGTAGGAACAGTCTGGATAGTTGGCCTTGGTGAAGACTTGACGTTTTCATCCCCCAAAAAGTTTTTGATTTGAGTTTCTACTGAAACAAGGCTGCATTTTAATGTTGTATTTTAATCTTGTTTTTAAGTTGTATTTCAATTGTTTTTATACCTGGTGTTAGCCGCCCTGAGCCCGGTGGGGAGGGGAGGGGAGGCTGGGGAGGGCTGGGTATAAATAAAAAATTATTATTATTATTATTCTCTGTTTCCTACAGAAATTATTTGGGGACGAGTATTACGGAGTTGGTGAGGAAGAGAAACCGCAGTTTGAGGCGGAAGAAGGAATTGACGGTATGTCGAGAAGATGCCCTGGCACATGGGCAGCTTGACCTCGGTCTGAAAACAAATTTGCTTGTGAGGTCAGCATTGGGATCCCCAATTCTAGAGCAGTCCCCCCTCGATCTAGTGCTGTTCTGGGTGAGGATGGCGGGATCTGTTTGTCCAAACCACCTGGAGGGCACCACGTTGGGAAAGGCTGCTTTAGATGGGCTTTTAATGATGTGTTGGTGGAGTGTTGCATGAAACTGGATCTACTTTGGCTTGATCCAGCAAGGTTCTTGTTAGTCTTCATTTTGGAAGATCTGTTGCAGAACCGGGAGATGTTTTTGGCTGGGAGAATTTTTGCTGAAGAGAACATGAGTTGGGGACATGAAAGGAGGAAGGCAAGCAAGCTGCGAGTATTTTGCAGAAGCTGCCCACGTAATCTGGAATCTGCCAGGAATGTTAAAATGACTGTTGTGCTTTAGATATCCTCAGGAGTCATTTGGTGTATTCTTGCGTGACGCTTGTTTCTTTTTTTTATTTATATATAATTTTTATTAAATTTTCTGATTTACATTTCAAAATATTCATTTAAACAACCTTAATGACTTCCCTTCTTCTCTTTCCATGGTTCATTTTGCATACCACCCATCCTTCATATTTTTCATAAAATAAACTATTCAGTAATCCATTGTTACATCCATCAGAACTTATTTTCACTGTTGAATTTATCTTAATGCTACCAGCATTCTTAAATGAACACAATTTTCACCCATATATTCAGTAAACATTTTCCAGTCTACATTCTTTTTGTTCTCTTATTCTATATGTTAAGTCTGCAAGCTGCATGTATTCCATCAGTTTAAATTGCCATTCCTTTTTGGTTGGGACCTTGCTATTTTGGGGCTGACAAAACATGAGCTGCAGTCATAGCATACATAAATAGTCTTTTTTGACACCTGGGAATTTACCTCTGAATTATCCCCAACCAAAAGGAGTCTGGTTTTGTTTTTTTTGGAAAAGTACTTTTAAATATTTTTTTCAATTCATTATGTATCATTTCCCAATACTCTTTTACCCTTTTACAAGTCCACCACATATGATAAAACGTACCCTCAACCTCATAACATCTCCAGCACATGAGACTCGTTTCATGCCTTCAGATGCCTTAACAGGGGGACGCTATTTCTTTATCCATCCCAACTTTGGTTGAGGGATTCTTGGGCATTACTGCAGGCCGGCTCCTGGATGAGGTTCAGAAAACAGTGGGACCAAAGGAATCATTAGCTTAGAAAGCAAAAATGTCTTTTTCGTCTTCATCCCGAATGCAGATGAGTGGAATTGGGACAAGTGGACAGGAGGGGATGGAACTGAAGCAGAAGGTCACCTAGGGCTGCAGGAGGATGAAGAATACCACCCCCACTGCGAGGATCCTGACTTTGTGGTATGTCTGGCTTGCATTCTTAACCAGGGGGCCCAGCTCTGGTTGCTGAGGTGGTGCGGGTCTCAATAATAATAATAATAATAATAATAATAATGCAATGAAACATCAGACATTAAAAAGTTTCCTAAACAGGGCTGCCTTCAGATGTCTTCTAAAAGTCCGATAGTTGTTTATTTCCTTGACATCTGGTGGGAGGGTGTTCCACAGGGCGGGTGCCACTACCGAGAAGGCCCTCTGTCTGGTTCCCTGTAATCTAACTTCTCGCACGGAGGGAACTGCCAGAAGGCCCTCGGAGCTGGACCTCAGCGTCCGGGCTGAACAATGGGGGTGGAGATACTCCTTCAGGTATACTTACGGGACAGCCTCTCCTGGTATGCCCCGCAGAGGACCTTCATGTCCATGAATAATCATAGTTTAGAGGTCCCAGGCCCTAAGGAAGTTAGATTATCGTCCACCAGGGCCAGGGCCTTCTCAGTGATGGCTCCAACCTGGTGGAATGCTCTGTCCCATGAGACCAGGGCCCTGCAGGATTTAACTTCCTTCCGTAGGGCCTGTAAGACAGAACTGTTCCGCCTTGCTTTCAAGTTGAACCTGTCCTGATCTTTTGTTCCCCTTTTTGTGAAGATTGCCCACTCTTGGGATCCCACAGCTGGTTCTCCCCTGGGTTCCTCGCTGGCCCAAGTGGGACTAATTTAGCCAGCTAGCCCTGGTGATTATCTAATGTTTATTGGATGGATTTCCCCCCTAAATTGATTTTTGATTTTATTGTTATTTACGCTTTATCCCGTATTTTATGCTGTTTTTTCTGTAGCATCAATTAAGTGTTTTAAATTTGTTGTTAGCCGCCCTGAGCCCGGTTTCCTGAACCGGGTAGGGTGGGGTATAAATAAAAAATTATTATTATTATTATTATTATTATACTGGGCTGAGCTGTTTAGGGCTTTAAAGGTCAGCACCAACACTTTGAATTGCGCTCGGAAATACTTTGAATTGTGCTCGCGCCCGTTCATGCACTGCAGCCATGGATTGGCAGAAGATGGTGCCCGTGAAGGGATGGGCAAATAGATGAGGGAAAGCCACAGTCTCTGGTCAGTGTGACCAGAAAGCTCGCTGCAGATTTGAGGACACTTAGCAAAAACGGTGACATCTAATAACTTAATGGATAGAGGTGGGGAAAGGGGACAGACTTTGGGCAACATCTTTCATGAGATAATGGCAGGATTTGATGCATTTTTGCATGCAGCTGTCGCATCCAGGCTTTCCTCCCTGAGGACCGGGAACATATTTAATGAAGAGCGGTGAAATCTGGATTTCCCAAGAGCCTTGCACAACCGTAGGGGTGCAGTTGGCATTCTGTATGCTGAAGTGGGCAACAGGAGAGATGCCCGCACAAATACGATACGATATGATAATCTTTATTGTCATTGTCCCATACAGAACAACGAAATTGAAAATCTACATCAGACATTCAGAAACCAACAAGCCTGCTATCCCAGCCTGGTTAGCCCCCTAAAAACTCTGATACCCCATAATTAAATACAATATACTCCCATAGAGACTACCTTACACTGCGTTTAAAACCAAAATCACATTTGAATAGAAACTGTTTCTCAGGCGGCTAGTCCTAGTCTTTATAACCCTGTACCTTCTTCCAGAAGGCAAAAGCTGAGAGAGAACTACCCTGCACTATCTCTGCAGCTTTCTTATGGCACCTGGAAGCACAGATTTGATCCAAGGTGGGAAGAGTGCACCCAATTATTCTCTCCGCAGTCTTTACAACCCTGAACAGCATTGTTTTTCCCTGACCGTGCAGCTCCCAAACCACACACACAGACCATAAGTTAATACACTCTCAACAGTACAACGGTAAAATGCCATCAACAGGTCTTTGAGGGTTTATTTTATGGGGGTGGGGGCTGGTGAGCGATAAGCAGCAGCTTCTTGTTTTATGTCTGGTTGGGTTCTAGTCTTGTTTACCCTGTGTGGACTTCTGGCACCAGGGGAGAAGGGAGGTTGGCTCTGCTCTCCTCCCGGGGTTTGTGACGCCCGCGTGAAATGACGCTTGCTTTTCTCTTCTCTTCTCCCCTTCATAAACCACCTCTTCAGATGGATGCCGATTACGACCCCACCCAGGAGCCAGGCCCCTCCAGAAAGCAGCGGAGGCTGGAGGTTCCCCTTCTGGGCAAGAAGAAGCGCAAGTCGCATTTTGCAGAGGCTGTCAGTCGGGAGAAAAAACCCTTTGACCCTGGTAAGGATGGTAGATGAGCCAGCCTTACTTTGCCTGGCGTCTTTTGCCCATAGAACCTCTCCCAGGCCAGGTGGCATCAACTGCATTTGAGAATTGTTGGAACTGAGAGAGAAGGGGACTTGCTCTCTTTGGGTGATGGAGGCTTCCTTGAGAGATTGAACGCTTCTGGGCATTTTTCTGCTTCCCCGTTTAGTGAAAATCTCCTTGCCCAGCCCAAACGTCTTTCTCTCTCCCCGCCCCTTTTTTTAATTATTTATGCTTCTCAGGTTTATACATTTCATTAATTTCACAATCATTTTAACGTTTCAAAATTTGACTTCCTTTGGTTCCTTAAATTTAATTTTAATATCTTCTGCATATCCAAATTCACCTTAATTTGCTCAATTATTTATCTACTTTAAATACTCTTATAAAACTGCAGGTTGTTACAATAACCCTGCCAATGTTCTTATCTATTTAAAATTTATCTGTAAATATTCAACAAACCATTTCCATTCTTTTATAAGAAGTTTGCTATCTTGATTTCTTATTATTCCGGTAAGTTTCGCCCTTTCTGCATATTCCACAAGTTGTTGTGTCCATTCTTCCTTTTCTGGGACTTCTGCTTCTTTCCATTTTGGGGCAGGTAACATTCCTGCTGCTTTAGTAGCATACATAAATAAGTTCCTTTTTATTTTATTTTTAAAAATATTTTTATTAAATTTTATTTATCAAATTTAAATTCAAACATTAAACATCCACATCATCATTTAAGCTTCTCTGAATCCTTCGACTCCCCTCCGCCCTTCCATGGTTACAATTATCAATCTTTTTTTCAACTGCTTCCCTTATATTCTTTATTTTTTAAAAGGAAACAATCCATTTTTTACGATAGTTTTTCATACATTGCAAGTATTACTGCAATCCTGCCAAAGTTTTTAATTGTTTACAGTGTTCTCTTAAATACATTGTAATTTTTTACATTGGGAAAAAATATGCATCAATAAGTTTCTATACAATTTACGCATTTCTGTCCCTATAATTCCCCAAAGAAAAGCTTCTGGTTTTTTTGTTTTTGTTTTTACAAAGGTTATTAAAAACTCTCTCTCTTTCTCTTTGCAGAGACAAAGACCTTTGAGCAGTACCTAGATGAATTCTACCGCCTGGACTATGAAGACCTGATAGGGGACTTGCCTTGCCGTTTCAAATACCGAACCGTGGTCCCCTGCAGCTATGGGCTCTCAACTGAGGAGGTAGGTAACTTGACCCTTTGGCAGAGACTGAGGCAGATTTCTTTTCTCCCGCTGGGGGGGGGAGGACCGTTGTCTGTTTTGGTCAGACAGTGGTACCTCGGGTTACATACGCTTCAGGTTACAGACTCCGCTAACCCAGAAATAGTACCTCAGGTTAAGAACTTTGCTTCAGGATGAGAACAGAAATTGTGCTCCGGAGGTGCAGCGGCAGCAGGAGGCCCCATTAGCTAAAGTGGTTCTTCAGGTTAAGAACAGTTTCAGGTTAAGAACGGACCTCCGGAACGAATTAAGTACTTAACTCGAGGTACCACTGTATACTAGATGAGATGCAACAAACTGAAGCTCAATCCAGAGAAGATTGAGGCACTGTTTGTGGGCGGTTCCCTAGACTGGATGGATGGAAGATGACCTGCTCTTGATGGGGTTACATTCCTTTTGAAGGAGCTGGTATGTAGCTTGGGAATATTTCTGGACCCATTTCTTGAGACTTGGGTGGCCTCAGTGGCACTGAGTGACGTCTGTCTGCTTTGGCAGGTGGCCCACACATGCCCCTGTTTGGACAGGGATAGCCTAACATCTGCCATCTAAGCTCACGTAACCTTCGGGCTAGATTTTTGCAATACGTTCTACATGGGGCTGCCCCTGAAGACGATTCAGAAACTTCAGCTGGTATAGAATGCAGCAGCCAGGTTGCTCAAGACCAGGGGTCAGCAGCCTTTTTCAGCCGTGGGCCAGTCCACCGTCCCTCAGACCATGTGGTGGGCGGGACTATATTTTGAAGGAAAAAATGAACAAATTCCTATAGAGGACATAGCCACCAGTACCAGGCAGTAGATGAACATTGGGATGCACAGAAACCTCGTGTGGATTCTTCAAAGGTTAAGTCTCCTTGGACTGGATCTTGCACCAATTTGCAGTTTTCCCTTTTTGGGACTAGCCTTTCAGCTCTCATCTGACAACTCAACTCCTAACATGAGGCTTCTGTCTAGCCAAAGGGATTCTGCACATGCTTCATTCTTGCCCAGGGGTCAGCAAACTTTTTCAGCCATAGGCTGGTCCACCGTCCCTCAGACCATGTGGTGGGCCAGACTATATTTTGAAGAAAAAAATGAACGAATTCCTATGTCCCACAAATAACCCAGAGATGCATTTTAAATAAAAGCACACATTCTACTCATGTAAAAACACGCTGATTCCTGGACCGTCTGCAGGCCGGATTGAGAAGGCGATTGGGCCGCATCCGGCCCCCAGGCCTTAGGTTGCTTACCTCTGCTCAAGTGTGTTTGAGCATACTACACCAAACCTGGCCTAACTCCACTGGCTGCCAATCAGTTTCTGGGCCCAGTTCAAAGTGCTGCTTTTGACCTATAAAGCCTTAAACGGCTCAGGACTGCAATACCTGAAGAACCACCTCTTTCCATATGAACCTACCCAGACCCTGAGATCATCTTCTGAGGCCCTTTTTCATGTGCCTCCTCTGGAGGGTGGCAACACGAGAACAGGGCCTTCTCTGCAGTGGCTCCCTGTTTGTGGAATGCTCTCCCCAGGGAGGCTCATTACATATCTTTAGCCACCAGGCGAAAACATTCCCCTTCAACCATGCTGTGGCCTTTTCAATGTATTTGCTGGAGGCAGGGTTGTTGCTGGTTTGGTTTTGTTCCGTTATGTATTTTGTGTTCTCATTTGCATCGTGAACTGCTCTGTGATTTCCGGATGAAGGGAGGCGCACAAATTTAATAAACAAAGGCCGGGGTGCATGCTTGTGGAGGATCAGGTGCCAATTGGAGCAACATTCGGACTGCCTCACCAGAGTGGTGCATGCTCTGGTTCTCTCTCTTGGACTACTGCAATGCGCTCTGTGTGGGGCTACCTTTGAAGGTGACCCGGAAACTACAACTAATCCAGAATGCAGCAGCTAGACTGGTGACTGGGAGCGGCCGCCAAGACCACATAACACCGGTCTTGAAAGACCTACATTGGCTCCCAGTACGTTTCTGAGCACAATTCAAAGTGTTGGTGCTGACCTTTAAAGCCCTAAACGGCCTCTGTCCAGTATGAAGGAGCGTCTCCACCCCCATCGTTCTGCCTGGACACTGAGGTCCAGCTCCGAGGGCCTTCTGGCAATTCCCTCCCTGCGAGAAGTGAGGTTACAGGGAACCAGGCAGAGGGCTTTCTTGGTAGTGGCACCCGCCCTGTGGAATGCCCTCCCACTAGATTTCAAAGAGAGCAACTACTACCAGACTTTTAGAAGACATCTGAAGGCAGCCCTCTTTAGGAAAGCTTTTAATGTTTGATGCATTACTGTATTTTAATATTTTGTTGGAAGCCGCCCAGAGTGGCTGGGAAAGCCCAGCCAGATGGGCGGGGTATAAATAATATATTATTATTATTATTATTATTATTCAAATAAGAAATGAATGATTCTTTCTCCCTAGATCCTGGCAGCTGATGACAAGGAGCTGAACCGCTGGTGTTCTTTGCGGAAGACCTGTATGTACAGGTGAGGCGCAGGAAGGATGCGGTGTCTGTCTACACTGGAAACCGAATTAAAGGGGGGGTCCTGCTGTGTGCAGTGTGGCTTGGGGACCAGGACTCCTGGGTTCTAGCCCACTTCTGGTTGCGCTGGTCGCCGCGACTCGTGCTTCAGTTTTTTCGAAGAATTCAAGATTTTCTGGCAAGCGACAATGCACAAAGGGGCCTGCAAGTTTGGGAATGGGGCGGAGGTGTCGGCTTCTGAGTCACAGAGCAATCCACTGCAGCTCCAGTGTCTAGCAAAGAGGAATCTTTGCAGACCTCTTGGTTTTGGGGGGGTTCTGCACCTGCACAAGGCACCATCCACTACCTGCCATGCTGTTGTCTACGATGAGATGGTTTTGTTCCTTGCTTTTCCCCTCCCACCCGCATCAGGGAGGGAAGGAGGGCATCTTGCATGTGGCACCTGACAGGTGTATTCTCCATGCAGGTCTGAGAAGGAGGAGCTGCGAGACAAGACGGCCTATGAGCAGAAAGGCCAGAATACTTGGAAGAAGAAGCAGGTTCTCAAATCCCTTCAGTCCGAGTATGTGCTCTATTTTATATCTATATTGCTATTTTATTTGATTTCAAGATTCAAGATTGCATTTTAACACTCAATAATTATACTCCTTCAATGCTAATGACTTTCTACTTGTTCATTCTCAAAGTTCATAAATATAGTTTCACATAACTGCATTTTTTAAAGTACCCTCATGTCAAGCTTCATCCTCTTTAACCGGTTTCTTAATATAATCTACTATTTTTTCTCCTTAAATTTCAAACCCCACTGTGGACTTCATGTATAAATAATAACTTTTTAAGTCCGTTTCAGGGGCCTTATCCCATCCGCTGGTTAGTTTAATCCAGTCCCTGTGGCAGTTTATTTCCTGGGGCAAAATCATTAAAAAAGCTCAACAACTTCAATCCTAAAAAAAGGCCAAGAACTTTGGTCGGCCCTCACAGCCCTTCACATCATCAAATCTGGCCCTCATTGAAAAAAGTTTGGACACCACTGTTTTAAGTAAACTAGGAAAGGTCTCCTGTCCTCAACAACAACAACAACAATAATTTTATTTATATCCTGCCCTCCCCAGCCAAAGCCGGGCTCAGGGCTAACAACAATAAAGGTAACACAACATTCTAAAATCAATTCATTTTAAAATCAATTCAAAATCAAATTCATGACAACCATTGGACTAGAGTTCTGTGAGGATTACCAAAGGAGGGAGTCAGACTGTGCCTTGGCCAAAGGCCTGGTGGAACAGCTCTGTCTTGCAGGCCCTGCGGAAAGATGTCGTCCCACAGGTCCCTAGTCTCTTGTGACAGAGAGTTCCACCAGATCAGGGCCACTGCCGAAAAAGCCCTGGTTCTGGTTGAGGCCAGTCTAACCTCCCTGTGGCCCAGGACCTCCAAGATGTTTTTATTTGAAGATCGTAAGGTCCTCCATAGGACATACCAAGAGAGGTGGTCCTGTAGGTGTGAGGGTCCTAGGCCGTATAGGGCTTTAAAGGTTAAAACCAGCACCTTAAACCTGATCCTGTACTCCACCGGGAGCCAGTGCAGCTGGTATAGCACCGGGTGAATGTGATCCCACAGCGAGGACCCCGTAAGGAGTCTCGCTGCGGCATTCTGCACCTGCTGGAGTTTCTGGGTCAGTCTCAAGGGCAGCCCCATGTAGAGTGAGTTACAATAATCCAGTCTGGAGGTGACCGTCGTGTGGATCACAGTGGCTAGGTCAGGCCGAGAGAGGTAAGGAGCCAACTGCTTAGCTTGGTGGAGATGAAAAAATGCCGCCTTTGTTATAGCTGCAATCTGCGCCTCCATGGAAAGGGAGGTGTCGAAGATTACACCCAAATTCTTAATGGACAGTGCTGGCACTAATTGCACCTCCGCAAGAGATGGGAGTTGCAAGGATCTAAGCTTGAATCTCTTATCGGTGCCATCAGTTTAGTCATCTCTGCGTATTCTTTGATTTTTGTCAGCCATTCTTCCTTGGAAGGTATTCTTTCCTCCTCCAACTTACGAGCATAAAAATTTCTTGCCACTGTGATTACATTCCCTCCTGAGGCCATCTCTTTCACTCTGCAACGCAGCAGTAGCCCTCTGAGATCCACACAATGTTTTCATCCTATTTCATTCATCCGTTTGCTCCCCTTTCAGGGCGGAGGAGCCGGAAAGCGAAAAGAAAACACCAGGCAAGAAAGGAAAGAAGGGCAGGGACAAGGCCAAGCGCCAGGAGCTGCCTTCTAAAGAGCTGCGGATGCCCGACACAGAATGCAAGAAAGAACGGCTCCTGCTTCCCAAGGGAGATCCTGGACCGAAACCAGCGCCAGCCTCAAGCAGCCGGGTGGAGACTGCCACTCCACAGGACCCCTCTCCTGCCGTCCCCAGAGTCCAGAGGCCGAAGAAGAGAAGCAGGAAGGGGGTGGCGCGGGTGCGGGTGGGCCGCTTGGAGTTCAGCCGCCAGCGACTCCAGGCCTATGGCCTCAACGCAAAGCGCCTGCACTTCCGCCAGCTTCTCCGCGAGAAACGGCGGAGGAAGCCTAAGGAAGGCACTCCAGACCAGGCCAAGAAAGCAGCTCAGGCCTGAGCTATCCCGCGGCTCAACTTTGGAGCAAAAGTTTCCTTGGACAAGGGATCTGTTTGATGGCTGCAAGCGATGGCCCAGAAGGTAGCACTTGGTGCCTCTGGGCTTCAGGGCAGCATTTGTGCAGAAGAATGATTCAAATACATTGCCAGTTATCACTCTTGGCATTTTGTATCGGCTCAATTGCGTCGTTCTGTTCTTCCACCCCAGTGTTTCCCAAATTTGGATCTCCAGCTGTTTTGGACTACAGTTCCCATCATTCCTGATCACTGGTCCTGCTAGCTAGGGATGATGGGAGTTGTAGTCCAAAAGCAGCTAGAGACCCAAGTTTGGGAAACCTTGTAGCCTTGTAAGTCTGGGCTTATCACAGTGTCTGTTCTCTCGTCAGTCCTTACACAGCATCCAGACCATTTCTTTCCAATACCTGATTGGGGTTGGTGGATTTTCCATAAAATGCAGTTGCAGAACGAGCTGGGTCCCATATGGATTGGCAAAATGCTCTCAAAACTTTCCAGAGCTCCTGTGGCATTAATGAAGCATTACTCTTTTTTCCTCATCCTCTTCTTCCTCATCAGTATGGGTAGGAGGTTGTTGGTGAGTAGCTCATTAATTTGTCTTTTAATATCTCTTGAATTCCACTATCTCTTTCTGCAGGGACGTGGGGGCCTTTAATTCCTGGTTTCTTTTTCCATTTTATTTTTTGGATAGCTGAATAGCAGTATTTTTAAAAGTGGGAGAAGGAATCGTGAATTAAAAGCCACAGAAACTGATGCTGACATTGGGGCAACGGAGAGGCTGTCACCAATTGTCTACCTAGCTGCTCGTTGGGAAGCAATAAAACCAGGCTGTGAACATCACCCAGGCTTGCTTGAGAGTTAAAATTACAGAAGGCTCATGGTTGTGAGGGAAGGGCATTGCTGGATGATCTGCTGAAATAAGTACTATGTGGAGCCTTCATTTTAATTCTGCTTTCACCTAATTATAGAAAATAAATTCCTGGGCAGTGCAAAAGTGAAGCAGATAGTATTAGATATCTAGTTGCAAGTTGCAAGCAAGCAGGTCCTGCAAGATGTTATCCTTTTGTAACTTGTTCCAAAAACCATTCAAGACGAAACTATTTGCGTACGCAACCACGGCTGCATGGACTCTCTTAGTTCAGAAATGGAAAAATGGTGCAACTCCGACCAAAGAAGAGTGGCAAGACAAAATTGCTGAACTATGCCGAGATGCCAAAGCTTACAGGAAAAATTAGAAATCAGGAAGAGGAGGTCTTTAATAAATAATGGGGAAAGTTTATAATTCATTTGAAAAGCTGTTGTAAACAATTACATACATTGGTAGGATTGACAGAAAACTTGTAGTAAAGAATTGAACTATGGATTGACAAAGGATTTATAAGAAACAGCGTTATGATAGAGGTGCAGAGGGGGAAATTGTTATGTTAAGATCCACAATTTGGGGGGGAGGGTGAATCAGAAGAGCTTATATGTTTATGTGTTTAACTCATTTGTTTATGCAAAATAGAAAATGCAAAAATAAAATTTATTTTAAAAATCAAAAACCATCCAAAAACCAAGAAATAAGATTCACATATTTTCTTTGTGGGAAGGCCAGGAGAGTCCAGAATTGGCTTCCACAGTCACTTAAAGACTCACTGTTAAGACTGTGATCACGGAAGACAATCTTACTCGCCCACGAGTGATCACCAAAGAAAAGAAAATATAGTTAATGAGAGGCGAGCAGATCAAGAGCTGCCCTTCCCTCCTGGACACTCGAGCACACATTCACACATACAATCTGCAAAACAAAGGTGGGATTCAATCTAGACCCTGTTCAGCCCATCTGGTTGACTGGACTGCATGAAATCACAGAAAGCGAGTGCCCCCCCCCATCTTCTTTTCTTAACAAACCCCAGAAGGCAGGCCTCTCCCGCTGGCTTCTCTAGTTTGTGACCTCGAGAGAACTTGCTAAGGCAGCTTGATGCTGGCATTAAACATGTCCTTGGGATCTGTAATCCTGAAGTGGGTGTATTGCTCCACAGGCGGAGGCCGGGGGAGAATGCAGAGAGGAAAATGCCACGTAGATGGGACCCAGAACAGGTCAGTTCCGTTCTTGAAATTCAACACGTAGCATCTTTTATCGGAGGACTGCTGTGCGCCTCTTTTCCCTGAGCGCGTTCTTATGCTGTGTTTAGGCCACTAAGTCTCTTAACATCCCTAACAGCTGTGCATTTTGTGTTTGTTATACAGTGGTACCTCGGGCTACATACGCTTCAGGTTACATACGCTTCAGGTTACAGACTCCGCTAACCCAGAAATAGCGCTTCAGGTTAAGAACTTTGCTTCAGGATGAGAACAGAAATCGTGCTCTGGCGGCGCAGCGGCAGCAGGAGGCCCCATTAGCTAAAGTGGTGCTTCAGGTTAAGAACAGTTTCAGGTTAAGAACAGACCTCCGGAACGAATTAAGTACTTAACCTGAGGTACCACTGTATTGAGATTTGTGCACTGCTGGGAGGTATAGAGTGGTATACAATTTTAATAAATAAGAAGAACAGCTGTAAATGTGTGTCGGGACTAAACAACCGACAAGCTTCTTTTTTACTTTTTAATTTTATTTTGACAAAGTAATAATCATAAATAAGAATAAAAATGTGCACCCCACCCCCAAGACCATTCCATTGTAACCAACCTCCCAAAATTTCAACACCTACTGCAATAGTTTGACCCCTTTCCATTTTAACGGTACAAATTCTACAAACCCCCTCAGTACCTCCTGAAAATAATTTCTCCTGCATATTCCCCCGTCTTACCTTAATGGCACATTTTAATTTATCATTAATAGCTATACCCCCCACCTCTTTATACCATTCTTCCCTGTTATATTTATTTTGCTTGCCCCTTCCTAGCTATCATAATCCGTGCAGCTGTGAATAAATTTGTGAGCAAGTCCTTCATAGCCTGTGAACCTTCCACCCCATCGTAAACTGATGATAATGCTATCTCTGGATTTTTGGTCAGCTTTAGCCTACCGACTTCTGATGCATTTTGAGAATGTGCATTGGAATCAGTTCTGCTTTCAGGGAGCTATGCAGCTGTGGGATCCTGAAGCTTGTGCTGACATGGAGGTGGAAGCTGGGTGTGGTTCAGCAGCAGGAATGGGGAACTGGTGACAAGAACCTCCCTCCACTGCAGCTGCTGTTGGGCTCCAGGCCCTATTCTCCCAGACCATGCTAGCTAGGGCTGTTGGGAGTCCGGAGGACCACACAATTCCCACCAAATACTCTTTTATATAAATATTTTTAATTAAATTTTCTGTTTTACAATTTAAAATACTCATTTTACATCCTTAAGATATCAACAACTTCCCTTCTCTTTCCACGGTTCATTTTACATACCATAAATCCCCACATATTTTACAAAAACTATACCATTCAGTATTCCATTATTGCATCCATCAAAACTTGTTTACGCTGATGAATTTATCTTAATGCTGCTGCCAGCGTTTTCAGCTGTACACAGTTATTTCCCATATTTTCAATAAACGTTTTCCAATCTTCTCTAAACGTATGTTCTTCTTGTTCTCTTATTCTATATGTTAAGTCTGTGAGTTGTGCATATTCTTTCAACTTAAGTTCTTCTCTGGTTGGGACCTCGCTCGTTTTCAATTTTTGGGCTAACCAAACACAGGCCGCAGTACAGTCGTACCTTGGAAGTCGAGCAGAATCCATTCTTGAACTCCGTTCGACTTCCAAAACGTTTGGAAACCAAAGTGCAGCTTCTGATTGGCTGCAGGAAGTTCCTGCAGCCAATCAGAAGCCACGGAAGCCCCGTCAAACGTTTGGCTTCCAAAAATAGTTCACAAACCAGAACAGTCACCAAACTGTTCAGAAACCAGGTATGACTGTAGTAAAAAGGTAAAGGGACCCCTGACCATTAGGTCCAGTCGTGGCCAACTCTGGGGTTGTGGCGCTCATCTCGCTTTATTGGCCGAGGGAGCCGGTGTACAGCTTCTGGATCGTGTGTCCAGCATGACTAAGCCGCTTCTGGCGAACCAAAGCAGCGCACGGAAACGCCGTTTACCTTCCCGCTGGAGCGGTACCTATTTATCTACTTGCACTTTTATGTGCTAGGTTGGCAGGAGCAGGGACCGAGCAACGGGTGCTCACCCCGTCGCGGGGATTTGAACCACTGACCTTCTGATTGGCAAGCCTTAGGCTCTTGTGTTTTAGACTACAGTGCCACCTGCGTCCCGATGACTGTAGTAGCATACATAAATAACCTTTTTTGATTCCCACCAAATCTCAGCACTCTGGGCTGTTGGGTTTTTTTACTGAAGTCCTTTCTGTCGCTTGCAGCCTTGCAGGTATTATTTTCAGGGCACCTTTTCCAGGACCTGGGGCGCCTGTTCCCTGAACTGCCCATCTCCCTTTTCTGATGCCTTTCAGATAACACGAAACCCTCCTCACCCAGGGAGGCTGCGTTACTCCTTTGCAACTCAGTCTGCATTTTATTGAAAACTTGGGGCAAGCGGCTGGGTTTAGTTAATAGGTTTTGGGTACTGCCTTGCCTTGTTGGGTGAGATGTGTCATTCCTTAGCCTCTCACGAAGGGGGTCGGGCTGCTGTCCTGTCCTTTGGGTCCCCCTGTTTAAGAAGCCTCAGCCCCCTGTGCCCAACAGCTGCTCTCTTGAGGCCAGGAGACGTTGACGCGTCAGATCTTCCATCTGCTTGTTTGGCTGCTTTGTATCTCGTAATAGTCTGTGGAAGTTCTGAGCCGCTTTAGGGAGGTGAGGCGAGGTAAGACACCCATTGACTGAGAGGCTTAACGTGGCCACTGGGCGAAAAGCGTGATTTGGTGACTATTCGGAGCTGAGCTGCGCTGAGCGTGGGGAGCCTCTACCCTGGGCCCTGAAATTCCAGAGGGGTGCTGCCTTGCCTAACCACTGCTCTGAAGATGAACTGCTTTTGCCTCTCGGTTGCCATCTGGAGACACCGCTCCTTGCTCCTGGGTGCCATTTTCCTGCTTCTGCTGCTGCTCCTCAGGCAACTGACCAAGCAGTGAGTATTGGTATGTGGGGTACAAGGGAGCTTTGTAGAGAGAACTGTCTTGGTACTGGTACGATCCTGACCTTGAAAGACCATTGCTCACCTCTCTGCTTGATTTCTGAAAAAGGGGTTCAGAGCCAACGCAGAAGAGATGTGTTTTTGAGCAGGTGTTGCGGAATAACCACAGCCAGCTCCTTGAATCTGGTCCCAGAGGGAAGGATTGCCAGTCTGCAAGAAATGTCTTCCATCCTCACTTTTGTGTGTGTGTGTGTTTAATAAATACATCCCTATCCTGCTCTTCCTCCCAAAGCAGCTCAGGGCACAATTAGAAATTAAGCCTTGTGTAAGAAGACTGAGAAATAAATTAGTCCTTGGTACTGCCTTTTGGGTTTGTTGGTTCTTTTGGGTAGCTCTAGAGATGTGCTCTAGAGATGGCACTCTGTAATTTTTGGTTCCAAGCGTCCAGATGGTCTCTTTCCGGTCCATGTGTGGAGCTGGTTGTTGTTGTTTTTTATATAGTAATTTTTATTGTTTTACAACACAAATATACAATTTTATCCAATTTTTAACAAACAAATTCTCTCTTTTTGGACTTCCTTTCAGCTTCTCTGACAATCATCCATCTGTACCTCTTAGTTACGCATTCCTTCTCCTTTAGTATTGTCTTTAGTCTTCCCTCCCACATCTATTGTTTTTGACAATACCTCTTAAATTTCACAATGCTTCTTTAAATCCCACTAACGTTCTTTGCAAATCACATATATTTTTCAGATATTCTACAAATTTTCCCCAGTCTTCGATGAACTTTTGGTCTTTAAGATATCTGATTTTCCCAGTTAGCTTGTCCAATTCTGCATAGTCCGTCAGTTTCAATCTCCAATCTTCTATCGTCGGTATTTCCTCTTGTTTCCATTTCTGGGCCAGTAGAATCCTTGCAGCTGTAACAGCATATTGAAAGAGTTTGCAGTCTTTTCTTCTTATCTCTTTTCCTGTAATCCCTAAAAGAAAAGCTTCTGGTTTCTTTACAAATGTATACTTTAACATCTTTTTCAGCTCGTTATATATCATCTCCCAGAAACTTTTAACTTTCTTACAATCCCACCACATATGATAAAATGTTCCATCTTTTTCTTTACATTTCCAACACTTATTAGACGTCTTAAACATTTTTGCCAATTTAACTGGTGTTATATACCATCTATAGAACATTTTCATCACATTTTCCTTTAACGCCGTACATGCAGTAAATTTTAAGTTATCTTTCCATAATTTTTCCCAATCCTCAAATTGTATATTATGACCAAAATCCTTGGCCCATTGTATCATTACCGACTTAACTTCTTCGTCTTTCGTATGCCATTCCAACAATATCTTATACATTTTTGACAGAATTTTACAATCATTGTTTATTATGTCAATTTGAAACTTGGAGTCTTTTTCTGCATAGCCACATTCTTTCATATCTTTTTTAAACATTTCATTAACCTGAAAGTAATGCAACCAATCATAAACATATTCTTTAACTTGCTCATATGGTTTTAATTTCCATTTTCCTCCTTCTTTCTTTGTCAGTTCACCATAAGTAATCCATTTACCTCCCATATTAATTTTCTTTACACTCATAACTTCTAACGGAGATAACCAGTGTGGAACTCTTGGTTCTAATAGGTTTTTATACCTATCCCATATTTCTATTAACGCACTCCGAAAGATGTGGTTCCCAAAACCTTTATGGATTTTCATCTTCCCACACCATAAGTACGCGTGCCATCCAAATCTGTTATCAAAACCTTCTAAGTCCAGTAATTCTTTATTATCTAGTTTTATCCACTCTTTCAACCAGCAAAGACATATAGTTTCAGGTCTGGCAGGGCAAAACCTCCTCTTTCCTTCTCATCTGTTAATAGCTTAAATTTAATTCTCGGCCTTTTGCCCTGCCAGATATACCTTGAAATTGTTCTTTGCCACTCTTTAAAAATCATTGCCCCCTTTATTATGGGGACAGTCTGAAATAAAAATAACATCTTTGGAAGCACACTCATCTTTATCGTAGAGATTCTACCCCAAAATGATAATTTCATTCTGCCCCACACCTCTAGATCTTTTCTTATTCCGTTCCAAACCGGTATATAATTATTCTGAAACAAATCGATATTTTTAGGAGTTAACCAGATTCCTAAGTATTTAACCTTTTTCACCACCTCTATCTCTGTTTGTTGTTGCATTATTTCTATCATACTTTGCTCCATATTTTTTGCAATTATTTTGGTTTTCTTCTTATTCAATTTAAACCCTGCCACCTTCCCAAATTGATCCATTTCCGCTAGTACTTCTTTTGCACTTTCTATTGGTTCTTCAATCGTTAATACCAGATCATCTGCAAAGGCTTTAACTTTGTATTCATTCTGATCAACTGTTATCCCTTTAATTAATTTATTTTGTCTGATCGCATTAAGAAGTACCTCCAGGACCGTTATAAACAGCAATGGTGAGAGCGGACATCCTTGCCTAGTTCCTTTAGATATTTTAATATCTTCCGTAGTCACATTATTTACAATCAACTTAGCTCTCTGTTCTGTATAAATTGTCTTTATCCCATTAAAAAACTCTTTTCCCACTTCCATAATCTCCAGATTTTTCAACATAAAGTCCCATGCTATGTTATCAAAGGCCTTTTCTGCATCGACAAACATAAGTATAGCTTGTTTCTCATTCCTGGCAGTCAGATATTCCAAAATATTAATTATGTTCCTTACATTATCCTTCATCTGGAAGGAATCCTGCTTGATCCTTATGAATAATTTCTAATATTATCCTTTTCATTCTTCTTGCTAGGATCCCTGCAAAGATTTTGTAGTCTGTATTCAACAATGAAATAGGCCTATAGTTTTTAACTTGAGTTAAATCTGAGTCCTGTTTTGGGATAAGTGTAATGAATGCTTCTTTCCACATTTCCGGGATGTCTCTTTCCTTTAGAATATTGTTCATAACTTCTTTAAAAGGTAACATCAAAACATCTTTTAGCTCTTTATAGTATCCTGATGTAAATCCATCTGGTCCTGGTGCCTTTCCCCTCTTCAATTCCTTTATAACCTCTTTAATTTCATCCGTTTCTATTAGGGCATTCAGTTGGTCTCTTTTTTCTGCCGGGATCTTTTGCACCTTTTTCCCTTTAAGAAATCTCTCAATTTTCCTCATGTTGTTCTTATCTTTGTTTTTATATAATTGTCGAGAAAAGTCCAAGAATCCTTTCCTAATTTCTTTCAGATTTTCTATCTCCTCACCATTCACAATGATTTTATTGATTGTGTTCTGCTCCTTTCTTTTTTTGATTTGCCATGCAAGCCATTTGCCTGATTTGTTAGCGAATTCAAAATTTCTCTGTCTTAACTTTTTAATATTCCATTCCACTTCTTTATTTATTATCATTGCAAATTGTGATTGCAAAGTCTTGATTTCTTGTTTTATCTTAAGGTTGTTTGGTTTTCTGATTAGTTTATATTCATTGTCCATTATCTGCTTTAAGATTTCCTTTTTTCTTTTTTCTCTATTTTTATTCTTCAATGAATTCTGCTGGATAAAAAAGCCATGCATCACAGCCTTACTTGCGTCCCATACAACACTCATCTTTGTACCCTTATTGCAATTGTCAACAAAGTAATCAGTTAATTTCTTTTGTGCTTTTCCTACGACTTCGTGGTCGTCCAGGAGATAATCGTTGATTTTCCACCTAAATGATCTTTCTTCAAAACCTTTTAATTCCATTTTTATTGGATTGTGATCTGAAATTATTTTAGGCTGTATTTCAACTTGTAGGATTCTTGGAGTCAGTTCGTTCGATACCCATATTTGATCTATTATTTACATTGACTGATTCGATTCAGAAAAATATGTGAATTGTTTCTCCAGTGGATGTCTAAGTCTCCAGATATCAGTCAAATTACAATTTTTAATCATTGAGAAGAAAGACTTGGGTAGTTTCCCTTCTTTTGATGTTCCATATCTTAATCTGTCCATTTCCAGTGAAACTACCCCATTCATATCTCCCATAATTATGATTTTCTGATCCATAAATTCAAACAGTTTTTCATCCAAGGATTTGTAGAAGTCAGTCTTGTTTCCATTAGGTGCATAGATCCCGACAATTATCAAATTTTCCCCTTGCCATTTGATCCGGACTGCTATAATTCTTCCTTCTTCATCTTTAAAAATTTGTTGCGCTTCGATTTTATTTTTGATGTATAAAACAACTCCTCTTTTTTCTCTTTATCTGAAGATATAAATTCATTTCCTAATCTTTTGTTAATCAAATTTTTCCTGTGCTTTTTTGCCACATGAGTTTCTTGTAAACATATAATGTCCAGATTTTTCTTTTTTTTAAATTGTTCAATTTTATTCCTTTTTTTCCCTTGTTCATTCCACTGATGTTCCAATTTCATAAGTTTATCGCCATGATGGTTTCTGATTAAATAAGTTTGTTATGCTTTCTTATAACCTCTCTACTTCTTCTTTCTCTTCTTCTTCCTCTTCCAATTCCAAACCTCCTTCTGCACCTTTAGCTTCTTCCTCTTCTGTTCTTAGTTCTTTATACTTTGTGTGGAGCTGGTTGTTGGCCCAGCAGTTCTGTAAAAGGCTCTGTAATTTATCACTAGGTCTATTCATTACCTGGTCCATCTTTCCTTGAACAATATTGTTTCTTTTTTTTTTAAGTGTCACATAAAACTCTGAACTTCCAGTTGATAGATATAGATGATAGATAGATAGATGTTAGATGTTAGATGTTAGATGATAGATGATAGATATCTCAAAGGGTTTCAACCTTTTTGGGTGCACAGCTCCCTTGACCAACTCCTTTCTGCGGCACCACTGGGGGGCTCAGGAGCCCAGTTATGTCAACCCTTTCCCACAGAGCTGGCAGCCTCTCATACCTTTTTGAACACCCTTGTCTAGGGTTCCCTCAGCCTCCTCTCCCCTCTCCTTGGGAGTCTTCTGGGCAGCCGCTGCTGCCGCCCCAATCTCTGAGCGGGCCCCCCAGCCAAAGAGAGGTGCCTCCTCACACTGCCCCATAGGCGCCTGGGAAGCTCCCCCAGGCCAGCCCCAGAGGCACCATTCACCTGCAGAGCTTGTAGCCAGGGCTGCTGCAACCAACAGCTCGGCAAGCCTTTGGGATAGAGAGACACAAGTAGACATGAGAGGAGAGAGGGAAAGGAAGAGGGACAGAGGTCAGTGTTGCCAGCGGCACCCCTGACCATCATTCAAGACACCCCAGGGTGCCACAGCACACTGGTTAAAAACCACTAATATATATATCAGTGATATTTGCGTGTCATCCTTGTGCAAGGGCCCTGCTGATCTCTGTATCGCTCCAATTTTAGTATATGTCCTGCCGACGCAAGTAGCAGTCTCAAGATAATTGAAATGAAGATGCACCCAGCAGCTATTGTAATGAGCACAACAAGCCTTGTGTTGGATGTGCCACCATTCTCTCTGCAACACAGCTCCCTGCCTGGATAGGGCCATCTGAATATGGGGAGAGGGCAGTGTCGGAAGCTATAAAGTTTTGCAGATTACTTCCCCATTTAACTTAAAGTGGCGTAAAATGGTTCTTTTTAAAGAGATGTTATTTTTACCCTTTCCCCTTAGGGTAAATTACAATACTAGAGAGCAGTGTACAGTGGTGCCCCGCAAGACGAATGCCTCGCAAGACGAAAAACTCGCTAGACGAAAGGGTTTTGCGTTTTTTGAGTCGTTCTGCAAGACGAATTTCCCTGTGGGCTTGCTTCGCAAGACAAAATGTCTTGCGAGTTCTTGCAAGTTTGTTTCCTTTTTCTTAAAGCCGCTAAGCCGCTAAGCCGTTAATAGCCGCTAAGCCGCTAATAGCCGTGCTTCACAAGACGAAAAAACCGCAAGACAAAGAGACTCGCGGAACGGATTAATTTCGTCTTGCAAGGCACCACTGTAGTTCACCCCAGCTCTGCTCCTGGGCTCAAATTTCTGTCTGTGGAGGAGAGCAATAGAAGCTTGCTGTCAGGAGCAATTTCTTTGTGTGAAACCAGTTTATCTGGCTTCCAACTTCTAGATACCCAGTAGATCAGTGGTAGGAAAGTGTGGCCATCCAAATGTTGGTAAGCGCCATCTCCCGTCAGCCCCCTCCCCACCATGGCCAAAGAGTTGTAATAGATGAAAATCATGCTGTGTGATAAGCCTTCCAAAATCCTCTGCCTTAGGGTTTGCTTAACCAAGAGATTGATTAAACCAGGCATTCCCAAACTTGGGTCTCCAGCTGTCTTTGGACTGTCAGGCTTTTCAGGAATAGAAATGGAGCTGCACAGGGTATCTGTTGTCATGGATACGGGGAATGGGAAATATCCAGGTAGGATTGTCAAAGGCCTGTAATGTACACAAGGGACTAGTTTATGAGCATTTAGCACACACCCTCCTGAAGGCATTTCCCAGTTACTAGCAGAGCACAGAACTGTAACACGTGGCATTGTTCAGTCCTGACCAAGAAGCCAGAAACATTTTCTCTCTGTCTTTCTTTGGCAATAATTTGTGCACAGTAAGATTGTCTTCCATGAACACGGTCTTAACAGTGAGTCCATAAGTGACTGTGGAGGCCAATTCTGGATCCACATGCCCTTCCACAGTGGGGACATAGGTTTCTGGGCGGGAGTTGATCACGGTGAGGGCATGCCAAACATGCTCTTAGCATGTTTTTCCCTTTCGTCCTGAGTTTGAGCATCTTCAAAGCCCATGACACCTTTGGTAAAGGCTGGTCTCCAACTGGACCGCTTGCAGGCCAGTGTTTCCCAGTTGTTGGTGTTTATACTACATTTTAAAAGATTTGCCTTGAAGAGAGTCTTTAAACCTCTTTCGTTAATCCACTGGTGGAGAAAGAGGAGTGGGGGGGGAGAGCGCACTGCCCCCGGCAGCACGATCCCGGTGAGGTGCCATTGTGGCTGCCTCCCCTCCCACACTGGGTGCCACGCCTCCGCAGGACATGTGTCACGCCCCTGCGGGCAACACGCCATGCCCCTGCCTGCTCTCCACACACCCCCGGTACCCGAGCTTGAAGCTTCACCACTGTGTTGATCACCAGCATTACACTTTCCATTTTAAAGTTTTCTCTCTAACCCACTCAAGACAAGCTTCAGATCATTTCTGGTATGTACAGCAAGGAGTTTGGCCATTCAGCCATCACCGAGGGGCAGAGTAGTATAAAGTAATCCCAAGGCTGGTCCTACTTATACATTATCCTTAAAGTGACTAGACAGATGATTACAAAAATATCCTAATACCCCAAAGACCCCTACCCCAAGCTGTGCCAAAGTAACTGTGCTGCTGTGGCCTCTTGCTGTGGCACTCCGGTCTAAACCACTGAGCCCCTTGAGCTTGCTGATCAGAAGGTCGGCAGCTCAAATCTGCAATGGGGTGAGCGCCTGTTACTCTGTCCCAGCTCCTACCAACCTAGCAGTGCAAGTAGATAAATAGGTACTGCTGCAGCGGGAAGGTAAAAGGCATTTCTGTGCGCTCTGGTTTCCGTCACAGTGCTCTGTTGCGCCAGAAGCTGTTTAGTCCTGCTGGCCACATGACCAGGAAAGCTGTCTGTGGACAAACGCTGGCTCCCTCGGCCTGAAAGCGAGATGAGCGCCACAACCCCATAGTCGCCTTTGACTGGACTCAACTGTCCAGGGACCATTTACCTTTTTTTACCTTTACTAGTAAACTGCTGGAGAGCATTGTAGTTCATGCCAGCTCTGTTCCTGGGCTTAAATTTATGTCTGTGGAGGAGAGCAATAGCAGCTTGCTGTCAGGAGCAATTTCTTCATGTGAAACCCAGTTTGCCTGGCTTCCAACTTCTAGTACCCAGTAGATCAGTGGTAGGAAACATGTGGCTATCCAACGGTGTTTCCGTGCGCTCTGACTTCCGTCACAGTGTTCCGCTGCTGGCCACATGACCCGGAAAGCTGTCTTTGGACTGAAAAGCGAAATGAGCACCGCAACCCCATAGTCAGCCTTGACTGGACTTAATGATCCAGGGGTCCTTTACCTTTTCTTAAACCTCACCTTGCAGAGAAATATTGCGGATCAGCCCTGCAGAAGAACTGCTGAGTCTGCATCGGAGAAACGCATCCACTCGCTCTCTGGCTGTTCAGCAGCCGCAGGGGAAGACGGGCTTGGAAGAGCCGGTGGGCCTTAATGTTGTCTTTCTGAAGACCCACAAAACAGGCGGCAGCACGGTGCAGAACATCCTCTTCCGGGCTGGAGAGCGGCGGAACCTGACCGTGGCCTTTCCCCTCTATTCCTACCAGTTTGCCTACCCAGAGGCCTTCTCCAGGACCTTTGTGGAGGACCTCCCCACCGGGGCCACCCATTTCAACCTGCTCTGCAGCCATATGCGGCTGGCGGTTCGCGAAGTCCAGGCGCTCATGCCACCACACAGCATCTTCCTCACGATCCTGCGCCACCCTGTTCAAACGTTCGAGTCCGTCTTCCACTACTACCTCAACGTCGTGCCTGCCTTCCAGATGCTGGCCAACCACTCCAGGCCGCTGATGGCTTTCCTGGAGGCGTCGGCTCGCTACTACGATGCCAGGGATGCCAGTAATGGGCTGGCCAAAAACCCCATGGCCTTTGACCTAGGCCTGAACGCCAGTCAGGAAGAAGCGCCGAGTGGCCGGTGGCTGGGAGAGCTGGAAAGGCTGAATCGGACTTTTCAGCTGGTGATGATCGCGGAGCACTTTGACGAGTCGCTCCTCCTGGCGAGGGAGCTGCTGGGGCTGGACATGGAAGAGCTGGTGTACGTCAGGCTCAACGTGCGCCACAAAGAGGGCGAGCCTCTGCCCAAGGCGCTGGTGCAGAAGATCCAGGCCTGGAACTGGTTGGACATGCAGATCTACAGGTTTTTCCAGGGCGTTTTCTGGCACAAGGTGGAGCGCTATGGCTACATGCGCATGAAGAGGGAGTTGGACACCTTCCATGCGCTGCTCAGGGAGACGGGGGCCAGGTGCCTGTCGGGGGAGCCTGTAGGACCTGAGCGCATGACCGATGAGCTGCGGCCTTGGCAGCCGGGCAGTGTCACCATTCTGGGCTACAGCCTCAAACAGAACCTCACCTATGCCCAGTACAACGGCTGCTTCCGTATCATCCTGCCCGAGCTCCAGTATCACGCTTACCTCTATTACAGGCAATATGGGAGGGACATGCGCCCTTAGTAGGTTCCTGGCTATTATTTGAGGGATATTGGGTCAATCCTGCTCTCCTCTCTATCCCTTGACCTCACCTGTCTTACTCATTTGTTTTCCATTGGTTCTCTTGGGTGCGATTCCTGCATTGCAGGGGTTTGGACTAAATGATCCTAGGGATCCTTTCTGACTTAACAACAATTATACCCCACCCATCTGACTGGGTTGCCTGAGCCACTTTGGGCAGCTTCCAACCTATATAAAAACATAATAAATCATTACACTTTAAAAAGCTTCCCTAGACAGGACTGCTTTCTAAAGGTTATATAGCTACTTGATATCTGATGAGAGGGTATTCTACAGGGTGGGTGCCGCTACCAAGAAGGCCCTCTGCCTGGTTCCCTGTAGCTTCATTTATTGCAGGTAGGGAACGGCCAGAAGGCCCTTGGAGCTGGATCTCAGTGTCTGGGCTGAATGATGAGGGTGGAGATGCTCCTTCAGGTATACTGGGCCGAGGCCATTTAGGGATTTAAAGGTCAACACCAACACTTTGAATTTTGCTCGGAAATGTACTGGGAGCCAATGTACTGTAGGTTTTTCAGGACCAGTGTTATATGGTCCTGGCGGACACTTCCAGCCACCAGTCTAGCTGCCACATTCTGGATTAGTTGTAGACTCTACAACTAAGCAAATGTCAAAGATACTCCTGGATAAAACACTCCATCCATTTCAATCTAGTGCCCTGCTATACAGAGACAGAATCCAAGCCTCTCTTGGACGACCAAAGAGAATTGGCTTTTCTTCTACAGTTCTCCACAACATACTGTTGTGAACAGGGATTTTCAGATATGAAAGATCAGAAAAGAGAAAGGCTTCTTTGCGCTGATGAGTGTTTGTCTCAAATTGAAATAACCTGACAAATGATTACCTGACAAAAGCAAGCTCACGCCTCTGATTGAGTTTGTATACCTACTTGAGGGTCATTTGTAAGAGGCTTGTTTATTATTATATTATATTCATGTTATTATGTAGCTGCACTGTTTTATACTCCCTGGATGTCCCATGATCATATTATAAAGTAGTTGTGTTCTATGTTATAAATCAAGCACTGCTAGTAGTTGTCTATTTTTGTTTTCCAATGTATTTTTTATCAATTAAAAAATTGGAGTGCTGCAAGCAAATTTTTATTCTGAAAGTGTGGCCCAGAGGAAAAAAGTTTGAGAACCACTGATTTGAAGTTGTCTTCTGCCACCTCTGGTTAAGAACCCTTTAACACTAGTCTCTTGTTCACCAGCACAGAAGCTAACTGTGAAAAATCTGAAGTTCTAATGTTTAAGTCCAAACTCTATCACCCACAATCCAGCCTGTGATGCAGTGCATTTGCTTCCTCATTGTCTTCCCAGCCTATTCACCTAGATTCAGAAAGGAAGGGACCATCATGCCAATTCCAAAGCGACTGGCTTGCCTGCCTCGGAGAACTTTCAAGGACAAAGAAGTGCATTCAGGAAGATGGGCAAAGTCTATGAGTAGGAGGAAATCTTGAGGCTCCTCTTAATGGTATTTCTGATTACAAGGAGTCGATCCCATTAGGAACCGAACAAGGGGCAGGATTCAATTAGGCTTCTGCACTAGCATGTCCCATGCTGTTCCCAAACTGGCACCATGGGTGGGAGAGAATGTTCACCTTAGTGCTATGCTGAGTACAACTTGACGTAAACATTTCTTCATTGCAGACTTCAGCTGCGGCCTATGAACTACACTAATATGGAGGCAAGTAGCCAAAGAGCTTTTTTCTTTCACAGGTAATATAGCCGATAATTTGCTTTGAAGGTACCTCGAGTTTGGTCATGGTCTGAACTCTACAGGCTGGGAGTTTGGGGGGGGCAGGGGAGTGGCTGTTGTGCTTGTACCAGAGGCGTAGGAAGGGGGGATGGTCCGCTCCAGGTGTCATCCTGGGTGTGTGTGTGACAAAATCCCCCAGGAGGATTGCTGCCGCACCGATCTGCCCCCGTGGGTGGCTCGCCCCACCCCTGGGTGCACAGCATGTGCGACGTTCCGGGTGTCCAAGCACCTAGCTCCACTGCTGGCTTGTACCCTGTTTATGGGCATCTAACTGGCCACTACAAGAACAGGGGTTTGGACCAGGTCTCTGGTTTGGAGAAGCAAGGATTTTTGCCAGTAAACTGGTTCCCGAGTCGTAGCCAGGTCAATGAAAAGCTACACCGTAAAAGTACACCTGTTGGAGCAGAGCTTTTATTGATCACACAGATCTGGAAGGAGGAGTGTTGCCTCTGAAGGGGGGAGTCTGGGTTGCCAGCAGAGTCATCCACACAGCAAACCTGGCTGACCACAAACACACCTGAGTTAAGAAAAGCAGAAGAGCACCCAAGCCCACTTCTGAGAGTTGTCAGTCTAACCTTTGCTTTAGCAGCTGCTGAAGAAAGACTGATAAGGCAGGAGGAAGTGCAGGGAGGGGAAAGAGAATTCAAGCAACTGTCTCCAGGGTAAAGTATACAGGTGGTTGTTTAATACCCTTTTGCCACGGATCTCTTAACCAATATGCAAGGCTCTATCTATCCCAGGGATGCATCTCTGTAGGGAATCCTATTCTTCCCCGATACTAACCTGAACTGTCCCCTCCACTCTTCTTTAGCCTCCTTCCAAAGCGAGACCTTCCTCTACACTTTGAAACCATGTCATAATACTAATTACTCAAGTCCACCCAATACACCATTAACCAAACAGGCCTTGTGTCTCTTTTGCTCTTCCCCAGCCACCTGTTAAGAAGTGAACAACCTCTAGCTTGTAAAGTCTTCATCCCTCAATTTAAGTGAATACAGATTTCTCTCTATACATACACCTCAGTTAAAAAATAGACAAGACAAGCTGTGCCCCTCCCTCTTCTTTTATGGGCCTATGGAGTGCACTGAAACAAATTGATGGGGAGAAGCAACCACAAAAGCAGAGTAGCAAAGAACCTCAACTTGAGCGCAATAATGCACGGGTTAATAGCCTGGCCCTGAGTTCAGGACTGAGTTCTCTGTGTAGTTAATGAAGTTGCCTTGAACTCTCAGTCGAAGAGACAGAAACCTACTTTTAGAAAATCAACCCAGAACCACCTTGCTAAAGGTTTCCCTCTCCTCACTGTGAACTGCCTTGGCTCTCGCCATTGTACAGTCATTTCAGTGCTCAATATCGCTTGCCCATGTTCTGCGGGTTATTCCAGTGTCTTGACTTCCTTTTAGCAGCATCCTAACGATCGAGGAGTTTGGTAACCCCCACAAGACATTTCAATTGCAGCCTCTGACATGGAGCGCTACCTGACTGCTACAGGCTGGAGTAGCAGAAGACAAGTCACTGCAAGAGTGACACAGGGACTCTCCCTCTCTCCTGGATCAAAAAGGGAGACGGCTGCCGTAGACATCTACATAAATAAAAATAAATATGTCAGTGGTGTTGGGGCTGCCTCGCCAGCGATCATAAGACGACAAAATCCTCTGTGGTTGCCTTTTTCGCCCTGCCCCTCTTGCTGGGCCGCTGCCCTTGCACAGTTTGCTGGGAGAATCGGGAACAGAGCTCTTCTAAACCATAGTCCTGAGCGCAGCCATCTACAATGGAAAACATGGGGTATTTCTCTTTGGCAGCCGCAGAATTGAGGACCTGCAGTAGACACAAAGTAGGACAATTGGCACAATCCGAATACTTGAGGCAGAGACAACATGAGAAGGTCTCTATGCCGGAACAAAATATAGCTAGAGTCTATTTCTTCTCTGTTTTGTGATAGTCCAAGTACAGTGGTGCCTCGCAAGACGAAATTAATCCGTTCCGCGAGAGTCTTCGTCTAGCGGTTTTTTCGTCTTGCGAAGCACAGCTATTAGCGGCTTAACGGATTAGCGCTATTAGCGGTTTAGCGGCTATTAAAGGCTTAAAGGCTTAGCGGATTAGCTGCTAAAAGGCTATTAAAGGCTATTAAAGGCTTAGCGGATTAGATAAAGGGGGGGAAAGCGAAAAAAAATCTCAAGACTCGCAAGACATTTTCGTCTTGCGAAGCAAGCCCATAGGGAAATTCGTCCTGCGAAGCAACTCAAAAACGGAAAACCCTTTCGTCTAGCGGGTTTTCCGTCTTGCGAGGCATTCGTCTTGCGGGGCACCACTGTACAGGGAAGAATTACAGGGATCTAACACCTTGTGGTAGAACCCCTGTACAAAAGAATTTGCACATCTTCCTCTCCGTTTGTGAGTTATCATAAAAAAACACACCATAGTTCACAATGCCCATGAACAGGAAACAGGGAAGCTCGTGCAGCCAATCAGAAGCTACGGAAGCCACGCTGAACGTTCCAAAGAATGTTCACAAACCGGAACATTCACTTCTGGGTTTGCAGCATTCGGGAGCAAAAATGTATGAGTGCCAAGGCGTTCGGCTTCCAAAGTACGACTGTACTTCCATCATTGCCTCAAATCACCTCAACCAGATCCTCACCCTCAACATTTCCACATTTCAGAATTCTGCAAACCCTGCTCCCACTAAACCCTAGGAGTGTTGAGTTTTTTCAGATCCACACATCAATTCAAAGCTGGCCCCACTGGCAGGGCTTGGAGTTGCCTCAAGGCAAACATAACCCTCACCTGTGTCAATTCCACGCACAGGCCCTCAAACTCTCTTCTGTGGCTGACGTAGAAGCCAATGGTGCAGCTGGGATCCACCTTGCTGAAGGCTGTTTTCCGGGGTGAGTTGCAGTGGAAGGACTGGAAAAAGAGGATACAGCAAAACGTGACGTTCACAGAGTTGTCTCACATCAAGGTGACCCAGAGACTATGTATTTAGTACCGCCAATTTATACATCACTGAGCACCGTAGCTTCTAAGTGGTGTACAATGAGGTTGCAAAAGATCAGTTAAAATCATCCATGAAGTCAGAAAATCTTGTTCAAAATGCCAGCTGAAATTTCAGAGAGCATTCACCAAGTGCCTGAAGTTCAACCAGGGTGTGTGTGTGTGTGTGTGTGTGTGTGTGTCCTGTCTGATCTCAGCCAAGAAGGAAAATCAAGTGGAGAAATTATCTTGCACAAGTAGAGCCTTCAATATCACCCTGCATCTCAAAACATGTTTTAAAAATGCATCGGGAGCATATAGACCCAATGATTCTCCTGTTTCTCCTCCATGTAGAGAATTCATAAGTATCAAAACTGACCTTGAGGGAAAATTAAGATGCCTTTAGTTTTTCACTCCACTGATTAAAATATGCCTTGCCCAGTTTTGTTCCTTCTGTAAGCGTCAGAAATGTAACACCAGCTCTTGCTTTGACTACTTACTTTTTACCATACTTCTCTTAAAAGGGCTATTATGCTTCCTCATGTTTTAGCGACAAAACACATTTATGTTTTGGCAGTTAAGCAGTAAACTCTCCACACCGGATGCAAGGTTAACTATTTTGTCACAGTTGTGCCTAAGGTACAATGATACAAATTGGCTCCCATGCCATCCTGGAGCTCTAAACAGCTGCTTACCTCCAGGGGGAAATTCTCCTTAGTGGTGTCCACAAAGAGCTGGCAATAATGCGGGTCCAGGAACAGAAGTGTGTCATCTGGAAGACAAGAGAAGTGGGAGATCAATTATGGATCCTATTTTGTCTTATGGAAGGACAGATCCTGAAGCTGAGGCTCCAATACTTTGGCCACCTCATGAGAAGAGAAGACTACCTGGAAAAGACCCTGATGTTGGGAAAGATGGAGGGCACAAGGAGAAGGGGACGACAGAGGACAAGATGGTTGGATAGTGTTCTCGAAGCTACCAGCATGAGTTTGACCAAACTGCGGGAGGCAGTGGAAGACAGGAGTGCCTGGCGTGCTCTGGTCCATAGGGTCACGAAGAGCCGGACACGACTAAACGACTAAATAACAACAACATTTTGTCTTATGAATGAGTGTGGTGGGGGTATGAGGGAGGAAGGGACACCTTTAAACTGTGCACCACTAGGAAATGTTTACGAATGTTTACGTACCTTGGTTTTCAAACAGAATGCGTTCCAGAAGTCTGTACGACTTCCGAAACATTGGGAAACCAAGGCACGGCTTCTGATTGGCTTAAGGAGTGTCCTGCAGCCAATCGGAAGCCACACCAGACGTTCGGCTTCCGAGGCAAAGTTCGCAAACCAGAACACATACTTCTGGGTTTGCAATGTTCGAGTTCCAATGTTTGAAACAACAACCAATAACAAAAATGGCAACGTTCTGCATGTTAACTTACATCCAGTAACTTCTGCAATTGCATTTTGGTCCATACCGAGCATATAAGAGTGACCAAGTATGGATGAAAATGTATGCACAGAAATGGATGAATGTCATGCTAACAATTTTGGTGAAGCATTCTGGTGGAGAATTTGGGGTGCCTGCCCTTGTTGGGGAAAAGCAAAGCAGCACGTAATAACCCAACATCTGGAGGAGGAGAAGGGAGACCAGACATTTCTGCACCTCAGCAATGAAGTCTATTACCTTGATATCCAACGAAGTACAGGGAATGCCTTGGTTTTCCTCCAATGATCCCAATACAGAAATCCAGCCTCAGAAGTTCCTGTACAACAAAGGAACTTAAATCACACCACCTTCGACCAGCTCCCTTTCCAAGGGGTCGCCCAGTGATGGAAGGAAACAAATAGCTCAGTTGGTAGAGCATGATACTCCTAATCTCAGGGTCATCGGTTTGAGCCCCATGTTGGGCAAAAGATTCCTGCATTGCAGGGGGTTGGACTAGATGACCCTGGTGGTTCCTTCCAACTCCATGAGTCTGTGATTCTACTCTGTGGTATGCCCTGATGCAGAATGACCAGGAGAGACACCAAACACCACCACCCACTTTGAGCATTACGCAGGGCAAGAGGAATGCAACTGGTAAGTGCACTTGGGTGGGCAGGCAAGTAGTCAAACATGTTTAATTCACTGCTCTTCTTGAATAGTTGCATTCATGAGAGGCAATTTCTCTGTTGCGGCTACACAACTTGGCCATCGTTACACAGCAAAGGAACCTCCCACCCCACCCTTCCTTCCACAGAATGGGCACAATCCTCCTTAAAGAACTGTTACATTTTCATTCTATCCCATAGAGCCAAAGAAATAAAAGACGCCTGTACAGTTAGGTCGTTAAAGGCGACTATGGGGTTGTGGCACTCATCTCGCTTTCAGGATGAGGGAGCCGGTGTTTGTCCACAGACAGCTTTCTGGGTCATGTGGCCAGCATGACTAAACCGCTTCTGGCACAATGGAACATTGTGACGGAAACCAGAGTGCACAGAAATGCCGTTTAGCTTCCCGCCACAGTGGTACCTATTTATCTACTTGCACTGGCATCCTTTTGAGCTGCTAGGTTGGCAGGAGCTGGGACACAGCAAAGGGAACTCACCCCGTCATGGGGATTCGAACCACCGACCTTCTGATCAGCAAGCCCAAGAGGATCAGTGGTTTAGACCACAGCGCCACCCACGTCCCATAGAGCCAAAGAGGCACCCCCCACCATGTCTGCCTCTCTTTTCCTGCTCTTGGCTTGGGAGAAGAATGAGGCATCAGCCTGGATTCCAACAAGGATGTGCCCATTTGAGTCCCGGAGTCCATCTCACACCTATTCCCAAGTCACCTTAACACAGTCCACATAGGCAGGGTTAAACGTCTCTCCCCCTAGCCGCATGGGCACCAGGATGATGACTGCTTTCCATTCGGCGCCAGGGTCCCACGCGGTCCTGTCTTTGCTTCTATTGGCCAGGTTTGCCACATCATCCTTGTACACTATGGGAAGCAGCAGAGCAAGGAATTCAGGTCCTGCAGCCAAGGGGATCTCAGCCCAGCTGCCTGGGCTGTGACCTCCCAGGTGCTTCATGAACCACAGGCAGGGCTGCTTACCCCCACCCCCTTTCAGCTCCTTTTACCTGTGCAGTCCTGAGACACATACACCGCCAGGTTGCCTGCTTCCGAACAGCAATCCACTGCTTTCCTGCAGGGGGGAGAAGGTGCACTTCAGTTGGACACAGCGTTGCCTCCCGACCCCACTCTCCAGCCAGCCTCATCCCTGCAAGACCACCACCAGAGGATTGAGGACAAAAGGAAGAAGCTATAGATTTCTAGCTTCCGAGGTCAGCAAAGGAAGTGGAGCAGCAGAACAGCCCGTCTGTCAGCTTCAGGGCTCCTCTGCTTTTGATGCTTGGCAAAATTCCCTCAAACCCCCCCCCATACAAACAACAACAACGCCAAAGTGCTAAAGACTCAAAGGCAGAAGGCAGGCTGGAATCTGTGCCCCTCCCACTGACTAAACACTGCTGGATCAACACAAGAAGGAAGGAAGGAAGGAAGGAAGGAAGGAAGGAAGGAAGGAAGGAAGGGGGCAGAAAAGATCAACTGTTCCTTTTGCTGAAACTTCTGGGTCAGGACCACATACACACATAGTGCAGAAATACACAATTTAACATTCTGGAGGGACACATATTATCCTTTGATTGCAATCCTTGGCAGCAGGCCAAGACTTGTCTCTTAATTTTAACGCTGTGGTCTCATAGCCCCATTCACGAGATAAAACCTTTGCCTGTTCTCATGGCTTAAACTTTGAATCGCCTGATGCCATATGCAGTGAGATGATCCACAACCCAGTCAAAATGGGGTGGCAGAGGCAGGCCATTTCTGGATGTTCTGTAGATTGGAAAGCCTTTGCAATGCCAAATCTCAAAACACTAAATATTCTTGGCTGAGCATCCTGATTTGTCTTGTGCACTAAGCATAGCCATGCAATAATTGGCAAAAACACACGGCAAATGAGCTTTTACAACAAATATAGGTCTCGTGATCAGAGCTGGCAATTTGCCCCACCCCATTGCACAAATATTCCTGGTGAAAATTCGCCAAAATCGAACACCCCTACCCCCACTTATTTCCTGGAAGTCAAATCATTTATTGTGTCTTATCACCTCTCACCTGATTATGTGGGCTACAATAGAAGGCCCATACCAGTCCCCTGCTTTCTTCCCTGAACTGTGCCCCAGTTCAACCAAACGGTGAATTCCAAAGGGTGCTTGCGGCCGATCAGCAAACCATGAGATAATCTTCCGGTGGTAACGCTCCTTTTCCAGTTCATCAGGACTGCAGGCGCGCCTAGGGGCCTGCAGCTCCCAGGGTCCCCTGCTCCTGTCAGTAGGGATAGGTGGGACCTGGTGCAGGTTAGCTGTGCTGGGGCAGGGCAGAGGGGTGGCTTTCATGGGCTCCATCTCCGCCAAACTGGGGGTATAAAGGGCATCTGACCAGGTCCAATCTGAAAAGCGGAACAGAAAACCAAAAAGCGGGCTAAGGACTTGGGCACCCTTCATTCCCATTAACCACCCAAACATTGAAGCATCCCAAATGCAAGGCCGTTTCACTTGCTCAAGACTGCAAATAATTATAGCCTACATTTTGATTGGGATAGCGGTTGAATCTGGTGGCCCGAGCCATTTGGCTTTGCAAGTGAAATCAACTATGTACAACTCGTAGTGCTATTTGTCCTGCAAAAAACTTTTCCACTGCTCAACTCTCCTTCAATTATCGATTTTGGGGTGGGGTGGCAGGTGCAATGGGAGGAGGGGCTGTTCAGTCTACATGGCTCTTTGGGACGCTCCGGGATTCTGGGGCACACTGCAGATACCTGCATGCGTGAATGCATGCTTCAAGAAGGGACAGGGGAATGGGAAGGGGCGGGCGAGAGGGATCCCCTCACGACATGACGCACACAGAGCTGTGCCTCTCACCTCTGCCAAGGAAATGGACGACGAGACCCTGAGCCAGCAGCATCTGACCACTGCGCAGCATGCAGCCCCAGCCACAGTCAGTGGTCCACATGGTGCCTTCTAACTGCTGAAATTCCCGTCGGTAGGTTAGCCAGATGCGTGAGGCAAAGTCCTTCTGAAAGCACTCCACATCCTCTGTAAGACAGAACAGAGACCGGTAAGGAAGAGGCCCGGCCAACAGCAGCACACAAACAAGCCCAGAGGCAGAACTTTTCCTTTGTGCATCACAATGCCCCCAGCCATATTTACAGGGAGACCCTCTAGCTCACGGACGGGGAAGTTCAGGACCAGCAGAGGTCTCAGTTTGGCCTGTGAGGCTGTTTTCCCCAAACCATGCTCACCTGCCCTGCACCTAACATCTTATGGGCAGGCGGAACTGTGGCTGCCAGTGCACAAATGTGAGTCCCAAAGTCCTGATTGTGCACTGGCTAGGCTGGCTGTGCTACAGGCAGTCAGCCAGTTCCCAACAGGGCTCTCACCAAGTCCCGACAATTCAGAGCACCTGTCCCCTAACGCGGTTTTTCACAAACCTGTGGTCAGGGATGATGGAAGCTGTAGTCCAACAACAGCTGGACCAATGAAACATTGCCCTAATGTCATTGCGACATCAGATGATCATCAGGTGGGTGACCATGTCCACTTGTCAAATCTGGCCCAGATCCAGTTCCCCACCCCCTTTCTCTAGCTATATGTCAAGATCTTCATCTAAGTCAGGCTTCCTCAAACTCAGCCCTCCAGATGTTTTGAGACTACAATTCCCATCATCCCTGACCACTGGTCCTGCTAGCTAGGGATCATGGGAGTTGTAGGCCAAAAACACCTGGAGTGCCAAAGTTGAGGAAGCCTGATCCAAGTAGTTAGGATAAATGAATAAGGATCAGAACAAACTGAATTAATGCTATACATCTCAAACGTTAAGGAAATAAAGGGCAGGTATGAGCTTGTAATCCCTCCTTGGCTATCCAAGACAAAGAAGAGGCAGAGAGAGAAAAGCAACAAAGTGCTGGCATGAAAGGACTTCTTGGCCTTGATCTTCAAAGTCACCATCTCCTATCCGTACTCCTGCACTGCTAAGAGGATTGGCAGCCTCTTTCAGAAATGCATCCATTGTCTTCGACGGAGGGATTTTACACCAAATCAATAGTGTCTTGTTGGGGGTCAGAGGAAGAGGCAGGCAGAGGTTGCATGAAGGAACTGCACAATACCATCGCAAAACGAAAATGAAATCAAGTTCTGGGAATCCCCTCCACCCTGCCTCCCAAGCCACTCACCTTCACGTTCAAAGCGGTAGATGTGTCCAAAGAGGTAGACTGGGGAAAGCTTGCTGAAATTAGTTTTGGTTTTGACCGTCCAACCTCGGGAGGAAAAGGAGACAGGTAGGTTTGTTACAAACCATGTGGCATTCAACACTGGGCCTCCACTTCCTTCCTGCAGATTGGTATGGAGATCCAGGCTTGACCTAACCTCCAAACCAGTGGCCTCCAGTGGCAGAACTCCCCACACCCAACCTGACTGCATAACACTCTGCAGAGGGAACACCTTTCCCTGCACATTTCTGCTTAAGATGTTGCCTTCCATAGAGCTTACCCACCAATAAACATCCACCAATGGACTAGAAGCTACCCCTCAAATGTTATTTATTGCAGTTTGCGTTCTCACATTCACCTCAGTCCTCACGTGCGTGAATGCATGGCTGTAGTTGGGAGCATCTATCCAAGAATAGCCTGCAATGAACAGATCTCATTCTGCACATGCAACAACTTTGTTAAATCTCACCTGGTGTTATTTAGACAGGCCTTTGAAATGGGAATTTTCTTTTAACCAACCACAATTTATGGAAGTTTTTACTGATGCATTATTGACATTCTTATGATTGTATCTTTTGTATGGTGAACACTGGCTTGTAATTATTACTACTACTACTGAAGTGTGGTTTATAAATACAGTGGTGCCTCGCAAGACGAAATTAATCCATTCCGCGAGTGTCTTCGTCTAGCGGTTTTTTCGTCTTGCGAAGCAACCCTATTAGCGGCTTAACGGATTAGTGCTATTAGCGGTTTAGCGGCTATTAAAGGCTTATCGGCTTAGCGGCTTAGCTGCTAAAAGGCTATTAAAGGCTTAGCGGCTTAGATAAAGGGGGGGGAAAGCGGGGAAAAAATCTCAAGACTCGCAAGACATTTTCGTCTTGCGAAGCAAGCCCATAGAGAAATTCGTCCTGCGAAGCAACTCAAAAACGGAAAACCCTTTCGTCTAGCGGGTTTTCCGTCTTGCGAGGCATTCGTCTTGCGGGGCACCACTGTACTTAAATGAACAGATAAAGTATTCACCAGCATGTGCCTGCAATGGGGAATTCTACAATGTCCTGAAGCTCAGTGCTCAGGTGTAGAAAGAGCACTATAAATGTTTTATTTTTTTCAGCCCCTCAACTACAGATTAAAATCAACCCCATCCAAATTGCCCCTGTTCATTCCTGACAAGAGAAGCTACCTGGAATCATACAAAGCAGGTGCTCTTAGTGCAGGAGAAAATACAGGGAGGGAAGATACGGTGGATTTCTGCTCCCATCGCCAGAATAAAGCAATCAAGTTAAACATTACACAAAAAGAAAGCAGAACTAAATCTCTCCAACCCCACCCCTGCCTCTTGGATTAGTTTTTAAATGCCATGGGGTAAGATATGAAATCCTTATCTGTAAACACAAAACACACAATCAGTGTTGTAAGTAGAATTTAATAGGACATTTTCACCAACCCCGATAGATCTGTGCTCACATTCACTCTTCACAGCCATGATTCAAGGAGCTAATGCAGAAGCAGAAGCTGGCAGGGGAGGTGTTCTCAAACCAACCAGAAAAGCATGCAAGAGGTGACAGCTTTATTAGCCCAGCAGAGGCTAATGACAAGATGACAAGAAAACAGAAGTAGAACCTGCTCTCCAAATCGTATTATCTTCCCCACCCCATGACCAGTAAGGCTAGCCATATTTGTTCAAGGTGTGTAAGCCTCCTACACACATTTGCTCTCTGCTCTTTTCGTAAAAAACACACTTGGCAGCTGTTCTCAGAAACAAATACTGACATATCAAAAGCCTGTGCTCAGCCTCCAAATCTAACAGGGATTTTGGGTAAGCTTGGCATGAAAGTGCCTTTTGTCAATGAATGAATGCTTTTGTTTCAAGACCTGGAGATTTGCCATATCCCAGAGGACATGGCAGAATTCCAGATCTCAACATATGGAGGAATTTCAGAGGAGCTCTTGCAGCACAAACAAAGGAAGTCACTCCATGGCACGACAAGTCGTGCCAAATAAAGGAAGTCACTTCATGGCACAACAAGACAAAGGCCAACATGAGAATCAGGCCTCTCAAGAGTGCAGGCTACAAATTGTCTTGAAGTTTGGGGCCATCTTGATTCTCAAAGACAACATCTACCCACAAACCTTATGACACTGAAATCTGGGGATATCCTGGGTCTCCCAAAATCATACAAAGCCAAGTGCTAATAATTCTACTGAGTACTCCCAGAGCCATACCTTCTATGTCACTGTAGGCTAAAACTAGCACACTGCCAATTTAGTATTTAATTCCATAAAATTTATATGCCACTTGATTGCAAAAAACAAACACCTTCAAAGTGGTTTAAAAACAATAAAACAAAATTAGTTCAAAACAACTATTTAAAATATTTTAAAAATAAATTAAACATTAAGTTAAAAACCTGATTAAAACACAATTGAGATGCATACATGTTTAATTTCTGGTTTAAGATTCTAGACATAGATGATTAGTGGCTAACAAAGCTTTCTCAATAAACAATTTTCAATTGTTCATTTTTTAAGATAAGAATGCATTGTTGAAAAAGAGAATCCAACCACTACCCCCCTTTTTGTTCTGACTTAAAACCAGAAACTGCTACTATATTTTGGAATATTGGGGCTAGAAGTTTATGGTTCATTTTTCTAGCTTTTAATATTTTTATAATTGTACGATGCTGCAATTTAATTGTATGCCAACTTTGGTGGGGTTTTCCCCCTTAAAGGAAGCACAAACATTATTTAAACTTGTCAAGTGGAGGACTAAGCAGAAGAAGGATAATTTCCTTTAATTTCCATGCAACAACTGTAAGTCTGACTCACCATATTTCACATTGTTCCAGACAGAGAAGAGCTTGCTTTTGATCTTGTCCACTTCGTCAGGCTCGCTATGTTGGCTGCGTGCGGCACCCCCTCCGGGGAAGAGCCCTGGGTAGTTCCCCCCTTGACTGCTGGACCTGGGATTAAAGAGTTGCCTTCCGTCTGAGTGGCGCAGCTCATCCTGGCTTAAGTACTGCACTGAGGTGGGTGACACGGAATTCATTTAACAACTGGGACCAGTGCAGGCTGCGTCTTCTGTGGGGGGTTGGGATGAAACTTCCATGTGCCTCGCCAGGGAAGCAGAACTGCAGAAGCATCAGAAACAAGGGTGAGAATCTCACTAACAAAGCAACTAAGGAAGCCCAAAGGCCCCAAACATTTTAAAGTACAAATCAATGCATTTGCAAACAAGACTCATGTTACCCCCATCTACTGCTCTGTCTGTCTGACTCAAACCTTCGTGCTCAGCTGTATGAGATGTGTCAAGGAAAAACGTTTAAGGGACACTAAGCTGTAAAGAGCAAATGGGAGAATTCACCCAAACTCTTGTCTCTTTTTCAAACAATGGCTGTGAATCCCTGGCATCTCCAGTTTAAAGGATCTCTTGCACCAGAACTAAGAACAACTGTGCAGGTGGCTCATCTTAGACTGGACTAAGAGAGTGGAAAGGAATCAGAGAAAATCCTACAGCTCCCCCCCCCCCCAAGCACCCTCTGCCTCCTTTAAATGAAAGCTGTGTAAACCAGGGGTCAGCAACCTTTTTCAGCTGTGGGCTGGTCCACTGTCCCTCAGACCATGTGGTGGGCTGGACTATATTTTTTTTTGGGGGGGGGGGGTAGGAATGACCAAATTCCTATGCCCCAGAAATAACCCAGAGATGCATTTTAAATAAAAGGACACATTCTACTCATGTAAAAACACGCTGATTCCGGATTGTCCGCGGGCTGGATTGAGGTGATTGGGACGCATCCAGTCCATGGGGCTTAGGTTGCCAACCCCTGGTGTAAATCATGGTTTTTATCAGTCCAAAGACTGACCACCTTCATCTCCCCAGCTAAACCTTTTAGAGCAGCATACAATATTCTGAACCAGTAACAACAGGGTGGGGGGAGAAAGTGAAAGGCACCATATTTCAAGCAATATACAGTGGTACCTCGGGTTAAGTACTTAATGCGTTCTGGAGGTCCGTTCTTAACCTGAAACTGTTCTTAACCTGAAGCACCACTTTAGCTAATGGGGCCTCCCCCTGCCGCTGCGCCGCCGGAGCACGATTTCTGTTCTCATCCTGAAGCAACGTTCTTAACCTGAAGCACTATTTCTGGATTAGCGGAGTCTGTAACCTGAAGTGTCTGTAACCTGAAGTGTCTGTAACCCGAGGTACCACTGTATTGGGAAGTTTTTAATGTGTTTTTAATATTCTGTTGGGAGCCGCCCAGAGTGGCTGGGGAAACCCAGCTAGATGGGCGAGGTATAAATCATATCATCATTATGATTACTATTAATATTATTATTATTTCACCAGGCGTCGCAGAAAGAGTGAAGGGAAAGGCGCCTGCTTGATCTCCATAGGCAGGGAGCTCCCAGATGCAGGCGATGCCCCACTAAGCGGCCGAGGAACCCTCTCCCCCTCTCTCCCTCCCAACCCAGCAAGCGCGGCCCTAGCAACCCAACTCGCCCCCAGCAACCAGCGCCCATTCCACCGCCACGGAAACCTTCCCCTCTCCCTCCTGCAGCGACAAACGGCCCAGGCGAACCCCGCTTCCCCCCGGACCCCCTCACACCCAACCTGGGTGGGCATGGGACGAGGTAGCCCGTTTCCCCGGGGCGAGCCGCCGCCGTTCAGTCCGCCATGACTTGGGGAGACCCTTCCGCCACGAGCGGCAGCGACAGCGCCACCGCCATCTTAGATCCCCGGAAGCAGCTGAGAAGCACCCAACGTCCGGGCGGAAGTGGTCCTTCGCCCTCAGACGGCTGCCGGAAGTGGCTGCTCTCCCCGTGGCGAACCTAGAGATAGAAATGTAGAGTAGGAAAAGCTCAACCTTAGAGAGCCTCACCACCACAAGACTACAACTCCCATCATCCCCAGCGGGAAGAACTAGGGGTCAAGGATGATGGGAGTTGTAGTCCAACAATATCTTGGGCGGCTCAAGGTTGAGCAAAAATCATAGAATTGGAAGGGATCCACCAACCCCCTGCAATTTCAGAAATCATATATATGTAGTTTATTTAGTCATACTTTTCAAGTTTATATGTTTCACTAATTTTATACATTGCACTAATTTAGCAATCATTTTAACATTTCAAAACTTGACTTCCTTCCCCCTCTTTCTGCCGTTCCTTAAATTTGTTTTTAATATCATCTGCATATCCAAATTAACTTAATTTGCTCATTTATTCATCTTCTTTAAATATTTTTTTTAAATGATATTTATTAAAGTTTCAGATAAAAAGAAACACATCAATAAATGAGAATTTAACAGTAAAAAGAAAAATACACAATACAAAATACAAAATTAAAAATAGAATAAAAAGAGAAAAAAAGCAGTTAAAAACAATTCTATCTTTTCATTACTACTTTTGAATTTACTTATCTTCTGGACCTCCTCATACCTCCCTCTTTTGTATTCCAATTTAGTTTATTTGTCCAGCAATTCCTTTCCCTCTTTTTTAATCCCAATCCTTAATCTTAATATAATATAACATTAAATTTTTATCTATTAATAACCAATTTTCCATTCTTTTAACCTTATTATTCCTAATCCTTAATCTTAATCTATATATAACTTTAAAGCCTGTATAGCTAGAAACCATTTAATTTCAATCCAACATCACTCTAACATTCATTAATTTTGCAGTATTTCTGTAAATAATCTTTGAATTTCTTCCAATCTTCTTCCACCGACTCTTCTCCCTGGTCACGGATTCTGCCAGTCATTTCCGCCAGTTCCATATAGTCCATCAGTTTCATCTGCCATTCCTCATCTTCTTTAAATGTATACCCTTCTGAAACTGCCGGTTATTACAATAATCCTGCCAATGTTTTTATCTGTTTATCATTTATCTGTAAATATTCAATAAACCATTTCCATTCTTTTATTTAAAAATTGTTATCTTGATTTTTTATTCTTCCGGTAAGTTTCACCATTTCTGCATATCCATAAATTTATGTATCCATTTTTCTTTCACTGGGACTTCTGCTTCTTTCCATTTTGGGACAAGTAACATTCTTGCTGCTGTAGTAGCATACATGAATAAGTTTTTATACATTTTAGGTAGTTCTGTTCCTATAATTCCCAAAAGAAAAGCTTCTGGTTTTTTTTTGCAAAGGTTATTTTAAACGTCTTTTTCATTTCATTATATATCATTTCAGAAATCTAAGCTGATGCATCCATGACAGAGAGACAGCTGCACTAAAGGATGAAATAGACGCACAAACCAGACTCACGGTGTACCCTGTTCAATTTGAAACCTCTCTCTCTATATATAGTCGTATCTTGAATCTCAAACGCCTTGGCTCCCAAACAAATCAGTTCCTGAACGATGGAAACCCGGAAGTGAGTGTTCCAGTTTTCGAATGATTTTCGGAAGCCAAACGTCCAACACAGCTTCTCTGGCTTCTGATTGGCTGCAGCACACCCCTGCAGCCAATCGGAAGCCGCGCCTTGGTTTTCGAACGGTTCTGGGAGTTGAACGGACTCCCAGAACGCATTCTGTTCGAGAACCAAGGTACAGCTGTATATACTTTTGCATGGGGGCTAGGGCTGGCCCAGGCTGTGGCACACCATAAGCTCATGTCTGGAACAGGAGTGAATGGCCAAAGAAGGCCTCAAGGGTAATGGCCAGGAGGCGGATCTGCCTGATGCTGCTACTTTCACCCTCCTCCGTCTGCTGCCTGAGGCAACTGCCCCGCTCTGCCTAATGGTAGAGCCAGCCTTGGACACGTCATCGCTTTCAGCAGTGCACAGAAGAGTCCATGAATTGTAAATGGGAAGTCTGTGTGGAGCTCTTCAACCCTTTCTCAGTGACCAGAGTTCTTCAATTTAGTAATAGGGAAATGAAATCCTTGGCTCCACTGTCGGGGTCGGATAAGGAAGTTCTGAACACAGCCTTTGGTTCTTCCCTCTCACTTCCCGAAATGGACAGCTGAGGACAGGCTTGCATTACGGTATTTCCAGAAGAGGTACTGTCACACTGTGGTTGCAGTGCAAAGTCAGAAGGCTATCCTCTGCTAGGAATACGGCTGCTGATTTCTTGTAGTTCAGTCAGTGTACTTGGTATTTTACACAGTAACAAAAGTGTGTGTGGGGGGGGACTAAATTAAAAGGTCCCCAGTCTCAAAGAATGTACAGTCAAAATTCTGGAACTGAGGCACAAGTCCCCAGTAAGAATACCACAGCCATCACATTGCTGAAATACTGTGTTCTTATCTCAGAGAGAAGATGGGAATTTGGGAGTTGATTAACAATTCAGATTTAGAAGTGGGACCTGCAACAACATGTTGCAGTATGGGATGCTCCTTGTCAGGGTTCTAGTAAGCCAACTATGCCTTTTTGGTATCCAACCCACCCCATGGCTTATTTCATTCTTCCTTGTGTTTCTTTCTTCTTTGGCGATCACTCGTAGCTGAGTAAGATTGTCTTCCATAAACACGGTTTTAACAATGAGTCCATAAGTGACTATGGAGGCCAATTCTGGATCCACACGTCCTTCCACAGTGGGGACATTGGTTTCTGGGCGGGAGTTGATCACAGTGTGGATTTGCCAAGCGTGCCTTCCTCCTAGCATGTTTCTCCCTTGCATCCTGAGTTCAAGTGTCTTCAAAGCCCATGACACCTTTGGTAAAGGCTGTTCTCCAACTAGAGTGCTCGCAGGCCAGTGTTTCCCAGTTGTAAGTGTTTATACTACATTTTTTTAGATTTGCCTTGAGACAGTCTTTAAACCTCTTTTGTTGACCACCAGCATTATGATTTTCATTTTTAAGTTCAGAATAGATTGGTTGCTTTGGAAGATGATGATCAGGCATCCGCACAACATGACCAGTCCAATGAAGTTGATGTTGAAGAATCATTGCTTCAACACTGGTGATATTTGCTTCTTCCAGTACACTGATTTTAGTTTGCCTGTCTTCCCAAGTATGTGTAAAAATTTTCGGAGACACCGTTGATGGAATCTTTCAAGGAGTTGGAGATGGCGTTTATAAGTGGTCCATGTTTCACAAGCATATAGTAAGGTTGGTAGTACAATAGCTTTGTAAACAAGCATTTTGGTTTCCCTGTGAATGTCCCGGTCCTCAAACACACTGCACTTCAATCGGGAGAAAGCCGCAATGTTGGCCCTTGTGGAGAGATAACTGCCTAGGTAGGAGAAGCGATCAACATTTTCCAGCGTTACACCATTGAATGGGATTTGTGGCGCTGCAGAGGGGTTGCTTTGTACTTGTTGGTGCAGCACTTTGGTTTTTTGGATGTTGAGTGATAGGCCAAGCTTTTTGTAAGCTTCTGCAAAGATATTTAGGATGGTTTGGAGGTCATCCTCTGAGCGTGTGCACAGTACGTTGTCATCAGCATACTGAAGCTCTAAGACGGAAGTTACAGTAACCTTTCTCTTTGCTTTCAGCCTGCTCAGATTGAAGAGCTTTCCATCTGTTTGATATACGATTTCTACTCCGGTGGGGAGTTTCCCTTCGACAAAGTGTAGGATCATGGCAATGAAAATAATGAATAGAGCTGGGGCAATAACACATACTATAGGCTGTACAATCTAGGATAATTCTTGGTGCTTTAACAGGGGTAAACGGTAGTATAGTCCCATTGAGTTTGGTAGGATTTATCCTTGAGTAAATATGCATAGGATTGCTATAGCAGCCATTACTTTTTTTGCCCTCTTAGTGGTACACTGCTTGGGTTTTGCTTGCTAAGCCTGGGAAAGCTCTGTGTCACAGAAGGGCAGTGAAGTCTCCTGAACAGGTTAGCCTGGAAGAGCTAACTATTAGTGCTGGATAAACAATTAAAACAGAGATATATATCAGCGGGGGGAAAGATCAGAGACATGTCATTCGTGTGCTAAATAGCTGTATATGGCTTGGTCCCAATTAGATAGCTTTATAGAGATGTAATCTGCATCCTTAGCTGGTAGAGAGGAATTGAACACTACCCTGTTATCAGGATAACTTCCTGATAGCATCTGAGGGCAGCACAGACTTGTTCTCTGCTAAGCCCTTCCTTTGCTTCCTCCTCAACAGGCGGTTGTCATTACCTTTTCTAAATATCTGCTTGTTTTTCTTACTTGCACTTTCTTTGTATCAACACGTCTTAGAGACAGAAAAAGCTCTAAGGGCTTTCTAGTTAGACATCCGCTGACTTCAACATCAGCCAATAGCAACCCAAGTCAGTCCTTCCTGGTAAGGCAATTGGGTCCTGTTTCAAGGAATTTCAGCTTATTTCATTTCTGAGCAGGTCTTACAGTGTTCTTTCCACCTGTGACCCTCTTTGTTTTTGTTAAGTTGTGGGTGAACATATCAGACAACACAGTGATTCTTCAAACAGCTCTTGTTTATTCACAGGCCAGAACAGAACTGGGCTGAAGGGTTCAGCCAACCTGCTTATATAGAGCTCAACTACAAAGCAACAGTAACAACTTTCTGTAACTATCCAATCACTGAACGTCACTTTCAATTCCTTATTTGCATACGCGGACCTGAGTGAAAACTATCTACAGTATCCCCCTGCTGGCCCAGGCTGAGAACTTCAGTACATAACAGTTTTCTCCCATCTTCATGCATGTAGCAGTCTCTGCAAAGGACTGTCCTTCAGCTAAAGTCTGAATTGAGCCACAGCAGGGGCGCCAACTATAGGGGGCAGAAAGGGCTTCAGCTCCTTCAATATTTGTGGGTAGGGGGGTGAGCCCCCCATTATTGAAGGGGCTGCCATCCCCCACAGCCTGCCGCCACCAGGCAGGGATGGAACATGCAGAGA